GCTCATTATAACCTTTTCCCTCAAATTAACGCGGGTGAAACCGCAGGGGACCTTTAGTTGTGACATAACTGTAATTGTTAGATATAGGGTATCGTGGACTTTTTATAGATATTAATGTCCTCTACAAAACTTTCGTACATCACTTTGCTCTACTGTCAATGACTTCCGCAGCGTAAGCACTATAAGGTTATTTTTTGGTATTTTTTCACACCCTGTGTTTTTTGAAAATACTCTATAGCCTATGTTCATCACGGATAATGTAGGATTCTAAATGTGAAAGAATTATTTACATCGGTCCAGTAGTTTCAGAGCCTATTCAATACAAACAAACAAACAAATCTTTCCTCTTTATAATATTAGTATAGATTGAATTTAAACTGACAAAAATGTTGACGACGAAACGACAATGTAGAGTATAATTAATTATACTCACGTATATAAATTTATTATTGCTTTCTTTGATTTATAAAAAATTCACTAACAAACAGTTTAAAACTCCTTTGCCTACCACCACTTATTTTGACAATACTAATGTCATAAATAATTTATTTTAAAAAATATGTAAAACAACCTAAGTACAATGCATATTAACTAAGAAGATACAAATTGTTAGGCCTTCATCTTTTGGCAAATCCAATTATAAGTTAAAAAAATGTAATTGCAAATATTTTTAAGATGATTAATTTGGCATATTTTATTAATCCTATATACTACTGTATAATAATATAAGAGATAACAATGAATTTCTTAATAAATGCATAAAATATATTTTGTTATTGTAACATTATTTTCAGGTTATAATTATGGCTGATGTAATTGGGACCAGAGGTTTGGTTATCAACTTAAAATTCCTTCACCATATACTACTGTCAAATAAATTAAGGTTCTTTAATTTTTATGCAATAGTTTGCTTCAGCTTGATCTCATTTAATGTGAGAAAATTAGCAACTATTGAAATTCACTGCAAGTGCCAACCGTCAATTGCATACTTATAACAAAATAGTTAAACTAAACCTCATTTCTCATTTGAAGGATGAAATAGAATTTCTGTTAAAGACAAAGAAAACAGATCTGAATATACCTCTTATAATTTTTGCCATTAATAGAATTGATTAAGAATATTTGCTAATTTAAAAATTATATTGATTGGTAGCTACACTTTATGTACAAAACTGTTTCATTTGTTTAAAACTAAAATGGCAATATGTGACTATAGTGCACACATGTCACACCTCTCACTTATGTATAAAGGCACAAGCAATCAAAACTATGGAACATTCTTGTAATCGCTAGCCAGCTATTGTAAATTTCAGTCAGTATAATGCCCTTAGAATGGGTTATGACACTGTCACTAAGTAACAAAACTTTCTTTAACAATATTGTAAAATGATTGCACACAAATTGTTGTAAAAAGAAAAATGCAGGCATCTTGAGTGAAGGCACTAACCCACATTAAAATATTTACGACTTTGTGCAATCCATTAGATGACATACCATTTAATAGCAAAATAATATTTCCAATACTCGAATTACTTTGTTTCGGTAGCCAGACCGACTTAGTGACACTGTATATAATAAGAGGAACAAAAAAGTACGAGTTTTCAAATGGAACTACAGTAAGAGCATGTAAGAGTTGTAAAAATAATGAAAGTAATAATATATCATATTTATGCGTTATAAGAGACTTCCATAGTGGTATCTGAGACTGTTCAGGAGTCGCCGGTGTCATAGAGGGTATCCAGTTAGTGAGTTCGGGAATTACTTCGTCGTCACCAGAAGCATTCTCATGCCCTGTTATCAGTGGTTCAAAGGAGTCTCTTGATACACCCAGACCTCCATTATGGATAGAAGATACGGAAACAGTGGTCCCTGATGTTGTTGGTGAAGAACTCCTCTCATGATTCTGAGGTATTGGAGATACATTAGTACACACTGCAACAAAAGTTATACTGTAGGTCCCGAAGATTACTTGAGTACATTATGTTGGCAAATATAAATTACCTTGGGAAGTAACACTAAAGTCCTCACTACTACATTTACCAGATATTAATTGAAGCCTATTGTGAGAATTTTCTAATATTCTTTTACGTCGAGCTTCACGGCGAGCTTCTGCATCAGCCATGTTTACGATTTGACATTGACATTTATTCATTTGACAATGACAGAAAACAGACAAACAGTAACGTTCCGTATCTCCATTTAATAATTACTCATCTTACTTACTTACTCAGCTCATAGTTAAAAATGTATGGCTTTTATTGAATAAAACTGTACAAGAAAAATATTTAACATGGTGGAATATAGTGCCTATTTGTGTGACGTACATAAATATACCTGTACCCCTAGTATGAGTTTTAATGGTTTTCGAATTCGATCAATCGTATCGTCTCGTTTCCATACATTGACTAGCAGCGCCCCTAACGTTAACGTTAACTATCAAAAACTATAATCAGCAGTATGAATTTCATCGAATCATCGTAACACGAAAACTTCCAAAGTTTTCGTATGTCGTTTGCATTTTGGCAGTACAAGTAATGACAGCGTGTCATGACATGAGTATACTACGACGTTTGATCGTATCGTCAATTCGTCACTCGATTAGAAACTTTCAGTGACTAAGTGTTTCGGGCCAGGTTTTTATGCAATCTAATAATGTTTTCGGCAGAATATTTAGCTCTCATGCTCGCTGAAGACATTGACGAAGACCAGCGTGCACTTCTTTTATCACCGACAGGCATTTTGTGCAATGTATATATATTTTTGATGTATAACATCTTTCCTCTCGTTTGCCTGCCTGGGAGTGATTTCGTGAAATGTGACGAAAGTGCGTAACAGGAAGTCGCGAAAGCACGCACTATTTGATTTCATTTTAGAACATAATTTTCAAATGGCTTATTCCTCTTGTAGTAGGTTTTATTTCCTTTTTTACTATTATAAGGTGAGGTTTCAAATGTTACACATCATACGCGACTACTGTAAGGGTGCGGCCAGAGTGCACTCAGATTCAGATTCAGATTCTGAAAACAAGCGCGAGAAATAAACAGTGTAGTCTAAGCAGGCTGCCTGCTTTTTCTCGCGCTTTGTTTTCTGAGTCTGAATCCGAATCTGAATCAGGAGTGCACTCTGGTCGTACCCTTCGACTACACTGTTTATTTCTCGCGCTTGTTTTCGAACCCTAAGGGTGCGGCCAGAGTGCACTCAGATTCAGATTCAGATTCTGAAAACAAGCGCGAGAAATAAACAGTGTAGTCTAAGCAGGTTGCCTGCTTTTTCTCGCGCTTTGTTTTCTGAGTCTGGATCTGAATCTGAATCAGGAGTGCACTCTGGCCATACCCTTCGACAGTCTGATCTGAATCTGAGTGCACTCTGGCCGCACCCTAAGGCTCGTTCGTTTTTTAATTTTATTTCTTTACGGCCTTGAAGTCAACTATACAGCCAAGTTTCAAACACAGATAAACGTAGATTCTATACTCTTTGGACACATTAATAATATTAACCCTTGGAGATTTACATAGATTAGCTTTGTTTAAGGTTGAATTGGAAGTTTTTAGCACGATTTCATCGAGTGCGGTTGGCGTCTTATTTTAATTATTCTTAAATTCGTTCATAGTGGATATTGTGAAACAAAATTGGTGTGATTTTGTGTTACGACCGTCTGCGCAACTGAAGAATTAGTGGAATCTTTAAAATATGCGCTATTCCGGTCAAGTGGACGTGAGAATTTTATTATAAGTTGGCTACCCCACAGAAGCTTATTGAAAAAGCCAACTCGATACATTTCGTGCCAAACATTCCAACAAACATTAGAATACGTCACACCGACGACATTGTAATGTAAAAAAAATAAGATTATTAAAAAATAAGTTTAGGCTGTATGAGTATTGTTCCCTTTGCCTTCCATAAAAAGAGAGAATCTTTAAAAAAAAACAGGTTAAATCGAACGAATGGCTCAGCTATCTCTTTTTTGGCAATAAAGAATGAAAGAGACAAAACTAAACAGTGTGAAGTTCGTTTAATCGAGTCATCGAGCATACGATATCGTGAAAATGAGGAGTGAAATTTACTCGTACTGCGACACATAGGGACACGATATCGAATAGAAAGTATCGATATTGTACTCATGAGTAGTATCGGTAAAAAAGTATCGTACTCGTAAAAGTATCGAAACAAAAGTATCGAGTACATTTCATAGGGCCTTATCGGAGCCTCTGCGGGCTGATGAGCAACCCCCCCCCCCCCCCCCGGTGGTAAAATTGAAAGAAAAACAATCGAATTTTAGCATAGTACGTATAAATCAAAAAAAGGACATGTAAATTCACAAATTGCTATATTATATAAGGAAAAGAAAATAGCTGTAATTTCTGGCACTAAAAAAGTGTTCATTAATATTACATTCATAATGAAAATGTTAATTAAAAAGATCGAAATCATAAACAATTTAAAAGGATGATTTTTTCAGATTTGTTTCAAATTAAACTTACTTTTCTTGAATTTTAATCATTAAAAAACATTATACCCACTTATGTTAACTTGAATCGGACACGTAGTTAACGGCTGCCATTGGCATGCTTCACTCAAGATTATAATTATAGAAGAGGTTACGTCCGTCTTTTTTTCAGGTAGTTTCAAATAGGTATACACAGCACAGACAGAATAATAGTGTTACACTTGAATAAATCAAATACAGTCAAGCGGAAATCACAGTAAACGGCGAATCAATCACAGTTCCTAACAATATGGTCGCAAAATAAACACAGTCACAGATTGGAAAGAATTTGAATATGTCAGTTACTGACTTTATCACAACGCAATACGGCATTTGACAGTATTAAAAATAAAGTGCCAAAATAACTAAAAAGATATTAGTTTTCATATCTATTGTCACGTGACCCAAAACGCTTGGGATTGGCGGAGCCTAAAATGACGTAACACGCACGTAAACTTCCGGTCAAAGTGACATTACATTGTATCGTTTGACGTTTTAATAACAGTCGTGTGACGTTACACACTAGTAAGACGCCATATTATCCAGAGAAACGTTTTCGCGGCAACTTGAAAATGGAGTTTTTGATTTGGTTATTTTTACTGAAATACACGACAGAATGGTGAATATCCACTTTTTACGGACTCCATAAACATTAGTCAATAACGTGAAATCGTTGCCTAAAACTTGTCAAATACCCTATGGATGATTTTAGAAGGTTGGCTATGATTTAACAAGATGGCGTTGCCATCAATATGAGGCGCTTATCCAAATTTTTAAAGGTATCGGTACTTGCCAAAAAGTACTCATTTAGTAAAAGTATCGAGTACAAAAGTATCGGTATCGAAAGGAAAAGTACTCGATACCACAAAGTATCGATACTTTTTTCGTGTCCCTAGACACAATTCGAAAACGTATAGTTTGATCGAATCGAATCGACGAAGACGATCGTTCGTTTCGTATTGAAAAAACTCATATTAGGGGTACTGACTCCTGCCAGATTTGGTGTCAATGTCAATTTGACGTTTTACAATTCGTTTCCTATTTTGTTTTTTGTATTGTTGTTTATAAAAATTTATGTTTTTTTTTACTCCCAAAAATCTTAATTACAAACAAAAAGATGAGCCGAACAAGCAATAATCAATTTGAAATCATGGTTGTTTTCATGGAAAGGTATGTATGTGGTATTGCATCAAGTTCCAAAAGTTATTCATAAAGTTAGTTCGTTTATGAAAGATTTTAATTTTTCTGTGTTATATTAGGAATGGTGACTTAATGGGGCCAGCTGATGGCCCCCATAGCAGAGTTGCGGTGGCCAATAAGTGGATGGAGCTGGAAAATGTCCTCAACTTGAACATGACTGGTTCATCTAAGACAGTCGAAAAATGGAAAAAGGTATGGTTTTGCAATTAAAAAGTTTGTAAGTGATATAAAAGATCTTTAAAATTATGCTAGATATATGCAACATGGGTTGATGATGATGATGATATGCAACATGAATATGTGATTACTGTTTTTGTATGTCAAGGTGTGGAGTGACTTTAAGAATAATACCAAACGCAAGGCAGCCAAAATCAGGCGAGCTGCCAGTGGTACTGATGGTGGACCTGCATGTAAGCTGGTCCTGACAGACTTGGAGCAACGGGTACTAAAATTGATGGGAACCCAGGCTGCTACAGGGCTGCCGAATATTGCTGAAGTTGGTTTAGAGGTAATGCTGTGCCCTTTTTTTATGCCTTATTTTAATATTTATTTAGTTAAACCACATTTTTCACTTTTGAATTGTATTTCCCGTTTTTGTTCCAGCCATTTTTAGCAGCAGACCAGCAGCATGATGCAAGACCATTAGCTCCACCACCACTACCACAACCACAGCCCTCCACATCCCGGCAAGTTGAGGACAGTGAGTATTTAATATTATTACTCAACATTTGGGGGCAGCTGTATTAATCAAGTAAACTACTAGGTTAGGAATGTGCAGCTATATTGTTATTTTCTTGTTTCTCTCGATTATTATGAATTATACCTACATAAACAAGTCATATAAATTACATAATCAGCTCACATAGATGTCTAAATCAATTTTTTATAACTGATTGTAATTTAACATTTATTATTTTTATTTTTTTTCTGTGGCAGACAGAAGCAGCCCATTCACTGTAGAGGATGTGGTAGGCAGTGCAACCTCACCCACTCCTCATCATGCAAGCCATGTGGGGAGTTCTAGTCGCCGCGGCGCCAGATCAAGAACTCGACTCGCTAGTCGCCAGCGGCGTAGATTGCCGCCCTGCCGCACTCGTCTGGCTGATGCTGCAGCAAACTTCTTGGCCAGCAAAGAACGCTGGCAGAATTTTGCAGCAGAGTTTGCTGTTGAGCATATATGTTTGCGAGAAAGAGAACTCAATCAACAAGCTCAGTGGCAAACTCTGTTTGCAAAATTTATCAGGGTTATAGCAAAATTTTATAAATAGTAAATAAAATTATTAGTGTTTTACTTACCAAATAATTTATTAAAAATATGCTCTTTGTCTGCCGGCAAATCGCGAATTAGTTAAAGTTAATTAATATTTTACATACCAGTCATCTCATTAGGCGTTAGGCGACTGCGCAGCGTCGTAGGAGAGAGAGATAGCTTATACTATTATATACTTACAAAAACAATTTAAAAAAAAAGAAATCGTCAAATAATAATTCCGTTATCACAGATCGTCCTCAGACTACATAGGTGTTAAAATTCTTTAGACAAAGTTGACGTCACACAGTAGACATCATGAACCTCTCTAACCGAGCGTTTTGGCGGTAAATTCAAAAAATACATTAATTAATTTACTTTCACTTTTCTCTTAAATCGTTTGTCCCAATCTTTAAATTTAAGCAGTTTTCAAAAATTTGGAAAATACACTTAACAGATCGCTGCTCTAATCTCTACCGGCGCCGGCGCTCTTCATTTACCATGTCTTAAAGTTAATTATAGTTTCCGCTAGAGGCGCTGGTGTGATGTGATATGGAAACAAAACGAGACGATCATACTTTTCGAAAACTATTGCAAAACTCGTAATATGGGAAGATGATATTATTAACTCGATCTTACAAAGGACAAGGTCGACAATCAAAATAATAAAAAAAATGTCGGTGTGTGTAGTTATGAACGCGCGTGAGAAGTTATACTTCTTTAACGAAATTAAAAAATTAGTTGCATGCGAATAATTAATTACAATAAAATAATAAGAAGACTAGAAAAGGTTAGTCAACACAATCAAAAAAGTTCAGTTTTAAAGTGAAAAATTAAATAAATAATCAAAATATTAAACTACTTGACCGTCACTGAAAGCTTTATATTGAGATAGCACTTCCGTTTCCCGTCGAATTACCATCAGTTTCCGTACTTTTATTCACCTTGTATCCGGTCCAGTGGCGACACCTGGCAGAAGCGCGGCCATTTTTGTTTTCCTAAGTTTTGACAGCGCCATATTAACTCATTGGCGTTCTGACTCCCGTCGAAGCAACACGTGCTCAATCTGAGCGATCGTTGTGAGATTTTAAAGGTTTTATTATTATTAAGTGATAAAACTGTAAGTAAAACTATTTTATTTTAACGGTTTTTGCCGTTCGTGTTATTCCAAATAGGTACTTTACGTGTTAAAAGTGAAGGAACCGTAAGTAAAACTATTATTCTTTTTGATAGTTTTTGGAGCCCTTGTGATAAGGGATATTTAAAATAAATATGTTAAATTGTGCAATACCCTTGTTTAAAAAAGTTATAATAAGCTGTGAGTAAAACTTGACGGCCATTCAAGGTGCGTTTTGTTTAAAAAATTAAAGTACCTACATTAAAGTAAATTTTGCAATACTTTACGACTGTCTTGGTCGTTTGTAATAAAAACTATTTTAAGAGTGTTTTCTCTTGGTACTCAATTAATGTTTCCGTATAAGTAAGTGTGAAAGTAAATTGGTAAATGTATTACAAAATACTTAATTAAATTATTTTATAGTTTAGAGTGAAGGAACATCGGTCAATATTGACGTTTCAGCCGCCAACTGACTGGCATTAGTGGCAAAAACAGCAAGATGGTTGAATTTGTCATCTTCTGGTATAACGAAAGCGGCATCGCTATCTCAAGAAAAGTAAGCGAGCTTGATATTCCAGCCCTTTTATTAAAAGATTGTTCGAGGGGTAAGTGAACTATGTACAATCTTAATAAGGTATTTCTAATGTCGATATGCCTTTTTCTGAACATGGCCAGTTATCAATATCAAAAGGCTTATGAATAAAAAGTTCTAACATTTTTACTGACCAATACACGTAATAAAAATTCTCATGTGAGTCGTGTGACTAAACTAGGATAAAGGAACGCTCTGTTCGAAAGACATTCAACGTTTATTTTAAATGATATGCTGATGTAAATTGAAAATTATAATCATAGTCCAGGCTTTACCAACCTGGAAACAAACAACGAGGTAAAGAAGTATGATGATAATTTATGATATATCACGTTCCTGACATTAATTTTCTTTCAGCAATTGCATATTTCTAAAATAAAAATGAATCATTGCGGGAAGGCACCTGTTCAGTTAATTTTAATAACGAAAGTGATAAGATAACAGAATCGTTTCTTAGGTCTTTTACAGCTAGTGAGGGCACAAAGCTAAAAAGTAAAAACTAAAGCACTGCTTAAGAAGTTAGTGATCTCTGTGATGAAGCACCACTTAATAAGATACCATCTAATCACCCATAATGATTCAGAGCTTTTGAGATTGTTTTTCTCGTATTAAGTCAGAATTAGTCATGGATTCAACTCGCGCAGGGGCAAGTGATACTCATAAGCTTCATCTCATGAAGCCCAAGGCGTGTCAGGACATGCCATCCCATGGCGTACCGCTACAGTACCGGTGACAAATCACCCTCGCAGGGTGCATATTATATATAATTTGTTTCCACTACGTGGAATCTTATGAAATGCGTCAAATGCCTTGCCTACATATACGAGTACCGGAAGCAAATCACCCTCGCGGGGTGCATATTAAATACAATTTGTTTCCACTACGTGGAACCTTATGAAATGCTTCTAATGCCTTGCCTACATATACGAGTACCGGCAGCAAATCACCCTCGCGGGGTGCATATTATATACAATTTGTTTCCACTACGTGGAACCTTATGAAATGACTCTAATGCCTTGCCTACATATACGAGTAACGGTAGCAAACCACCCTCGCAGGGTGCATATTACCAAAACTCTAATGACCGCCCCTCGCGGGGGCATATTATGTATAATTTGCTTCCACCGTATGGAACTCATTATGAATAAAGACATGCCTTCCATGGCTTGCCTACACATACAAGTATCGGTAACAAAATATCGTTGATGGAGGAATATCCTCATCAATCTTATAATCGACCTTATGGGGTCATATCACACATAATATATTATTTCCATTACGTGAAGCTCAATATATGTTTTCCTTAGAACATGTTCGCTTATGGAGTTCGTACTATTATGTAAGCACCGGTAACATACGACACTCGAGTGGAGCAAATTATGCATAATTTAACATATAGTCTATTCGTGATTCATAATTTATTTTTGTGACCATGGGGTCTGTAAAAGTGTAAACGATTCGAAACATTAAAAATAAGTAAATTGAAAATATAATAAATGTCGCTTGACATAATTCATTACTTCCATCGCGTGGAAATCCATACATCGACGCAACGCAACATACCCGCTCATGGTTTGCGTACACACATAAGTATCAGCTATAAACTACCCTCTAACTACTAATAGACTATAAAGATCGAACATCGAATATTGACGTACCCAGTTGTGAAGTGCAATGTACGTGGTTTTAAAGGTGTCGCATACTCCGAGGTCTTGGGTTCACCCCGGTGGGGCAAATCATTGTATGATTAAAACAAGCATCTGTGCCTAAGTCTTGGTTGTTAACAAATATCATCATTATGCATTTCTATGCGTTAGTCCATAACACAAGTCTTTCAATGCCTATTATGAGGCTAGGCTCATTGGTGTGAAGTGTTGACTCGATCACTATGGTTGTTCTACCGTAATATAGTTATCGAGGACGTGCTGTAATACATTTCAAAAGAAAAAGGAATATCGAAACAATTAATGTTTGAAAAAATTTAGTGCAGGACAGTTGATAAATTGGTTGCACCACAAATAATTCTTAAATAAATTTAATGGTGTCGCATGCCATTCAAAAGCTTGTTTATCTAAATCCAATATATATCAAGCTCCAATCTCAAGTGCAGTACACTATAACTATGTAAAGAATTCTAAGTTTTCTGCAATTTAAAGACTATCTGCCAGATAGATAGATGATAACATATTTTCTCTTGAAAATAACAAAAGTAAACCAAATGGGTTGCTCACTCTTTTGAGGTAATGAGAGAAACATGCAAAATTAGAAATGTCGTGTATGAGGTGTCCGAGGTGGCCAACATGATCATTTTGATATATAAGTGGTGCTATGTACTGAAGAAAAATTGCACGATCTACCAAATTCTTGAAAGGTTTTGAAGATCATTGTATGCAATTATCCACTTTATGTTATTTTTAGTAAAAAATACTGAAAACTGTTCTTAATATTAAACTTACGCTTTCTAACCTTGCCACGACTGTCTGGAATAAATATACTTCAAACCCTACGCATACTACATGCACACTTCATGTAAGCTGTGTAAATCTTATAAATAACTAAATCTTTATTTAGTATTAAGTAATACATATAAATGACTCAGATCTAAGAACTGAAAAACAAAAGGAAAAATTACAATCAATTATAGATTCCAGGATGGCAAATGAATTTCATAAAATCTGGTCTGAACTTCGTAATAGCATAATTTATCACGGCAACCCTGCAACAATATAAAAACTATACCTGAGAATTTCGTTGTAAAAACGTAAAACTTCAGAAGTTGATCGGTTTCAACATGTTTGTCATTCCGTGGGGTTGTATCAACCACTCCCTACTTCTAACAATAGTTATAAATTCATTGCAATCGACCTTGCAATCACTTCTTGCCAATCTAATATGAAAGCTTGGCAAGTATAGTTGAAGAATACGGCTCTACCACTTCACTTCAATCTCCACTCCAATCAAATAAATATGCTAGCACTACGCTTTTTATCATATTCTACAAAGAGCGACAGCTCTGTTTTAAACAGCTATGAGATGGCTCGGAAACGCTGGCTTGCGTGGTTGCATTGGTCTAGGAACAAGAATGTTTATCGGAATAATCCCGCAGGTTGTGGCCTCGGCTCTGAGCTAACACGATTTGAGACTTATTTTAACACGTGACTTATCTCAAAACTTATTTTGAACTTGTATTGTATGGTACTTAACCATTATTCTAAATAAGTCGGTAGTTTTTACATGATATACCAATGGATGATAAGTCTAATTACCTAAGCTCACCTGTCTTGGCAAACACATAATAATATTTTCTTTTCTTCAATAATGTACTCGTTATATCATAATAATCTGTTTCAAATACCTCGTCATACTAGTTGTTGTTCTGAACGTCATACAGTAATTATGCTGCGTATTATTTGGTTCAGCATGTGGTACACATGACTTGTTCCTACTTCAAATTATTCCGAATCATTGTATTTGTACCGACGAAGAATCTTTTTTAGCCTTGTTTTGGTTCAAAACAGGTGAAAGTAGTTAAAGACAATCCGATTGGTGACTTGTATCGAATAATGGTAATCGTAAGTGGGACCCTGATTTTTGGTACTTAAGTAAAAAGTACAGTATTGTAAAATGTAAGACTCAGTATCGAACAACTTTACATCTTTTTCTCGCATTCGTACGCCTTATTTGTGATATACAAAGATACAAATGAATGCTACACAAGGAAGGCGTCCGGTCATTAACAAAGCAAATATATATATATATAATTCTCTAGTTTTAAGCAAAAGAATCTAGCGATCAGCTAATACATATGTTAAAGCAGCTTCGTAAGCGTGAAGAAATTAAAGGCGTGATTCAAATAATATTATTTGATCCATTTTTAAGCTTACTCGTTTCTTTATACAGTTTCATATAATCTGATAAATGTTAATATTTAAATTTATCATAAATTGTCACATTGGCGTATATATCTATGTACGTGGCGATCACCAGGCGATAACAAACAGGTCTCAATATAAAGCTTTCAGTGACGGTCAAGTAGTTTAATAGCAGCATTTTACCTGAAATAAAATGCATATTAAAATACTTACCTCACTGAAAGCTTTCACTTTAAATTCTGCCTGGTGAAATAATTGAGCCAATGAGTTAATATGGCGCTGTCAAAACTTAGGAAAACAAAAATGGCCGCGCTTCTGCCAGGTGTCGCCACTGGACCGGATACAAGGTGAATAAAAGTACGGAAACTGATGGTAATTCGACGGGAAACGGAAGTGCTATCTCAATATAAAGCTTTCAGTGAGGTAAGTATTTTAATATGCATTTTATTTCAGGTAAAATGCTGCTATTAACACTTAAATGGTTCGCACTTGTAAGGAACTAAAACACGTGTTGTGATTATAGAAACTAGAAACATGTGGATAATATCTGAAAACAGTGATTAGAGGCGACGAGCGTGCCAACATGCGCGACTAATAGAGATTCTATTTCTATTTTATTGGTAGCTTGTGTTCGAGACTTAAGGTGAACGCAGACTTGGCCGCATCGCACGCGCCGCATTCTTCGCATTAGAATTCTTTATATGAAGTTCTATGCAATCTCGTACACCCACCCGCGTCGCAGTCGCCGCAGTCCCTGAACTCCCCAAGCCGCAGCTGATGACGTCACCAACGCCGGCCCGCACCCAGTGGACGCTGCGGCTAGCGCGGCGCGGATGACGTCATTCGCATCAACTGAATGAATGAAATCAAGTGCGATGCGTGCGGCGACGGGAACGACTGCGGTGCGGCCAAGTCTGCGTTCACCTTAAAATTGCACTCTCATCATTTTTTCATTACGCGCATAAAGGAGTATAACTTCAAAAATAACTTTTCTTATAGATTTGAATGCCGGCAATCACATGGCTATTTACCATTTTGACAACAGGTTGTTCTTACCATACTCTATAAGGAGTGAAAGGGAGAGATTGTAGTCTAGTTTACAAATACAATGGTATCGATTCTGGCATGATTCTCTAAAGCTAAAATTAAATTTGACAGCAGTGTATCTCTGTCATACTCCATACAGACTGAAAAGGACAAACTGATGTTAAATTTAGTTTTAAGTTTAGAGAATCCTGCATGAATTGACACCAGTAGTAAATACGAATAGCCATGTGAAGTGTCGGCATATAAATACATAGAGGTAATCTATTAGAAAGAAATAAAGAGCCTCTATTTTGTGTTTCTCTCCCGTCTCGTTTTCTTGGTCACAGTATTGTGACAATGATGTCGATTCTGGCATGATTCTCTAAAGCTAAACTTAAATTTGACAACAGTGCATCCCTGTCATTTTCTATACAGAATGAAAAGGAGAGACTGATGTTAAATTTAGTTTTAAGTTTAGAGAATCACGCCGGAATCGGCATCATTAAGTATTAATCTATGAAATATGACCGGAAATCACAGTAAGTTTATGAATCCGTAGTTTTTTGGAAAAATATCTTTATTCCATGATCATAACATTAAATATGCATTTCTTCTTATTTTATAATATTTTGAGAAATAATAGATTAAATCAGAGTATTTCTTAAATACTTAAAGGTTTAAATTACTATTATTGACTGGTAATAATTGGAATGGACCGGAAGTTTGTATGCTATCTGTCGAACAGCAACGCCGCCGACAAGCCAAGGATTTTTGTTGTTTGGCGCCTTTTGAGGCCGGGTGGTTAATCATTCTCATAAATATTTCTCTTTCATACTCTACAGCAAAAAACTATAGTTTTAATTGAAATGGGTGATAAAGGTGATGGAGGTAATTAAATGCATTTAAAAACTGAAGCGAAGTAATAGATAAGGGGCGGGCAGATATTCACGTTCTTGACATGTCCATTGTATTTGGGTAGGTAACTGAATTTTATAAAATTGTTTCCTTTTAGAAACCTTCGATGATGCAGTCGAAGAAAGAGTTATCAACGAAGAGTATAAAATATGGAAGAAGAACACTCCTTTCTTGTATGATTTGGTGATGACCCATGCTTTGGAATGGCCCTCGTTAACAGCTCAGTGGTTACCAGACGTAACGAGGCCTGAAGGGAAGGACTATTCTGTTCATAGGTAAGCAATATTTTACCCGGTAACTCTTGAAATCGAAGTAAAGACAGGTTAGAATGCCTCATATACCATGATAATGCTGTTCTTGGTTCTTGGTCAACAATGTCCTTAAAAAGTAGTGTATGTAATCATAGCTTTGTTTTCTTTTTATCAGGCTTATTCTAGGTACACATACATCAGATGAACAAAATCATTTACTGATTGCTAGTGTTCAACTACCTAATGAAGACGCACAGTTTGATGCCAGTCACTATGACAATGATAAGGGTGGTAAGTAACTGTTTTTTTATATATAACATCTTTCCTCTCACTTTTTGCAATTTGTGGGAGTGATTTCATGAAATGGTTGCGAAAGCACACGCTATTTGATTTGATTTTAGAACATAATGTTCAAATGACTTATTCCTTTTGTAGTAGGTTTTATTTCTTTTTACTGATATAAGGTGAGGTTTCTAATGTTACACATCATACATAGCTACTGTTAGGCTCTCTCGTTTTTTTTTTTAATTCTTCACCATTTACAATTACCCTGTGTGACTGAATAACAATAAAGACTTGTGCTCGGCTATTGATTAGGCACCCACAATTTTCACTTCCACACTTGTTTACTATTCGAAAGATTATATTTTTTTAAGTAAATACACTAAATATCAGATCTGGGAAACTTGTTGTTGTTTGTTTATAATAAATAATTGAAAATCATAAAATTAAAATTACATTTTGTGGGGGGTAGTAGCCCCCTTCCTTGCTGCGAAAATTGTGGGTGCTTCGCCAAGCCAAGCCCTTCTGCTCCTACTATAAAGAAGAATTCTGGTTGGTATCATTCTTTAGTTTTATCGAAACAATACATAATTACCTCATATTCCAGAATTTGGAGGATTTGGTTCAGTGTCTGGTAAAATTGACATTGAAATTAAGATCAACCATGAAGGAGAAGTCAACAGGGCAAGGTATATGCCCCAAAATCCATGTGTGATAGCAACAAAAACTCCATCTTCAGATGTTTTAGTATTTGATTATACCAAACACCCTTCGAAGCCAGAGCCATCTGGGGAGTGTCATCCTGACCTTAGGTAAGAATAACATTTAGTTTTTTACAATCTTTACAACTGCCCTTTAAGGGCCTTATATTTCTAATAGGTTAGTTGACAGTAAGAAAAATTAAGTATTTAATATGAATACTACCAGCGATTTTACTTTTCTGAAATAACAAATCATTAATAACTTTTCTATAAAATCAGGTAATAGGATTTTTTTTGCTCCATGGTCACATGACTAAAAATGTTACTGGTCAAGACTAAAATGTCATCACACAATAGTAAACTTCCAGCTAAAGTTATGTTACATTGTATTGTTTGACGTTTCAATGACAGTCATGTGACATCACATACTAGTGAGACATCATAATGTACAGAGAAATGTTTTGGTGGCAACTTCGAAATAGAATATTTAATTTAGTTTTTTTTACTGAATTACACAACAGAATTAAAAATGTCCACGTTTTATGAACTCCATAAACATTATTCAATAACGTAAGATCATTTTCTAAAACTTGTGAAATACCCTATTTGGCTCTAATGGTAGTCTGACATGAACAAAAACTACGTAAAATTGCTTTATGTCAGACAAGGTTACGGGATTGTATATGATTACTCTTAGAGGCAGGTTGGGCTCTAATGGTAGTCTGTCATAAAGCAATAGTAGGTAAATTGCTTCATGTCAGTCAAGATTATTGGATCATGTATAACTCTTAAGAGACAGGATTGGCTCTAATGGTAGTCTGAAATGAGGCAAAACTTTATAAATTGCTTCATGTCAACTAGGTTACTGGATTGTGTATGGCTGCTCTTAGAGACAGGTTTCTTAGCCTCTAATAAAGATCAGAAGTTTAACATTAAGTAATAAATTGATGAACAAAGATTTTTATTTCAGGCTTCGTGGTCATCAAAAAGAAGGCTATGGTTTATCATGGAATCCAAATTTAAATGGGTATCTTCTGTCAGCCAGGTAATAATTATTGCATATATCAATTTTATTTTAATCTAGGGAGTAACAATAATTAGTTTGCTTAGTAAAATTTTATCTATAAAACCTATTTATTGTAATTCAGAATTTGTAGTTTACAAAGCACATTGTAAACAAAATTTTAACAAAAAAATCAAAAACACTTAAAAATGTCCTTTTGTCCCGAGATATAGATTGGATATTAATTAAATTTTTTCAGTGATGACCACACAATCTGTTTATGGGACATCAATGCTACTCCAAAAGAGGGTAGAGTAATTGAAGCCAAATCAGTGTTCACGGGGCACACGGCCGTAGTGGAGGATGTGGCGTGGCACCTTTTGCACGAGTCTCTCTTTGGTTCCGTCGCTGATGATCAAAAGCTGATGATTTGGGACACAAGGTATGATGAAGAAACATATTTTAACTTATGAAACCTTTATTGATTGAATAAGAAGTATTAATTACTTTAAAGTCAGTTCACAGCAAAATGTAACTTGGTATAATTATACAAAATTAAACTATTTAATGCACATTTTAGCACAAGTATTAAAAAATGTGAGCATTTTCATATTAGATTCTTGCAGTTGTCGTCTTACGGCTGATATTGTGATTGACATAAATCCCCTGTAACATAGGGACTTTAGTCGTTTCGCCCAATTCAACTTCGGGGGGCGAAACGACTTGTAACGTCGCACTATACCGCGAAATTAAATTTGTATTTTTACTCAGGGAATAAAGTTTTATTTCGTACTAGCTGACCCAGCGAACTTCGTATCGCCATAAAAATATGGGTGGTAGAGGGGTGAAAATTAAGGGTTGTTTGTGTTTTTAATATTACGATACATATTTAACGTAGTTTTTTTTTTCTTCAGACGATTTAATAATTATTTTGAACACAAAATCGGTTATTGTGATTAAATCATGATAGCTAGATATATGTTCTCGCGGACTTTTTTGTAGGTCTTAATGGGATCACATCATTTTGTTCTATTGTCAATAGTTTTGCAGGTTTTCGATTTTATACCTTGTGTTACAAAATACAAATTTTATTACGGATCCCTAATTTTGAGAAAAAAAATTAGCCTATAAATATAGCCTTCCTCGATAAATGGACTACTTAACACTGAAAGAATCATTCAAATTGGACCAGTAGTTCCAGAGATTAGCGCATTCAAACAAATAAACAAACTGCAGCTTTATAATATTAGTATAGATGTCCAAGAACGTCTGTTCTTGTCCTTATGAAGATGTAAATATTATTAATAAGCAACACATACTCAATTTAAGAGAAAAAATTAATCTATTCATCACAAATACAGTTATAATAATATGAGGTAAATAAAATAAATGTATGTTACATTTAGATTCCTCATATTATTAAGTTTTCATTTAAAGATAAATCTGCTCTATAACATATGCAGTTGACATGCTCTTTGTTTTGGTTTTTGCTCTCAGTCTAGCATATACCATATTATTTGTATTCCAGATGTAACAATACGTCGAAACCATCGCACACAGTAGACGCACACACAGCTGAAGTGAATTGCCTCAGTTTTAATCCTTACTCAGAGTTCATTCTCGCCACTGGAAGTGCTGACAAAACTGTGAGTATACTTTGATATTATCAACTTTCGAATTTTAACATCATACATATCTTACTTAATATATCCATCAAAAGAGTAAGCAACATGAACTTTTTTGAACTTTTGACTGACATTTAATATTTCAAAACTGTTATTATTTTGTTAACAACCAATTTAATTGTTTAGTGACTAAAGCAAAAAAAAACTTTTGAATAAATTATACATTTCATAACGATGATATAAAATATCAACTGATAAGACTTGCAGTTTGAGTAAATAATTCATGCTGCTTTGACTCTTTGATGAGTGTATTATAATTGTCAAAGTTTACTCCATTAAGCAAAAGCTACTTCACGGATTTCGATAAAAATTTAGTATGCATATAATTTATGACCTGATTTGAGACATAGGTTACTTTTCATTGGGGAAAATTCGTATCGTGTTCTTCCGCTGGTACTATTATAATTACAGGAAAATTGTTTAACTAATACGTTATTGTTGTTACACAGGTAGCCCTATGGGATTTGCGGAATCTAAAATTAAAACTGCATTCCTTTGAGTCACACAAAGATGAAATCTTCCAAGTGCAGTGGTCACCACATAATGAAACAATCCTGGCCAGCAGCGGAACAGACAGAAGGTAATATTTTTCATTTGTGGGCAGTTAAGAAATATAAAAGCCTTATATATCTATTTTAAGAATAGATTTTTTTCATTAACTTGTGACTTGTGTCTAAAAAGCCTGGTATACGCGACGCGTCGAATATGAACATATTTGTTATAAAATAAAAATATAAAGTCATGTTATTACCGCGATTTGGAAATCTCGGTCAGGGCGTGCAATATATCATTATAGAATATTGAAGCCCCAGACCGAGTTTTTCAAATTCGCGTAAAATTTGTATGTCCAGTGTTTTTGGTCATTTGTACATTATAGTATAACTTACAAAATCTTATATATAAAATTCTCGTGTCACAATTTTGGTTACCACGGCACGACAACCGACCGACGGTCGGTCGCTGATAATTCTAGATGTTATTTAGTTTTATTTTTTAAACTACAATACCTCTCTGACATATGTTATCTACCCACCCACTCTTCGCTATCCGGGCGAATGCACTGACATTGTGTTACCGCGGCCCTAACGGCCGTGTCGAATTTTCTATTCATTAATCTTTAGATTTAAACATAATTTTACTTTCAATCTGGACATTGACGGTCAGTTTTTCGCGTCAGTTGAACTGACGTCAATCCAAAATTTTATCGTGAGTGTCATTTAACGGACGACGCGCCACGTAATTTTTCGTGACTACCATAATCCAATTCGGCGTCGCGCCAAACCCGTGAGTGTTTGATAGTCATTCCAATGGCGTCAGTTCGCCTGCTTTCTTGTTTTTTGGTGAGCATATGGCAACAAACTGTTGCCGCAGTAAGAATTACTAGTTCTTGTTAGGAATCAGAATATTGAAGTTATACTTCTTTAGGCGCGTTATGAAAAAATTATGAGAGTGAAATTTTAAGATGCGCGCGCATCACTGTAACACAAAAAATTAACAGCATGAACTTGCTCGCTTTAGCGACCAACTTCATGCTGTTACTTTTGTGTTTACCGCACATTAAGAAAATCTACCAACAAAATAGAAATAGAATCTCTATTTTGTGGGTGCTAACGACTGCATCGTGAAGGCCTATCAAAAGTATTTATTAATCTGGAACAACGGAACCAAAGCGCGATTCAGGAGACTACAGCGCCATCTCTCGACCATTGGTGTAGTAGAACCAAAAACCACATCTTTATTTTTTGTAATAAAGTAACAGTTATAGTATTCATATTTATCCACATGTTTCTAGTTTGTATATTCGGAATACGTGTTTGAGTTTCATACAAGTGCAAATCACATATTATATTCAGTAGCGATTTTAATTGAATATTTTGATTATTTATTTATTTTTTCAAATTAAAACTGAACTTTATTGACTGTGTCCTTTTCCAGACTTTTTATTAATTTATTGTAATTAATTATTTGCATGCAATTAAAAACTAATTTTAAACGATGCCAAAGAAGGATAACTTCTCACGCGCCTACATAAGTACACGCACCTATTTTTTTTTTTTTTTCGAAACAACTATGTGTCGAAAAAGAAAAAGAATTCCGATTAGGCCCGAGCTGTTAGGTGTATAACTATACTAGTACACATCCTAACAGCTCGGGCGATCGAAAACTGAAGGCAGGACTGACGCCAGTGAGTTGGGAAATTTGTTTATTTAAACTTTATTGCCATTCATATGCAAACGGCGGACTTAATGCCATAAGCATTCTCTACCAGTCAACCTGAAAATCGAGTAGTCTGAAATCTAGTTGGCCTAAACCATGTAAAGTGGCGCTACAGTTTTACGCCTAGACTGACGCGAAAAACTAACCGTCAATGTCCGGATGAAAAAGTTTTTGTCTGAAACTTCTTTTGATGATCACTCACACAAATACAAAGCTCAGCATAAAGGCATCGCGGACAGTGCACGCTTGTTTGATATTTGGTTTCCAATATTTTTTGAAGGCTGCTTTCGCGCCTGTATGTTTGCATCATAAAGGCTTAACATCATCATCATCATCAGTATTAATGTCCCCACTATTGGGGCACAGGCCTTCCCTATGGATGGAATAGGGAGATTGGCCATGCCCACCACGCGGGCCCAGTGCGGACTAGTGGGTGCTGACGACTGCAGATGCAGCCGGAACCAACAGCTTAACGTAACGTGCCTTCCGAAGCACGGAGGAGCTCGAGATAGTAAATTTTTAGTCACCTATCCAATGACCGGCCACTGCGAAAGTTGCTTAACGTCAACGATCGCAGCCGAACGCGCTTACCAATTGCGCAATCGAGCTCCTCTACTTCAAGACTTAACACTATTGTGCAATGTTCAGGTTACACGTATGGGATCTGTCCAAGATCGGCGAGGAACAAACGGCCGAGGACGCGGAAGATGGCCCTCCCGAACTGTTGTTCATCCACGGAGGACACACCGCCAAGATATCAGATTTCTCCTGGAACCCCAACGAGCCCTGGGTTATCTGCTCCGTGTCTGAGGACAATATCATGCAGGCATGTATAACTGTTTCACAGATGTAGGGTGTTTTGGTTCGTATTCACCCGGACTGGTCCTGAAACATCAACGAGCCCAGGATCATCTGCTCTCTGTCCGAGGACAACATCATGTAGGCACGTATAACTGTTTCACAGATGTAGGATGTTTTTCGTTCGAATTCACCCAGACTGTTCCTGGAAACCAAACGAGCCCTGGGTTACGTGCTCCGTGTCCGAGGACAATATCATGCAGGCATGTATAACTGTTCACAGATGTAGGATGTTTTTGGTTCTAATTCACCCAGACTGTTCCTGGAACCCTAACGAGCCCTGGGTTATCTGCTCCGTGTATGAGGACAATATCATGCAGGCACGTATAACTGTTTCACATATGTAGGGTGTTTCTCGTTCAAATTCATCCGGACTGGTCCTGAAACCTCAACGAGCCCAGGGTCATCTGCTCTCTGACCAAGGACAATATCATGCAGACACTTATAACTGTTTCACTGGAAACAAAAACTGGAACCCCAACGAGCCCTGAGTTATCTGCTCCATGTCCAAGACAATATCATGCAGGCATGTATAAATATTTGAAAGATGTAGGATGTTTTTCATTTGAATTCACCCAGACTGTTCCTGGAACCCCAACAAGCCCTGGGTTATCTGCTCCGTGTCCGAGGACAATATCATGCAAGCCCGTATAATTGCTTCACAGATGTAGGGTGTTTCTCGTTCGAATTCACCCAGACTGCTCCTGGAACACCAATGAGCCCTGGAAATCAGCTCTGTGTCCGAGGACAATATTACAAGGATCATGTATAACAGTTTCATAGATGTATAGTGTTTTTTATTTGAATTCACCTGCATTTCTTCTGGAACCCCAACGAGCCCTGGGTCACTCTGCTCTGTCTCCAAGTACAATGTTATGCAGGAACGTAGTACAATTTTCGTACAAAAATAAAAAAAAAGACAAGACTTTCTTGCATTCATGTACTTTTTGTAGTGCAAATAAAGCATTGATAGAGTACTTTTTATAGTTGTCATGTATTATTATTGTAGATAGGATTGTGATGAGGGTACTTTTTACTTTATTATAATCAATAATGTTAATTAAGTTGAAGGTAGTTATGATATACCGCCATAGAACAGTGTCATTCAGGCTACCGAGCTGAATAAAGGATTATGCAATAAATATCTATTGTTTTGTGTTTCTAAACATAATAGTGATAAAAATAATACTAAAAATGGACAACAAAGCAGTGAAATTTGAGGAATTCAATCCACAAACAGACAATTGGAACATTTATCTTGATCGGTTCAAATTTTGTTTTGAGGCAAATGGTATTTTAAGTGAACAAGCGAAACGAGCCAATTGTGTTACAGTGTGTGGTTCTCAAGTGTATGAAACTTTGGTTGCGTTAATTACTCCAAATCAGACTAGTGATGTGACATTCAGTGAAATCGTGACTATTCTTACGAAACATATAGCCCTAAACCAAACGAAATATCAGTGTCCTTTAAATTTTACAATCGAAATCAAAAGCGGGGGGAATCAGCTTCCGATTACATTGCGCATTTAAGAAAATTAAGTTCTGGGTGTAATTTCATTGACTTAGAGAGAATGTTACGTGATAGACTGGTTTGTGGCATGTGTGGCACTTCCGCGCCGCCACTACCGTCGGCGCCGGACGCCATGGAGGCGATGGACATTAATGCAGTACAGCCTAAAGTTTTAGTTCGATTTTGCTATCGTTGTGGTGAACGCCACTCAGGAGAATGTCGTTTCGCAAATACTGTTTGTCGTTACTGTAAAAAAAAGGACACTTGGAAAAAATTTGTATAACAAAGAAAAGAAATATGTCATCTAATATAAATCGTAATATTAATTTCACATATGAACAAGAAGATCGTTTAAATGGTATTTACTGTGTAATCAGTCAGGGTCGAGTGCCTGCTTATGAAATAATGGTGTCTTTGGCGGGAATACCTATTCACATGCTAATTGACACGTGGGCTAGTTTTTCTATTATCAACGAACACACTTGGCATGAACTGAAGTTTCATTTAGTATGATTTAAACCAGTTGAATTTGAATTTCAACTCATGTCAATCAAAACAGCCTAAAATACTGTTAAAATTACTAAATTAAAAATCACGCCAAAACCTCACTGTAGGTATGTCATTAAGTACAGCTCCTTTAAAATTTAATTTGATGTAATTATACCGTTTTGCTTGCCACCTCCTCACATGAAACCCAATCATCACACAAAGTCTGAAATCTGAATAAAGAATCACCTTAACAACGATTGCTATTTATTTTCCGTGCAGGTGTGGCAAATGGCCGAAAACATCTACAACGACGAGGAACCGGAGACGCCGGCATCGGAACTAGAGTCAGGCGTTAACGTGAACCACGGCTAAAAGCCTACCGACCCCCCCCCCCCCCTTCCCCCTCCCTTGTATTCCCCTTCTAGCCATCCAATCACAGAGCACACGCAATCGCATAAAACGTGAAACGCGTAAACGTAAACGTGTTCTACAGATAAGTTGGTGGCACCAATTTTTCCATCTGGCCGTGACCAATCAAAACGCGGCCTATCCCTTCCCGCACGCCACCAACTTTGGCAATTTAAGTCCACTTGTAGCAATTTTGTTGAATGTCGAACTAAAACTAGCTTTATCCTATACAGAAATGTCAAAACACCAATGTCAATTTGATATTTTTTTATGGGCTAAATCTTGTATTAGTTAAATTGAGACTTAGAAAAATTTCTGGAAGTGAATTTGAGATTTGAAACAAACATTTTGTAATGCGGACTCTAGTGGGAAAATTCTGTGCATCCGATGCACCAGCGCCGCTCTATCACCCCCCTCTATCGCCGCACTCGCCTCGCGTCACATAATACATGAATACTCTCACCGCTGGCATCAACTAAATATTCTGCAGAGAAACGCCAATATGTGTAATTATTATTGAGAAATGTTAACCCTGTAACTGTCTCATAGTTATAGAAAATGGACTGTGTTCTCTAGCAAATTGTAAAGTATAACTTTTCCATCATTTAAACTGTATTCTTCATCACCTGCAAACGTCTTTGAAAATTATAATCCTTAATTTTACATGGAACTTTCCACTTGGAACACATGATTTTACAAAGATCTACTGATAATATTAGATTTTTTTTATCTTAACTTGAGCAACGACTATACAAGTAACCTGCGCAGTAGCAATTTTACAAGTTAATATGTTTGTGGTTTTCATCAAGAAGTTTGTCATTATGCCACCTTTAGTAGTAATTATCACAAATTAAAGGTATTGTTTATCCAATAGTCATTCAATATCAATTTCACTATTATCTCTCAAAAAAACGCTATGCTGCTAAGATTGACAGTCTTGGGGTAAACAGTGCTGTGTTATCCTGTTACATAGTATTGAAATTATAAAGCAAAAAAAAACTTGTGATCTTTCTCTCATTCTCCTCCTCCGCGGCCTCTGTATCTTATAGAAAGCTTGGATGGTCTTAAATAAACTGAATTTCTCTATCGTAGGTTGTATTTATAATCGTATCACAAAACCCATTTAGTGTTACTGTTTTTTTACAAATAGACAACTTTGATGCTCAGTTACCGCGTCGTAGATCAGCAATTCAAAAAGAGTCTTGTTATTTTATTCCTAAATGTAATTTACTCGTTTTTTGTGTCTTTTCAATAGAACATAAATGTGAAATAGTAAATGGTAAACTAGTCCAATATTACATCCACACATATTTTAATAACCATTTTATGAATCTGTAGTATGATTGATTGAAGTTTTTTTTTTATATTGTATCTAATTTTACATAAGAAATTAAATAATATTAATAGAACTGGATATTGATGAGTAAAAATCTAATGAGTTTAAAAAGAGATTTCTTCATAATATTGGCATATGTAAGAAGAAATAACTGAACTGTAATAATTATTATAATAATTGTTTGCATTGCAGAATATACTTTAACCATATTGTATGTAGAATTGTAAAACCTAAAAACTAAAAATGTCTAAAGAAAGGAGAAATATAATTAATGGAGAATAAAATAATGGAAAAATAAATTATAAACCTGTTTTCTTGGGCCACATTATTAGTGTCCTTGAATCACATTTAGTATTTTTTTATACGATAACTCATTTTATATAAGAATTTTGCGATGAAAGAAGTTTGTGTTTGCGATTTTAAGGCGATATCAATACACGATTGGTTCTTCTTCTATAGTATTTTAATTTTTCACCTAATAACGAGATGAAGCAGATTGTAGCCTAAGAATGGCAAACAGCCTATTTTGTCGACAATAAACTTACAACTATTTTAAATCACGACTTTACATTAAGTAAGATTATTAGGCGAGTGTGGGCATACAATTATGGGATAAATATAAAGATTTATGTTTCTTAAGAATTACAATTGAGTAAAATCAAAGCTGTTCTAAAAATACCTATTGTGAAATTCCAATCAACATATCTCTGAAAGTCTAAAATAATAATTACGTTAAAGTGTGTCTCTTTTATTATTCAATGAAATACATGCACTAGAATCTCTTAAAAACCATGCTGTATGTATTTTTTTATGGGAAAGCCACGTATTTATTTTTTCGAAAGTCAAAATTCATTTTGTTCCCAGAAGAAGTGTGAGCATGTGATCAAGTTATTTTTTGAAACACAAGCGCACGGTATAAGTACTAAGTATTTAATTTGTCATTATTTTAATTTATATATATTATTTGTTACATCCCATTGCAAGATGTTTTTTTATTGGTATCAATGCCAATTATCCAGAAGGCCGGCATTATTTTTTTATCGAAGACACTAAGCCTAGAGTCTGGAAATAGGACTGACTTAGGATATTTTACTAACATTATAAAAGGAATGTAATTTAAGCTGCTACTAATGATTATTATTATGATTAAAAGTGTCGTAATAATTAAATTTATTTTTTATTTTATCCCCTATTGATATTGAAAATAATTTTGCTTGAATCACTTAGTACCCATAGTTTGATATGTACATAGATAAATGTGACGATAGTTCAGTAAGGCGCTTTGCAGACGGCGGAGCGGAGCGGGCCGGTCAATTTCGCCGTGAACGATAGCACAAAGTGAATCCTATACTACAAACGGACACAGAGGGCAAAAAGACCGCGCCGCAGGTGCCCGGCGGGCACTGGCGGCGAGACATGTCCGCGGCTGCCCGCCGTGGATCATACAAACCAGTTTACCAGTTTATATGCAGTAACGCAGACGGCGGCGCGGGGCGGCTAGCTCAGTCCGCGCCTCCCGCTTTTTAGTGATGGACTATTCACTAGAACGAACGTTCTGAACTGACTGCCTCTGCCCGTCGTGTGCTTTGTGTACGCGGCGAGGGCAGCCGCGGTTTTTATTGCTTCGCGGACAAAAAGCCCACCCTGCCCCGTAGTCTGCAAAGCGCCTAAAAGTAACCATTTTTGTAAAAAAATAACGCATTTACTATGTATTGCACTATATTATGTATACGGGGCCTTGGATTCAGAAACCAAAGTAATCATGATAACAGTGATTATACAAATCAAATTATCCTCAATAATCCGAAATATGTACGAGAATAACGCCTTTTTTATAAATAAGTCCTGGCGCGAAGATAGCTGGTACAGCAGTTCCACCTGCCCACTAGCCATCCTAACCTTGCCGGCCTGCGTATTTTTTTTTTCACGCCTCTTCAAAAGGATCCCGGCTTATAGGAAGAAAGGAACACGTGAGCTGGCAAAGCATTCCATTTGCGGGTAGTACGATAAAGAAATGAGTCACAAATTTCTTTGTTCGCGTGGGAATAGTGGCCTTCTAGATGGAATATGAGTAATACTACTTATTAAGTAATATCATATAAGTCAAATAATCTTTATTAAGTTCTTATTAATTTAAAACAAAACATAAATTATCTTTAAAAATCAACAAGACCCCTTCGCGATGCGAGCCACTGCTACCACGCGTATCACTGTAATTAAGTGGGTGATGTTTGCATTTTGTGACTAAAATGTCCGGACTTTTATAGAAATATCCGGCTTTTTGTCAGGACTTTTCAAATTTTTAAATAGTAACCCTAGTCGCGATGTATATGTGTATGAGGAGTCCTGTGCTCTTATTTATGCGCGAGTGCCAGATGATATTCAAATTAAATGCTACCTATAAATGATATTTTGGTCTTCATGATCGGCGACTACGGAATCCTACATTATACGTAACCCGACACGAAATTAGCAAGTTTTCTTGGCTTGATACGCTGTCACGTGTCTATAATATATGCCGCGAAAGTAATTTTTTGAAGATTTGAGAAGCTTTTTTAAGACTGTAGTATCGTTGGCATCCATTAGCAAAGAAAAAAATGGTTGCCTGTAAAGTCGGTTTTACGGGCGAAGATTTTACGTGACAACGTCTTTTTCTCGGTAGAATATTTATTGATATGAATATAATTAAATTGCACAATAGGAACAAGGAATTGAATGAAAATAAGAATTTCACAAATTTTAACTATAGAAATATATTTTGTTTACTAAAACATTGTACATGTAAACTTAAACTTAACACGAGAGACTCATCGTAACGTTACCGAGCGTTACACTTTTTCATAAGTGACTCCCAGCCGCAACCTAATTTAAGACGTTGTCACGTCAAAAGCAAAGTGAGTATGGAACACTCTGTTAGAACGAAGTTAAAAAAACAACTAAACACAATAAGCTACGAATCAGCTGACGGAGGTGATGAAAACACTATTTTCCGCCTAAGGATAATGGGCAAATCCATCTCTGGCTTTCGAGTGGTTGATTTATAGCCCGCGATCATCGGATAAATCCATAGGGTAAATTCCACCAACAACCTACCCATTCCTCCACTGACCAAAACAATAGCATTATGTCGCATAATATGTACCCCCATGTGCTTATGAAGTACTAGGTTTAGTTTTAGTAGCGGGATGGTTCTTGTCGGAACTACTTGACAACAAAATATTTTGATATTCGGACATACTTAGAATGTTGTCGAATCTTTACCTACTACTAAATATTATAAATGCGAAAGTGTGTCTGGCTGTGTTGTCGCTTCACGCTTAAACCGCTGAACCAATCGAGATGAAATTTCGTAAAAGATAGTTTAGGACCCGAGAAATGACATAGGATAATTTTTATCTTAGAAATCATCCTTTAAGAGGGTGGAAGTTTGTATGGGAAATACCTAATATACTTTCTTTCAATAAAGAAACCGCCAAAAACCTGGCCCTCCATAAATTTTGATAGTAAGTAAATATTAACACGCTAAGAAAAAAGTTTAACCATGCCTGGTCAAGTCCGTACCGTGCGATAAAGAACGTCTTCCAAAAAAAGTGGTCATTAGCCATCATTGTTTTGTGAATCATATACAGGCATTGCGATAAGATAGTGTAAATACAAAGTGCTTTGGTTTCTACTTAAAAACAAGTAAAAAACGTCATTCAATGGAATGTTTAAACTCAAAAAATATCTAGGTCATGCAACTTATATGTAGGGTGCAAAAAAGTAGGACTATTTAATTCTAACCCAGGCTTTCTAGTTTGGTTTCACGCGGAAGCAGTCAACATATACGCAGTAATACGCTAATCAAAGGTTGCGTGACGCATGAATTCAACAAAACAACCATTTACTCATTCCGCTCCCACCCTCCGGCTCCTAGCGGGATGGCCTGGCGTCGTGCCCACATTTACGCACCGCGCCCCGTTACGTCATCCTATCGGGATATTGTGTCGCCACGACTGTCTAGCTAGGGGCTAGTTCACCCGAAAACAATGGCGAACGCAGTCGTCAATATGAACACGTTTGGCGACGTTCGCCTCGTGAACCTGATAATTATCTTATTACTAGTAACATTGACTCCATGTTCCGCACGTGGTTACGGTAGATCACACAGCAGTCACGGCAGATATTCACACAGCAGTCATGGCAGCGGCGGAGCCCACTCTTACCCTGCATCAACCGGATATTCTGGTACGGGGTCAGGCAATCTGCACTCGAACCATGCATCTGGTACTGGTTCAGGTAACGCGTATTCATACCCCGCATCCACAGGACTTTCGGGAAACAATTACAACAGTCACATTACAAAACAATCAACTACGCATCAACAACACAACAACCCCAACCACGGTACCAAGACAGAGGTTCATCACCACTACCATCAAAATTACCATTATAGCCCACCGCAGCAAGTGAGTTACGGTTCCGTCAGTTACCCGGTGTATCATGCTCAACCCCCTGTCTACGTTTACCAGTACAGAGATTCTGGAAGTAGGTTTGATAATTTGCTCACCGGTTTAGCCCTTTATAATTTGGGGAGGATGTCGGCCAACCACGATCACCACCATCATTACGATGCGGATCGAAGATACGTGAGTGCACCGGGTGAGGTATGCAAACTAGGAATTAAAAAGAAAAATGGCGACTACGAAGAGACACGCGTCGACTGCGAGCTCATGTCGAGTTTTATTTGGGAATCTGATAAGCAGACATCTTTACATGCTACCCCGAAAACTTTAAATACAGTTTCTACTTCAGTAGTGAATGTGACGCAGGTACAGACCGGCGAAGCGAAGACTAACCATTCCGTTACCACAATCACAGTGACAAACACCACAGTCGTGGACGCCTTACAAGCTAAAGGGCAGTCCATAGAAGTGACGCCGGAAATGGTTTGTTACATGATTCGCACGTCTCGAAGTTCTAATATTATGAGGAAGGAAATAAAATGCGGAATATTACAAGCTTACGCGCAAAGCTCGTGGCGCCACAATGGCTGTGAAGGGATTTCCTCATCAGTCATTATGATACTTTTTACATTGCTATTGAGATTTGAAGTATTTTAACAATAATGTTTTTAGAATCAATATCTTGGAAGTAGATGAGAGTTATTTCTATTTTTTATTCTGTATCAGTAAGATAGGTACCTAAAGCTCGTGACGCCGTAATGGCTGTGAAGGGATTTCTTCATTACTCATTATGATACTTTTTACATGCTATTGAGATTTTAAGTGTTTTAACAAAAATTTTTTAGATTCAATATTTTGTAAGTAGGTGAGAGATACTTTCTATATTTTATTCTATGTCAATAAGATACTGTTAAAACAAGAAAGTGTCAAGAATAAAACTATTTGTAATAATTATGAAGCAATAAAATAAAACATTCAAAAATATGAAAATCATTTATTGAAACGACAAGCAAAACAATATTGAGTAAAAATACAGAAAAAAACGAGATTATAAATTTATCTTGTCGGAGAACAGCTTGGGTAGGTTCTGCCAGCACTCATAGTATTTGGCGTCCAGTTTCTGGCAGGTTTCGGCGCCCCATTTCGTTATGGCCATGCTCAGGGACGACTCGAACATGAATGCCTGATCAACAGATATTATACAGTTGACAATATTATTATATGTATCAATTTGAGGATAATAAAAAAAGTAAGTAAGAGTCAGCTTGTTATGAACTTCACGTCAGGATTATGTCATCACTTCAATGTTAACAAATGATTGTTATAGGGAACCGGCTTAGCCGTAGGGGCAGTCTACGGGCGTTGTCTGTGGGCGAGAGGACTGTGTTACGGTTAGTACCACCGTCCTCTAATAGATGGCTCGGCCGGTTCCCTATATAGTTTTTTTTTTCAATATGTGATATCTGATTTTTGTGATCGTGATCGTTATCCTACTATAATATAGTAAATGTGAAAGTTTGTATGTTTTTACTCAATCACGCAATAAATACTGAACGAGCTTGGCAAGCATATTTTGTTTATGACCTGCATTGAGAGTTGAGACAAAGGACATTTTTTTCCCGAAAAAATATCAGGTTCCTTTGGGTTTCCCAAAAAAACTAAAGTTAACGCGGACAAAGTCGCGGGCGGCCGCTAGTACTAAATAAATAATAAAAACAATTTTTTGTCGTTATAAAGGGTCATCCACACACTGATTTCATGCTTGTTTTTGTGAAATGACACGGTTATAGAATAGAAATTTAAGGATGAAGGGTAGGTAGCGCGTGTATCGCAAACGTATTTTATGTGGCCACTTAGCACTGAGACAGGCTCTAAACATTATTGCTAGCATCAAACAGGCTTACTATAGTGATCATGATTGCGTGTTCTTTGACAAGATTTTTATAAATAAATGAAGTCGTTGATTTAGTGTACCTGTATTTCGTCCAAAATGTTTTTCCATTAAAAATTAAGTAAGTACTTAGTAAAACTATTTACACGCAGTATTTACAATCTGGCCCGGGCCACTTATGATGTGCACCACCCGCCCCTCCCACATAATTAGTAAATTAAACCAAAATATAGGGCAGTAACGCTAACGAATGGCGCTGTCCTGCTGCCTAGGAAATACTCCTTTACTTTTCCCGACTTAAGACCTACTTATATGAATTAGCTGATGTGTTGAGCGTCCGTCAACTTTTTATTCTCAATACATTGCTAAAACAACACACTGCAATCACGTATGACCCAAATCTCAATGCAAATAAACAACACAAACACAAAGTTTGTCCTCGTAACAAATCAGTGGACAACTGCCTTTTCAAGAAGGTTCTTAGGTTATATATAGGTAGTTATTTATATAACGAAATTAACAAGCAAACCAACATCTATCCGCTCTCTAAGTATGATTGCAAGAAAATTACTACCGATTGGCTTTTAAATCCTTGGATTACATTACAACCGAGAAACTCTTGTCTTTCATCTCGTGAAATGTACTTTAACATTAAATAAACATATTTTCTCTTGTACGTACAGAAACAAACAGAGACACACTCATACTACACAGTGTTATAATCACAATTTACCACTATAATAAAAAACACAATATACGCATACACACACACGAAAAGAAAAATATTATTATATTATTACTAGAGAAATTAGAATTTAAAGAAGAATAAGTTTTGTTTCTCACCTGTGTGCCAACAGCGATCTTCTCAGGCTTCAGGGTGGCGTTGGAAGCGCCCTGGAAGCACTGGACGTCGGGCCCGTGCGGCGTCATCATGGAGTGAAGCGAAGCGCCCCCCGGCAGGAAACCACCCTCCTTGGCCTCGTACGAACCCAGTATCAGACCCATGAACTCACTCATGCAATTTCCTGGAATCAATGCTCATTTGAATGAAAATGAAAGGCAATTCTTAGTTTTTCTTCAATTTATTGCTATATCCCGGGAAAATTTACAACGTGTATCGAAAATAAATGTGGTTGGAAATAACGCACAACCTGAAAGTAGTTTGTTACGAAATGAATAAATTTTATAATTATCATTTTTATTTAATCAATTTAGGCAGTGATATCTCAATGTTCGGAGATTTCAACGCCATTTACACGATGCAATTTTCTTTCACGTAAAAGAGCAATAATAGCATACAATTAATGAGGCGCAATAAGTGACTTTCAAGAATTGTAAGCAACTTTTTACACGCGGATATTGGCGGACATAGTAAAAAGTTTGCATACAAGATAAAATAGAAGTTCCTTGACACCAATACAATTAAGATTATTGCTATCAATTATTGACATGTCTAAACACAGACTTGTACCTATATGAGTATACCATTTATTTGACAATTGTTTCAGGAATTGCGTGGGCGAATATTTCATTCAAGTGTTGAACGATTTGCTGCACTACAGCAATTTGCTCAGTAATATGGAGTTCATAGATTTGGAACTAAGAAATATAAACAAAAAAAAAATGCGTGAATGTCGTGGAACATTCGGTTGGAACGAAGATAATAGGAGATTATTTACTAAGGGAGAAAATAATAATTTAAAAGGCGAGAGCGTTTTTTTAATCTAGTGTAGGATTTTGTAGATAAAAGATTGTATCACATTTTAGCATAATTTCGTTGTCACTAAACGAAGAAGTCATTACTTTTTATATAATTCCGAATTTGACTACCCAATAAACAGATGAATGATGGCGAAATATATTTCGCACGTTTGTATTTTTGCTTACTTAGTTTTTTAATTAAGACGCTATCTTGGTCTCTAGAAATTAAAGAAAACTATTTTGGTCCCTAGGAATAAAAACGCTATTTTGGTCCTAGGAATTAAAAAGCTATTTTGGTCCCTTGAGATTAAAACGCTATGTTGGTCCCTGTAAATAAAGAACAAACTAGCCCTTCGAATAGATGTGTAAATAATATTTATAAAACCCACCAATCAGCACTGGGCCCGCGTGGCGAGTTATGGCTATACAAATTCGTACCTATACGTATATTACGACTAATGAATTTTGATTAAGATTCCTACCACAATTAATAAAAGTAAACAAGTAGATATAAATAAGACCTCTGATGAAATTTTCTCAAATTCAAATTCATGCATGCATTGTTTTCAACATCCTCTTTCTTGGTTTTAGTTTAAATTAGAACCTTTTTCAAATTATATTGTGATAAATCTTTACAAATAGTTAATCATACAATAAAAAAATATTTCATAAGATATAACCATTTCGTAACTGCCGAAATAGGGTTTAATATTAAAAAAACTACGCTGAGGGCAGGATTCGAACCTGCGCGGGTTTGACCCATCGAATTTCGAATCCAACTCCTTGACCACTCGGACACCTCAGCTATACGGATAGTGGCAAAATATTTGTATCGCACGAAATTTTTTAACAAAAGTTCATTCAAAAGTACCCTCCTTATTACAGACTTCTTTTATTGTACGGCGAGCATTATGTTGTGTACTTCGGGACTGTACCCTATGCCGCATTAAACATACTCGGCCTTATTACAAAACGTAGGCTAAAGTTAAACCTGGACTAAATCTGATGCTGTCACTTTTGTTTGCTAAAAAGAAGACGGAGACAACATTGGGTTTAAACTTAAGTCCGCGTTTTAGAATGAGGCGGATTGCGTCTGCTTTTTATAAGTCAATTCCAAATATGTAATAATCAATATATTGAATATAGCATACCGGCATATGCCTAATAATATATAATTTTTGCACGTAAACCCGAAGCAAAAGAGAGTTAAATATAAGTTTAGTGTAATTAACAGGGAAGTTATATATCTATGTGGAGGAATTACTGACAAGTAGTAAATTGAAGCCAAAAAATATGACCCTCACAGTCACGAATAGATATTGTCTCTTTCTATAGAAAGAGAAGAAAACAAAATAAGGTGACAAGCTACCAGGTGTGAACCTTCTATTTTCAGGGATAATAAGTAAATATCTCAATCCAGAAAATGAAACAGTAAGTATGTGCGGCTTTCATCCCTTTCCGTTCAGCAGTTTTTGCGTTATTTAATGATAAACATACAAAATTTCATATTTATACTAATATTAGTAGGGTACCATGAACGCATTTATGATACTACTTACTTAACTATTCTAATTTATTTAAATAAGTATGTATATTTTTTTCTAGTAAACTTTTCTTTAGATTTAAGTATGTATAAAACAAATAATATCAATTTCATTTTTTTTTTAATTCAAGATCAATTTATTATCGAACATTATTGATTTTGAAGTCGGTTGCAACTAGGTTTACCATCCATCCGGATTAGTCGGGACATGTCCGGACTTTTAGACTAGAGTTTGACTTTGTCCGAATCTGTAAATTGTCCGGATTTTTTAAATTACATTGAATATGAATATTAAAAGTACATATTGATTTAAATACCATACCATTGTAGCTAACTGAGTAATGGTACCATTTTTTGACTAAAAAGTCCGGACTATTTTCGAAATGTAACGATTTTTGAAATTTCTAAATCGTCACCTTAGTTGCAACTAGCTGAATGTCTTTGTTAAGGGTCTCAAACTCATACGCACTGTGGTAATATGGTGGTCTGAATGTATTCTCTTGCACGGACCAGCGCGGCGGGAATATTACGAAGTCGGCAATCGCCACGCCGGGCTTTGTGGACTGGCATGTCAGCACCGTGAAGATAGACGGGTCCTGGAGGTCATATTATATTCTGAATAGGTTTAATGTCCTAATAAAACATTATATTGTTTTAAACTTTCATTGTCACTAACATTATAATAATATATGTTATTAACGGGATTGTTACCATATATCTTGTTTTTAGCGAGTTTCCGATATTTCGGTACTGTTGCAAGCGCCATGATCACGGAGTAACAGTATATACAATACAGTAAATATCGGAAACTCACTAAAAACAAGGTACATGGTAACAATCCCGTTATTAACATATATTTAATAAAAAAAAATTTAATGCACACCAATTAGCCTGGCCCCAAATTATGCACTGTAAGGCTTGTGTTATGGGATGCTGGGGTAATGAATAGACTGTATATACTGTACATAAATAAGTATATTTTCATAGAAATACATAATATTAAACGTCCATGACTGGAGTACAAATACTCGTATTCATCACACAAACATCTGCCCCCACCGGAATTCGAACCCGGGACCTCTCGAGTCGGTGACACCATGAAAACCGGCGTATAAACCACTCGGTTACGGAGGTCGTCAAACACACATTAATAAATAAATTCAGTTATAAAGCGCGTTGTGTAAAGTATTGGCACCAATGACCGTCAAGAACCAATGATATACACTTACTTTGTGAACATTGAAAAGAAGAAAAGGTAACCGATCACTAACGGCCAGTTTCAATAACCAACCTCCAGTAGAAGGTAAAAATAATCTCATTCAGTTTCATAGCAACAGGTCATTACAGTCATAATAAAAAAAATCTCAGCAACAAAGTTCGAGTAGGCCGACCTCGTACTGGAGTATGAATATTGAAACTGGCCATAAATGGAAAAGGGAGTGCCCATCGGTAAGTTTCTCTTATTTTCATTGATCGCAGAAAAAAAGTCGATTGTCGGGCAGTGCCGTCTTTGACCTATTGGAGACCCTGGGCATATTAGGATAATGGGGCCCCTATGACCCCCGTTTGGTGATCTAACAAGAATTAGGGACTTTGTATTTATGATCTGAGGTGCCCACCTATCACGGGGCCCTGGGCACCTGCCCAAAGTGCCCACTGGGAAAGACGGGTCTGTTGTCGGGTCTTGTCGGTAATTGGTGCCACTACCTTATGTAGGTACTAATTTCAACAACGAGCAAGACTAAATATTTGGCCGTATTAAAATCTTTTTTGACAAATTTTCTGGACTATTTGCGATTGTGAACGTAACGATGCCAGTGAAGTGGACTCTACTTCTACAACTTACGCAGTGGTCGTAAGAGACAGCATTGATGACCATGAACTTGCTCAGGTCGTACTTGTAGGGGACGTAGTTGCCGTGCCAAGCTACCACGTCGAAAGGGGAGTGTCCCTGCGTAGCTTCGAAGAGTGCGCCTTGGTACTTGCTGATTATCTTGAAATCTGTCAACAATTATATTACTCTTTGTATTAGCGATTAGCGGCCGCCCGCGACTTATTTTTTTTTAAATAAAATATTTTTTCTAATATAAAAGTAGCCTACGTTATACCTTATTACATCAGCTACCTGTCCTGTCTGCCCTACCCCTAGAGTATTTTTTAGAGTCCGGAGGTGGGGAGGGAGAGCAGCCCCCGCCTCCTGTGACATGACAAAGCCGCAAGCATCGTACGATGTCAGACTGATGCTTGTGATTTTATCACGCAAAGGCGGAGGGGCTGCTATTCTCGCAGCACCGGAGACAACGCAGAAGTACTGGTTCTTACTTACTACTAAAATAGGGAACCATAAATTCTGAACATTGAACAGATTTAATGAATTTTTAAGTTAGGTTAATTAAAAAAAATCATGCATTTCCGCCTAAAATCTTTAGTGGGGGTGAGTCGGGAGACACCCGTAAATGTGACTTTTTTTCCACAACTAATGGAATTAAGTACCTATTTTTTAACTATTATGTTTAATAGTTTATTTTTTGTTAACTTTTCATGAAAATTTTGTAAGTAGGTATAGTTTCATTTAATAAACAAAAACACTACAGTTCACCTATTTTATTACTTTGCCCAAGATACGGTGGGAATTATCCATAATGGCCGGGAAAAGTAATTAATCATGCTGTTTTAATCACATTGCCCAACTGAGTCGGGCATTATGAATACAGACCGGCCATTATTAATAGTGCCCGGACTTATCAAACTGCCCGTAACATATATTTTTAAGCATGTAGTAAAAATTGGTTATTGCAAACGGACACCAATTTTATTTATATGTATTTATGTATAGAGTATAGATGTATAGAAGTCCCAAGATTTATCCAAAGAAACTGTGAGCAAGTATATAAATCCGTAATGGTCTGTGGCTACCACAGAATAAAGAGAATGACACCGATAAATTGAACGCTAACTCTGAACCATAGCGTGAACGAACCAATATCGAATTCGAATAGTTAAATTCGATCTCGATACGCGTCAAACGTCAAGAAGTTTTGAATAGAAGATTTTTAATTCCCGTTACGTATTTGTATTGATTATATGTATTGATTCGTGCTAAGTACTGGGTCGCTCCATCGCTTCCATTCTTTAACTTTGATGCCCATTCAGTGATTGCACGATATCGTTATCTTTCTTTCTAGACTAATAAAATTTCATTGGTATTGCTCAGTCCATTCCCTATGACTATTATGTAATACGACCTCCGTGGCCGAGTGGTTTGTACGCCGGGTTTCATGGTGTCGCCGACTCGAGAGGAACCGGGTTCGAATCCCGGTGGCGGCAGATGTTTGTGTGATGAAACCAGCATTTGTACTCCAATCATGGATGTTTAATAAATATTTCTATATAAATATACTTATACATATATGTACAGTATATGTATTCTATCCGTTACCCTAGCATCCCATACCACAAGCCTTATAGTGCTTACTTTGGAGCTAGGCTAACTGGTGTGAGTGTAGGAAATATTTATTATTATTTATTATTATTATTAATGGAAGGTGACATCAGCATTATCTCCGAAGTCATTTTTTAAATTGACGTCTCCGTATAAACAATAGATGGAGAGAAAAAAACAGCCCTTGCTGAGTTTCTTGCCGGTTCTTCTCAGTTTAAGGTAGTTTTGCGAACCGATGGCGTAGCTTCGACTTTTACAAGTGCTTGTAACAGCCTAGGCTGAATAAATAATTTTTGATTTTGATTATGGTGGCTACCAAAACCTATACAGAGGAGCTCGAGATGACGCAATGGGTAGCGCTTTCTGTCCGTGATCGTGGTAGTTAAGCAACTTTCGCAATGGCCAATCTTAGGATGGAAGAGCAAATAAATATTATCTTCAGGTCTCCATCTTTGGAAGGTGTCGTAATGAAGTAAAGCGTAGTGAAGCCATTGGTCTAGATTTCACCTGCAGTCGTTAGGATCCACTCATCAGAATGGACCTGCGTGATATTTTTTTGCCGGTTTATCTATTCCAGGCCTTTCCTATGAGTACTGCTAGCAGCGGGGACATTAATAGGCTGATGATGATTATAGCATATAAAGTTTGCGATATAAAGAAAAGTCATTATCCTTACCAGCAAACCCACCTTGTGGAATTCTGTTATTCTTAAACTAAGGAAGGTAACACACCAAAGCGCTGAGTCTGAATCACATCATGATAATCCAGTGAGCCCTATCTTTGAATGGTATAATATCTGATAAAGGTTTACCGGGAACTTCTAAGTCCTCGTAGTGTGCGACTGGCGTGAGGAAGTCACGCGGGTTGGCCAGCCCGTTGGCACCGATCGGTCCCAGGTCGGGCAGCTTGAAATGCCCGTCGAACACTTCCAAGATGTAACCTCTGTGCGAATTATCGGACATAATACAGTTAAGTACCTATATATCAAGCTTCTTAAAGTGTATGCACTGAAATACATTGTAAAATAGTTGAGGTTTACCTTTTTCGTGGCTGAAATATCTACTTAAATTACTAGGAAAAGTTGGCTTATTCTAAGTATGTTTCTTTAATTAGCTCTCAGTCTAGCATGTGAGTTTTTTCATCTGTCTAAAGTTATTATAGTACCTACCTCGCAAGGGATTAATGGAGTACGAGAAGTAAGTGGTCTAATGTAAGAAAGCTTACCTGGATGGTCCGTCCACGTATACTGCGAATCTCATTCCCTGTTGGATGACAGCTATCTCGTTGGGAGCTACTTCCATTTTGCCAAACTCCGTCGTTATTTTCAAATTTCCTTGTTGAGGCACTGCATTAAATATATGGTTATCAGCAGTAATTTAAATGAAAATATTTATGATTTGGAGCTTTATCTCCATAGACATAAGGATTCATACAGATTGAGAAAATTTGACAGTTTGTATTTACATGATGTCTTTGTGACACCGGTTGTATTGTATGTGCAGTCAGAGAATTTAACGACTCCACTACTTCAAAACTAACAAGAGATTAATTTAATTGCCTTTTTTCATGTTAACGAAAGTTTCAAATTAAGACATGAAATCTATTTGATGCGACAGTAAAAAAAAATTCGCTTCAGTCACCCACCTAATCAAACCACAGCATATTTTGCGCCTCCAGCATTCGCTTTAATTTAATAGTTGGGAAATTAGTTATGTCACATTTATACTTTTCTTTAGCTTTCTGGTTCATTCAAAGAAAAATATTTAAAAAAAATCCTGATTACACTAGACAGTATTATTATTAACTTCGTACCCACCTATCAGCATATCACCGTCGCTGTTGTAAAAGGCGCTCCTGTCCATGGAAGCGTTGCAGAGATACATATGAATGGCAATCCCATGACGGGCACGCGCGTCTCCGGCGCCGCATACCGTGTGCAGCCCTGATACGAAGTCTACGCGCTCGGACAATGCTGGCAGGTCGAAGGGCAGCCATCGAGACTACATAAATTGGACCGACATTAGACATAAAATAGAAGCCTTCTCTAACAGTCTGTAAACAAAAGACTGAGCATTCCCTGTCGAAGTGTAAGGTAAAATCGAGCAGATCGTGGGAAGGGAGACGAAGCGATCGTGTGGCCAATAGCTAGTATAGTTTGGCTCCATGGAAGCATCGCAAAGATACACAAGGCTATCCCGTGTCGGGCGCGCGCGTCTCCGGCGCATACCATGTGCAGCTCTAACACGAAGTCTACGCGCTCGTCCGATGAGGCAGTCGATGTCGCAGGGCAGCCATTGAGACTGGGATAAATTGGACCGCCATGAGACACAGACATAAAGAATGGACAGAACGTTCCATAAAGCAACATGGTCGATGGACGCGGCCAGGAGGGGGACTCTCCAGTAGGTCCTATTCAAAAGACTGAAGAGGGCTCAGGTATAGTGGGAGTACTTAACTAGGTGCAAGGTTACCGCAATAATGTTAATCTGCCATGCTCGTGTAAATCCAAAAATCCCCGCTTGGGCGCTCTTACTAAGTATAAGTATATTATAATATTTATTCGAACATTCGAAGCTTGGCAGCAGGTGTTGTAGATCACAGAATTTAAATAATTCAAATTCGAAACTATTATTTAATCGTTTCGATTTTTGATAGTATATACATAAAAAACCTAATAAATACCTGATTCGGGTCCGGCTCCTGCTCATCCCAATTGTGGGTGAGATATTTAGCAGCGTTAAACCGTTTGAATGGCTTGTGGATAACGGACGGTCGAATCCTTTAGATAAAAATAAATATTTAATCAATAATTGTGTCTATGAATTTCATAGATGTGACGTGGTGCTTAAACAGTTTGTAAACGAACTCTATTGTATAAGTACTCTGAGTGAACGCAATGAAAAAATGCCTCTCGATCAAAATTCGATCGTTAAGTAAGACTACAGAGGCCCAAAGCACGAGTTTGACAGCTCCGTGAAGTATCGCAATTGTCAAATTTTGTATGGAAAACGCTGGTTTGTTCTTACGTACGATAGGGGTGTTGCTTAATTTTCATATAAACTTTGACGATGCGAAACATTACGTTGCTGTCAAACACTCGTGCTCGGGCCTCTGAATTATGACCATTGAGCAAAATTGCCTTTGCTTTGGATAGGTTACATAAATGATTTGATATTAATTTCAATAAAACGAGAGATGAGAATATGGAATACCGTCCGTCGATATCTCTGCATTCCCGCGTTGCTATCTATACTGGCTCGAGTTTAGGTATTCTTGATTTTCATAACACTGTTGCTTTGACTTCTGAACGCGGTATACGATCAGTGTGTTTTTATTTTATTTTGTACAAGATCGCGATAAGTCTGAGTGTGTCCAGAAACCCTCGCTTTGACGGTTTAAATTAAATTCCCCTACCCCGTGGAGAGTTTGGCTTCTTCTAATCACTGCAAAAAATGCAAGAACAATATACTAGTAATACAGAATAGTCTCTATTCGTAGTTTTCTTAATTTATGTTTTTAATAATTTGAAAGCCATTTACCAGGGGACGGGTGCTCAAATTAAAGCAGCAAGGTGTAACCTTTGCTCTCTCTTATGCTAGGGCCACACTAACGGGAAATGCCGTTAATCATCGCGATGATGGACGTTTAATGTACAGTATGCGTGCGATCTGAATGCAGTCGGCATATGAGGTTTGGGGCCCAAATTCGCGCCTCGCACGCCGAGCACTAGAGCATTCCTCATAGCGGCACTCAGATCGCGCGACTACCTACTGTAGCTTAAACGTCCACCATCGCAATAATTAAAGGCATTTCCACCTATTGCCTACTAGGTAATGTTTATTCATATAAATACCTGTACAGCCAGGAGCGCTTGTTGTCGTGTCTCGGCGCTGTAAAGGCCGTCCCGGACAGCTGTTCGGCGTACAAGCCGTACGGGCAACGTTGCGGATTGTTTTGCCCCTCGGGCAGGGAGCCTGGCCTCCTTGGGTCCTCCGAGGAGAACTCTGAACCGAAACCCGAGAGATACTGTTGCGGAGAGAAAGGCCAAGGCATTTATGTTTAGACCGGGTATTACGAAGGTAAGTGCATAGCGGATTTTACGCTTGAAGTAACCTTCACTTTACAGAAGATCAATTCATAAAATAATATTTTCTAAATATCCTCCTATTAAAGGCTTAATTAATACCTTTACTTTACGAATTAGATGTTGCTCAAGCGAAAATCCCTCGGCCCGCCATACATTTTTGTCAAGCAAACATCAAATCATCATCATCAATCACGCCAAATAGTAGGGCGTAAGCGCTATTGGTTCAAAAAACAACAAAATTATGTCGCTTTAGCATTGTGAACATTAAGCGCCAAAAACGTACTCAAATCTTCACGAAAGAAATCTTGACGCAGAAAAAAATCTAATTCAAATGAGTTAGATATGTATATATCATCGCTCGCTTGAGCGACATCTAATTTGTAAAGTAAAAAGATATTTAGAAAATATTATTTTATGAATATGGTTTTATTTTTATGGCGCTCTTTCTCATTTATAATGAGTTATGATTTTATTGTAAAAAACTTTGATCCTCGTTTCTGTAAAGTTACTATAGTGGCGTTTTAAGCAATTTTGCTTTTCCACTGTCTATATGTTTATGTTATGATTATGTCAATCAACTCACGTGGGCACCTTGTATGTAATGTTATTAAAATCAAATTAAAATGATTAAAAAAAAAACAAATAACACTAGTACCTAAGCTTAAATAAGAACTTACGGTCGCATTCCGAGATATCAGTCAACTTTTAAGTTTGAGATAAGTTTATCTTTCTTTGTGATAGCCAACACGTTACTTAGTGAACATTTTCCGAAAGTGGCCGTCGTCAGCTTGAATGCTACTATAATAGACCTAAGTTGTTATTTTGCGATTGCAGGTTAAAAATAAAGAAACTTACCTTTAAATTGCTCATTTTCGATTGGAACACCCAGTAAGTCTTCTAGTCCAGTTAATACTGAATAGCTGAGGCGTTCTCGCGCGTAATGTGTTTATCAGTTAAACCCGCCCGGATCGGTATGCAAATAAGACATTGGTATTCAAATAAACAAAAATCATTTACTCCGATATATATTATCTAGTGATAATAATAATAAATGTGAAAACATGTTTTCTTAATTATTACACTATTTAAAAAATATTTTTATACTTTTTATTAACAAAGCCATTTCTTTGTCTGTCGCCCATCTAGCGTCACTTTGGTACCTACGTCCATTGGATTTTTGTTCCCCAAAAACAAAATCTACGTAATTTAATTAGTTCTTGCGCAATATTATATAACAGTTATTGCATAATACGATGGCAAACTAAGAGAAATACTTTATCCGTTGGGGATTATAAAAAATATAAGTAGAATATATTATATGAATGGTATTGGTATAGTTAATTTACCTATGTATAAATAATGAAATAATACACACAATTGTTTTATGTATTACAAAGATAAAATTAGGTTGATGGGACGGTTTTCACTATGGTAATTCAACCAGTGTCGTCCTTTAGACAAGTGTGGACCAGTGGTTTTCTAACCTGTTTTGTTAGATCCCGTTTTGTGTCTATTTTATGTGATAGAGGTTTTATCATAGAACGTGCGCAAGTTGCTATACGACAGAAAGCCCACAAGTTCTTTTAAATGAATATGTTTTGGGGTGTTTTGCTGCAGCAGCGTGCGCACACTTTTACGACATTTCATACTTCGCAACTTTGCGGCATTCCGCATAACATGGTTTTTCTGGAGTAGGTATACAGTGCAAGCAACCTCGTAGATATTTTTTTTATTTATTACAAATACATACCTACAACCTTAGTAAGGCCTATAGCCCACGGCGTATTTTAAACGCGCAGATTACGCGCATATAACGAGATTTGATCGCAACCTTGAAACTTAACTTAAGCGGTCACACTGCATCTATTATTTTCATGGGAAAAAATGTACTAAAATACAAAATCATTGGTGTCATCTAATGTCAGGCATATGATTGGACGACTTCTAAATAAATTTGTTCTTAATATGATTAAAAAAATAAGGGAATTGTTTTGTCTAATATTTGGATGTTTACATTAAACTGTAAATGATAATTAGGTTCAACTCACACTTTGCCTTGGGAATAGCTTAACAATGGGAAAATTAAGATGAATTTCAAAACATGAAAGTTGGCATTTAGGAGGCACGCCTGCGCGCGTCGAATAAGTGGGAATACCTTAATAGTAGAAAAAAGATATGAATTAGCTACAGGCGAAGCACGGGAAACCATGATGCGTCGCGACATGGTCTGGACTCTGCGCCAATATGAGTTGAACCTTAGTTTTACTGGTGTGACTACGTTAAAACAAATGAAGGTATTATACAGGGTTACAGGAAAACTCAACCTATTCCTTAGAAGGGGTTATACTACTGGTCAATAGCAACAAATTAAGTCCAGTGAACTAGGGGTCAAAACTGGATGGTTACCGACTTGTACAAATTAAAAGTAAGTTTGACCTAAGCGCCTTTTGATATTAATAAAAACAGCTAAATGTTTCTAACTTAAGTACCTTTTTGGAAAGCTTTAGAAACTGGTAAGTCATTTTACTAATTTGTACGCCAAATTCGATAGTTATTTTTCAATAATTTACGGCGAAATCTGGAAAAATAAAATGATTTTTACAAAAAATCAAAATTATTGATTGAATAGAAAATCACGAAGATTGATTTGAATATAAATTCTCAAAGTAATATCAACTTATCCATTAAAATTAATAAATGTAAACTATTTTTTAGGTTACAAATTAGTAATAAATTTAAATAACACACAATGAATTCTGTCGTAAATATTTTATTTAACCCTTTATACGTATAATGATGTCAAGCAGTAGTTATTAAAGTTCAATATCAATAACATGGTATTTGAGATCTGTAGATCGGGATAAAATTGTGGGCTGGTACAACTACGATGTTAAGTTACATTACGAACAGGTGTCCCATCAACTTCTACTACAAAATATATAAAAAAAATCAAAAAATATGAATGTTAATCTTGAAAAGGAATCCTCGAATTACGTAATAAATAAATGGGCAATAATTATAAAAGTAAGGAAACTTACGATGGGACACCAACTTTTATTAGTTCATCGTCCATTTTCTATATTGAATCGAAATAAATGACATAATAATATAATAAATACATTGATTTATGAAAAAAAAACTGTTACAATTCAAATCATAAATTATAAATAATGATCTAACCAAATAGAAAATAATAAATAGAAATAGGACGTAACCATATTTTTACAAAATGGAGGGAGATACAAATTACATATTTTTTTTAGTACTACTATTAAAAAAAAAGGGTAGCTTCTATATCTTACAGCACGACATTAACATTATTATTGTTCCTGTAATACTTTACATAGCTGTCATAAGCGAAACGGAAGATATTGTCAATTCAATGGTACCAATAATTTTGTACAAAGTTGCCAATAACTTCTATACTACGATAAGATGTACAATTTCATAATAGAGGCAAGAAGGCGGGCTACTAAATTATTTTTATCAGGGTCCGTACCATGGGCTCGTAAAAGTGTAAAATAACTATCGCGATTAACTCGTTCCAATCAAGAAATAAATTTTATAATGGAGACGCACAAGGGCGTCGCCAGCTTAAGATTAAGAGGGGGGCAATGGGGCAATATAATAGGTGAGGAAGTCAATTGCTCGCAGTTTGGTCACTTTGCGGCTAGCTACATAATTCCTGTCAGGGTGTACGTGAGAATGTAATTCGTATTTACAATTCGTTTCTTTTTTGGCGCGAGTTTATAACTAAACAACGATTTCATCGGCAACCCGGTTCAGAATCTACCTTTCGATCGCATTAAAGTTCATGGTACTGAGGGCTCATAATAACAAAACGCAATTTTGTTTACACAATACACAAGATATTACTCGTGTCAAAGGAATCGAAAATGCCGTCGCAAGACATTTTGTCTCTTTTGCACGTTTTCTTAAGATAGCATGTGGGAGAGGGATAGAATAGAATGACTTATCGTCATTTGCGATTTCTCTAATGACACGAGTTATGCATGTTATGCATGGGGAGATCAACAATTATTTATGCTTAAACCCATACACCTGTATAAAGGAAAATTTGAATATTTATAGAATCTAAGTATATACAACTTATTAGAATAGCGCGTGTTATTGAATTCTCAACTATAGACTTGGTTCATATAAGTAAGCCATTATTCTGTAATAATTATATTTTCATTCACCAAAACCTTTATTGGCGGGTTCTATTCATGAGCCTTTAACATTTCCTTTGCTTGTCACACCCAGAGGTATTAACTAGATTTAATGCTTGTTAAAGTATAGTACGAAAGGGGCTATCGAGAAAAATGAACCATGTCTTTGTCAATGACAATATTCCAATCCAATCGAACCGTATAAATGTTTAATTTAGAATCAGTCGTCTGAAGCAATTGAAGCAGCCTAGTAAGGGGGCTCAAACACTTGCCATATTTAACAATATGTACCTATAATACATTTTATCTGCTGCAGTCTCTGTAAAATTGCTATTACATCACGATATATACGTAATATTAGTACAGCGATTTATAGATAAAATCTTTTGTATTTTGACAGTTCGATATATGGAGTATCATATTGTGTTACTTTTGTCATACTACGGAACCAGGATGATTTAAAACTGCAGCCTACCATATCGTTTCTCGATATCCATTTGAGTATCGAGTTTAAGGCATCCAAACTAAATAATTCCCATTGGAGCCCTAAAGGAAGAACGCTTAATAAGCTTAAACATCAAGGTTATTATACGATAACAAAAACTTAATAATATAACACAAATCACAGACGCATAAAGCAAAGAAGTTAGTTTAGGCAGTAACACTAGCACATTTAGCCTGAAGTAACAATCTTGCCTAACATAAAATTCAGTGTTATTTAAAGGCAGTAAAACGTGTACAAACCTGTATAAAACTAAAGTACATTCAAATAATAATAAACAGAAAAAATCCATGTGTAAAAACATATTATTGCATCTTTACTCTCAAAGGCACTAATATTAATATTCATAAGCCTTAATAATAAACCAAATTCTATTGATTATCATTTATAAAAAAAATATATTAAAAATAATTATAAATATTGCCATCAACCTTCGAGAGATAAATAAATCTATGCAAACATAATAAATAATACATCACTGAGTTACGGAATCAAATATGCAACACAACTTTACAAGTATTACACTATTTTTATTTAACATCGTAACTTAGTTGTATAACTTGATTATCAGCAATACATTAGTGGAGTTACGATGCATAGACTAGTTATACAACTGATTCACGAAATTAACTATGATCTAGCCTAACATACATTAATATCACACGGCCATTACAGCGGCCTTATACACATATGCAATAGTTTATTACATTGATATATTTGGTAACAGCTAGAAAACGACAGCCAGTCGAAAATATTTTGAGACGCGGTAAAATTTCATTATAGTAGCTACACATAATTCGCAATAACTATATCAAACAGAACAGCATCGAACACAAATAATTTCAAATAATTTTGGACGAAAATTCAACGAAACCATTAAAATTAGCTTTAAAAAAATTAAAGCTAGCAAAGGATCGTAATACAAAACATTTTTGACTCCAAACGTACAAAATCTATTGCTACACGTGTACGAACGTACAATCGATTCCGCCATATTCAACGATACTTGCTTCGGTTGTTCAACCCGATTTGTACCTACAGCTCTTATAAATAAGTAATAAATCGCGCTGTACTCCCTTTGCAAGTTTCAGAATAGTGCTACATCACAGTACAAAAGCTTCGACGAAAACTGTTCCCTCAATAAACTGGACAAATATATATATCTACCTACTTTGATTTGTAAATTAAAAACGAAAATTTTTACTCACGCTATTTATCATGCCGGCACGTCACTCGGCTTGACTGTTTTCAAGTTTACAAATATCAAATACGAATAGCCAAGTAAAGTGCCAGCATCACACTCTCATTTGTGACAACGGAATTGTGTGTCAGAGCAAGCGCGCACTTGTAAAAAAGTTTAGTCGTTATTGTATCAATATCAAAAGTTCGTTCGATTGCACCCGTGCATCATCAATCCATAGGAAATAGAACGTTGTTCGATAGTTAGATCAAATAGAAAACTTCATCAAAAATTATGAATTATGATAATTTTTGAATGAATTATTGATAATGATTTGTTCGAATTCACAATCCAAACACCGATTACTAGATATATCAAAAAATCTGTCGATCAAAAATCACAAGTGCACGCTAGCTCTAAACGTCCCATACGAAATAAACAGAATATTATGTATTTCCCAAATAGTGAATCCCGTGTTGTTATATTATATTTCTTTTTAATTCAAATTATGTTCTAACGAGGCATTTGGATGTTAGCAACATTAGTGCTTACCTTACATCTGATTGTAGTGCCTTTACCTACAATTATTTATATATTTTATTTCTTGAAAACGTTAAAATATCCCAACTCATGGGAGGTCAAGATTATTTCAATTAAATGTTGTTCTTGATTTACATATCAAAGTTATACTAGCCACGATCTAATTCCTTAAAAATGTATTAATAGCGATATTGTCAACAATAATTTGAAAAAATTAAATTAAACTTCACGAAGACAACTTACAATACTACACAAAAGCACTATTTGTACAGACTGGCAAGACATTACTATTCATCTGGTCACTTTTTGAAAAAAAATGAGATTATTTAGATATATGTTATTGACTAAGCTATAATACATAATATTATATACGGAATAATATCAATAGAGATTGCATATTATATCAGTTGATTTAAATACATTTTGTTATATCCATATTGTTACTAACCAAAATGCATACGTTTAAATACTGTAAAAAATAAAGAAAATAAAAAGCTTTATTTAATAGTAATTTTCGGAAAGTATAATTAATATAAAATAAGTACTAATAAAGTTAAAAATTCGAATAAAGGTCCCCATAATCTTTTTGTTTTTTATTATTATTACAATGACACCTTTGATATAACCAAACAATTTTTTTTTGCTTAAGTCTTGAAAGTATATTTTAGACACTATCATTCTTCACTGGATTATACTTGTTATTGATGATAGTTTTTTATCCAAAAATATCGGAACACCCTCTTCAGATAAGGATTACAAATCTATCTAAGAATAAGTTTTTTGAATTGTCATTGTCATAAATATTCATCTATTTTAATCAGAGTTTGGTGGCTCACAACAATGTGGATATGACTCGTAAGATATAAGCGGATAAACTTCAGAGTATTCATAATATTGAGTACTTGTGACCTTAACACTAGAAAATGTAAGAGATCTACTTAAGTAGCTAATATTCCTACGCTCTTATGACAGTGCGAATTATTTATAACGTGCAATTTCGTTAATTTATTAAGTTATAATTTCACTAAGTTGTGCTTGCAGAACTGTTTGTCTCAGTTGTACATAAAAATTTAGGTACTGTACTTACACAACGTCATTTAATGGAAACTTGTACAGAATACTATCAAATATAGGCATATTTTATAGCTCTTTATGTAGTATCAACTTTTTTCACTACAATTCTGAATCAAATCAAAATAATTTAGATTTGTAATTCTGATTTGAAAACAAATGACTCAGCTTGTCGATAACTTTTTAGTTTTATAATTTTTTACAGATATAAACAAACAGTTTTGTATTTAACTTCAGATAATATTACAACCTACCTCCCTTCCTTCCTTGAAGGGTTGAGTTTCATTCTTCAACGCAAAGAAAAATATGTCTTATATAACAGTATTCTGTACAAATCCTATAAACCTCGAAATTTACCGAATACTTTGCTCTCAAAGCAAAATTGAAAACATTCAAGTTTCATCAAAATTGCACTTTAAAATTTACCATCCATTTGTTTGTTCAAAATTAGCTACACAGAAAATTAATCTTACAAATATCAACAATAGTAATAGTAAGCTATTATAACTAAACGAATTCAACTTTACTTCATCTAATCGAGTGATAAAAAGATAGCCTCAGCCACATACGAGTGCTATTTTATGAAAATAACACTAAGAAAGAAACTAACCTTTTATCATTCTTTATTCAAGATGCTTAACATATCACATCATAGCAGTATTTGAAAAAATATAAGATAATGGAAATCAAGAGAACGAAGTTTTTTTTAACACCAAAACCGACATCAAAATAACTTTTCAGTAAGTACAATTTCCGTTGTTTACCATGATAGCGTTATGTTAAGCATCAAAACGTATTTAATGGTATGTATTCTACATATAAACTCAATAGTACAATATTCGCTTACTGATGCGCAGGTAGCATATGTTTCCAGGCCATTTCGTACTTGGTGTGAGCTGTGCTGCAAGCGGACTTGCTCGCTTCTACAACGCTCAATGGAAATGGCTCACACTGTGAACAAACAAATACTAATAAATAACACAATCATACTCCATATATTGCCGACCTCCGTGCCCATGGTGGTTTCATGGTGTCACCGACTTGAGAGGTCCCGGGTTCGAGTCCCGGTGGGGGTTGATGTATGTGTGATGAATACGAGCATTTGTACTCCAGTCATGGATGTTTAATATGTATTTCTATATAAATAAACAGTATATGTATTCTATCCGTTACCCTAGCATCCCATAACAGAAGCCAGTGTTTACTTTGGGGTTAGGCTAATTGATGTGAGTATTGGAAATATTTATATTATACCTATATTCCTTTGTCTACTTCGTTCAATTTCGCTTTTTATATGACCTATGACAGATCTACCGATAATTACGCTTAGACCTTTTGTTCAGAGGCCCAAGGACGAACTTTGACAGCTTATATGAAGAAGTTTATATGAAAACTAAGCAGCGCCCCTACCGGGCGTAAGATCAACCTGGCTTTTTCCATTCAAAATTTGACGATATTTATTTATTTTATTCTTCATGCACATACTCTACAATGGCGAACTTAATGTCGTAGGCATTCTCTACCAGTCAACCATAGGGTGTTGTAATGATTTTAGTGGTAGGGTGCATAACTGGGGTGGAGATCGCATTTACACAAATATGAATAGCACTAAACATAAATATAATTATATAACAATAATATACGATACGAATACAGATCAGTCAAATTTCGTGTTTGAGTCTCAGATCTGGAGTAAAATTACGCTACCTGTATTCCCGTAAAAAACGACGCGTAATTATTCTGGTGTGTCATAGCTGCCGAATACGCCGATATTCATCCATAAGTTTTTCATTCAATGCCCATGCATGCGCGATTAGAGAGAAAGCTAGCGGTCTCTCATCTTCTTTCTCTTTCTATCAGAGGGAAACTTCCACTTGTAGTAGAGTCTATATCTCCCCTACTCTATTCTTATACCTCTATGTCACACACGCTCCCTTCCTGCCACAGAAACGACACACCCACGGGCACAGAAACTGACCGTGAGCGCACAAAACGCTGTCTCACTAACGCTTCCCCCCACGAAAACTGCTCACTAGAGCCGAGGTCTCAGAGACGCCCTCTAGTTGATCCGACCCCCTCAGGTTCGAGTGGTCGAAAGATTTCAGACGGAGGGACTACCCCCGTGGGGAGATGCCATCCACCTGGAATACCTCTAGAGACACTCGCCAATTCTCGGCTTGAGGTCCCCTTAGGATCTTGCCGCCCCAAACTCGGTGACGCTGTAAAGGTCATCTGCGGCCAACAGCATACACGCTCATAAAAAAAAATACGTGTGGCACTCGGGGACTGCCGCGGTAAAGCTATTGAATAGCATTTTTTATCAACTTATGCAATTTATGCAGTATTTTTTCTTTCTTACAAACAGCTGCTTACGTATTCGTCCGATTTCGAAGCAGCTCGACTCGATCCGTGCGAGCTTGTGCGAGTCGTACCATATACATGCACGTTAAGGTTCAACTAATCGCGGGTTCGAACTCACTCGTGGACGCGGCCAAAAAGCACGCTGTCTCACCTAGCATTGTGGCTAAAAGAGAAAGAATCAGTTATGAGCAGTTAGCAGCTAGTCTACACGCATACGTCTATTCGCACGCACACAAACACCGTGCCGAAGTCTGCCGAACTGAAACGACGTCAGACGATGCACGGCTTTCAACGCCGCACCGCTGTGCCGGTCGGAGGGGGTGGTTTTTTCGAACCGGAATTTCTTGATTCGGTCGCCACGCTCAAGCCCGCGATAAAAGTTATGCAATAGCTTAAAAACCTGCCACACATGCGACATACACAAGGTCGCGGAAACACCGTGCCGAAGTCTGCCGAACTGAAACGACGTGAGACGATGCACGGCTTTCAACGCCGCACCGCTGTGCCGGTCGGAGTAGGGGGTGTTAGGCTTATTTTCGTTACGAAAACCTGCCACACATGCGACATACATACGATCGCGGAAACTGACCGTGAGCGCGCAGAACGCTGCCTCCACGGCTGCGATGAACCGCTCCAGTTCCGCGCCGCTCGCCATCACTAGCGCCAACCCCGCGCCGCGTTCCCGCGCCTCGCAAACGCTCCACTCCTACGATATCATACGACAGATATAGTGCGACGAGGATCCTTATGAAGGTGGCGAAAATCGGAACTAACGCCGCCGTCTTTGGAAACGTCTTGTTTTGTATATGATTTAATTTACGATTCTGGCATGATTCTCTGAACCTAAAATTAAGTTCGAAAACAGTGTATCCTTGTCATATTGTATACAGAATGAAAAGGAGAGACTGATGTTAAATTTTGTTTTAAGTGTAGAGAATGGTGCTAGATTCGACACCATTAGCGTCCTCCCTGAACTGTCACTCACATTCATAAAGATACATGTCGCACTGTCCTAGAAATCTATACTTTCTATACTAATATAACAAATGTGAAAGTGTGTCCCTCTCTTCACGCTCGATCCGCTGAACCGATTTAGATAAAATTTGGTATATTGACTGTTTCGAGTCCGACAGTTTATATCCCAGAAATCAACCTTTAAGGGGGTAAACAGTGGGGTGCAAGATTGTATGGGAAACAATTTTTTCTTACAGAAGAAGTCGCAGGAACCTACTAGTATAGCAACTTCGTCTTTTTAAGAAAGTGTACTAATAAATAGAACTGCATTTTGATGTATTGAGAAATCTATTTAGTAAATCATTCATTGAGAATTGAGTCGTATAGTATCAAAGGCGGCAAAGTAGGGCGAACCAAATATTTGGCAAATAAAAAACTGTTTAGTCTCGTCTTTAAGGGAGGATTTTTATAATTGACATTTCACTACGATTTGTAGTTATGATGAATGTCAATGAACATAAAATCATTGCGCAAAATGAACCACAGGCAACATAATAATAAAATAAAATTACTATATTGCCGCCTTTGATAGTAAATTATTAGAATGGCCGATTTTGAACCGAAGCTTGGTAAATATGGCCGCCTTTGACGCGAACTAAATGTTATGATAGCCGAGTATGAACAGGGTTGTCAAAATTAAAGTTTGTTATATTTTATTAATATTTTTATTGAAAATTGAGAGAAATAAAGAACAAATAACAGACTGAAACAATAATCAAATTATTAAAAAAAAAACTAAGATTATTTCGTAGTAAAAAACAAAACTTTTGTTTACGCAATCACATAATGTTTGAATAAAATTTCCTTTTAAGGTTTTAATGACATGAACTTAACATAAAAACACAATTAATAATAAGAAACTAAAGACCAGGTTTTACTAAGTCGGAGTCTTGCGTTCTATTTGGAAGATCACTTGCAATTGGGCACACACCGTAGACATCACAATATGTGTTTGCCATTACGACAATGGAATTATAATAAAATCAACTAAATTGAAGTAACTGTAATGAATGGACTATTGTACGTTCTATCGCTCCTATTTAATAAAATTTTAAATAAAAAAACTATATTTATACATACACATATTAGTATATGGATAATACCTACCGGTAATGTTATGAGTAGAAAAGGATAACAAAAATCATGTTTCAATCATGAAACAATATTCCACGGGCACGATTCATAACTATCAAAACAAATATTATTATTATAATGTTTTTTGTGTTTTATCCGTGTAATTATATTTACATAGTAAAATCAAATAGGTGCCAACCCTAACCTAGTAAATAACACGAAATTAGCTTAGCTTTTTATCACATTCCTCTTCCATGTATCGCTTTTCCTTCTTCGTTTGCTTGTGTAATTAGTAGTACGTGTTGGAGTTTGCTCCATGATAAGTATCAAACACTAAGGGTGAGGCCAAACGAGCGTAATTTTGTGAGTAGTGAGTCGCAGAATTTCGGTCGCAGATATTCTGCTGCATTCGGTTTCATACAAAAAGGTAGTTGGTGCCACACGACAACGCAAAATGAGTTGTCTGCCGACTCAATGCGCATAAGTTCGTCCGAATTTCGGTCGGGGTGAGGGTAGGACAAGGAAGGGGAGTGGGGAAGCAACAGTTTGTTACAAGTTGCGTGGTGTAATAATTCTTGAAAAACACGTAATGGCACATGATAGTACTTTTCAAACATATCTGGATTAGCACATAAACGTTCATATAAAGTATGGAACTGTCCACATATCAGCCTCTGACTATTCAGTGGGTTTACCCAGTTTCTTTTTCTGACCTCATCTTCTGAATATGCTTCGTAAATACACAATATTTTTAATTGTTTTAAACTTTCATGGTCACTAACATTATAGCTATTAACGGGATTGTTACCATGTACCTTGTTTTTTATGAGTCTCCGATATTTCGGCACTGTTGCAAGCGCCATGATCACGGAGTAACTGAAGTAATTGCGGGTAGATGTTATTGGCAGACATATCGGTCTACCCTCTGACGTCGTCTTTTACTGCGCTCGATACCCCTACCATTGGTCACGTTCTCACTATTCACTCGCACCTGTTCCCGACACACAATACTCACAGTATCCGATCGCGGAACGACACTTTTTTGATTTTTACGGTTTTAGCACATATGAACCACTGGATTCCAGACACTTGACAATTTAAACCCATCCTCACGATTGAAATTTTTGTGTTTGGTTATTTCAATCGCTTCCCTGACCAATCTTGGTATGTAGTGGCGTTCTGTCGAGATGATTTGTGGATTATGGAGCTCAATCCAGTGATTCGGACCCGAATCGATTAAATGTTCCGCGATAGCCGATTTCTGCGTATCATTGTTTCTGACTGCTTTTATGTGTTCTTTCATTCGGCACGCTATTGTCCGCTTCGTTTGGCCAATATATGAACTACCACAGCTGCAGTCGATCTTATATACACCAGGTTTCTCCAAAGGGAAGTTGTCTTTGGGAGATCGTAGAAACTGTGACACTTTTTGTAAAGGAGTGAAGACAGTATTCAGTGAGTACTTATTAAGTATGTTCGAGATCTTGTCTGTCACTCCTTTGATATATGGCAAAAATACTGGTTGCCTGCTTACTATGTGTGTCTGGTGCCTTAATTTGTGTTTGGGTGGAAACTGTCCCTTGTATCCATTATTCTGTAGGACCCGCCGTACATACTCCAACTCTTCGTGCAGGTGTTCCTTGTCACACAAGTCATATGCACGGTTTGTCAGTGAAGTCACTACAGAATTTAGATGTCTGGGGTGGTGATGCGAAGAGGCGTTGAGATAACGGTCTGTGTGTGTGAGTTTGCGGTGAATGGAATGACTCAGCGAACCATCATTCCGCACCCGAATCTTTACGTCAAGAAATGCCAGACTTCGGTCTTCTTCCATCTCATATGTGAAATGCATTTTGGTATGGACTCCATTTAAATTTGCCAAATGAGCCTCGACATCTTCTTTGTTTCCTCTCAATATACAAAATACGTCATCAACATACCTCTTCCATAGTGCAATTTCTGTGGGGGCGGTGGCGAAAGCTTTTTCCTCAAAATACTCCATCCATATATTGGCAACGACTGGAGCTACCGGACTGCCCATTGCGACCCCATCTATTTGGAGGTAGTACTGACCCTGATATATAAAGAAGTTCGTCGTCAAACAATGATGCAAAAACTTGGCATATTCCGTCGGGATGTTATTGTCTTGCAATTTCACCTTTACTACTTCCAAACAGTCCACCACAGGTACATTTGTGAAAAGTGATTCCACGTCGAAACTAACCATCAAGTGATTGTCTTCCACCTTGTTTTGGTGTAAGATTTCTACGAAGTGGCGGGAATCTTTTACAAACGACGATGTTCGTCCCACTATTGGCTGCAATATTTTTGCTACGTGCTTGGCCAGTTCATACGTAGGTGAGTCTATCTGACTCACGATCGGACGTAGCGGCACATTCAGCTTGTGTATCTTAGGCAGTCCATATAGTTTTGGAGGCTGGACGTTTCTAGGACGTAGCAAATATTTGACGGTATCGTCGTCTAGAGCGTAGGCACATTCTTTTATAAGTGAGCGGGTGCTTCGATCAGTCCTCGCCGTTGGATTGTAATTCACCTTAATATACGTGTTGGAATCAGTGAGTAGACTATGAATCTTACTTTCATACTCAGTGATGTCCATTATGACAGTCGCATTCCCTTTATCAGCTTTGAGTATTATTATGTTATTGTTCTTTCGAAGATCTTGTAACGCAGCTGATTCGGAGGAAGTGATGTTCGGTCTTGGTGGCCTCGCATTACGTAACACCACAGCAACATCTTGTCTTAGCGTGTCCGCATCGATTGCTGGAATCTTGTTACGCATGACACCTTCTTCAACCGACCCAATGACCTCCTCATAGGGAATGCGTCTAGGTGTAATAGCGAAATTCATCCCTTTTTCAAGAACTGACTGTGCAGCATCTGTTAACTCAATGCTCGACAAATTGATGACCGTTCGAGTTGGTAGTGAGTTCTCGTAGTAGGGGACATGAGACTTTTGTCTTTTTAACAATAACTCGAACTTACGATCCTGTTTCATAGCACTAAGTTCCCTGGTACGTTGAGCTTGTAAGTAGGTAACACGATCGCAAACATCAAAATCACTCGTAGAAAGAGTTTCACTGCACTTGAGATGTATTTGGTATAGTTCACACTGACCTTTGTCCAGTCGGTACCTGCAATTTCGTATCGATTTTCGCAACAGTTTTTTACTCCGGACAATAGCGTGCCGAATGAAAGAACACATAAAAGCAGTCAGAAACAATGATACGCAGAAATCGGCTATCGCGGAACATTTAATCGATTCGGGTCCGAATCACTGGATTGAGCTCCATAATCCACAAATCATCTCGACAGAACGCCACTACATACCAAGATTGGTCAGGGAAGCGATTGAAATAACCAAACACAAAAATTTCAATCGTGAGGATGGGTTTAAATTGTCAAGTGTCTGGAATCCAGTGGTTCATATGTGCAAAAACCGTAAAAATCAAAAAAGTGTCGTTCCGCGATCGGATACTGTGAGTATTGTGTGTCGGGAACAGGTGCGAGTGAATAGTGAGAACGTGACCAATGGTAGGGGTATCGAGCGCAGTAAAAGACGACGTCAGAGGGTAGACCGATATGTCTGCCAATAACATCTACCCGCAATTACTTCAGTTACTCCGTGATCATGGCGCTTGCAACAGTGCCGAAATATCGGAGACTCATAAAAAACAAGGTACATGGTAACAATCCCGTTAATAGCTATAATGTTAGTGACCATGAAAGTTTAAAACAATATATCGTTAACCGGTACGGGCCGGATACAGCAAAATTAATAAAAGACCTAGAACGCGCGCGGAAAAGGTGTGAGTGTTTAAAGGAATCACTATCATTCCTAGTGAAGTGCCGTAATTCAGACATTATCCCCACATGTGTTCGGATAAAACCACGACCAGACATTCATGGTTCCACGAGTGTTCTGCAAAATGCGAGTAAAAAACTGTTGCGAAAATCGATACGAAATTGCAGGTACCGACTGGACAAAGGTCAGTGTGAACTATACCAAATACATCTCAAGTGCAGTGAAACTCTTTCTACGAGTGATTTTGATGTTTGCGATCGTGTTACCTACTTACAAGCTCAACGTACCAGGGAACTTAGTGCTATGAAACAGGATCGTAAGTTCGAGTTATTGTTAAAAAGACAAAAGTCTCATGTCCCCTACTACGAGAACTCACTACCAACTCGAACGGTCATCAATTTGTCGAGCATTGAGTTAACAGATGCTGCACAGTCAGTTCTTGAAAAAGGGATGAATTTCGCTATTACACCTAGACGCATTCCCTATGAGGAGGTCATTGGGTCGGTTGAAGAAGGTGTCATGCGTAACAAGATTCCAGCAATCGATGCGGACACGCTAAGACAAGATGTTGCTGTGGTGTTACGTAATGCGAGGCCACCAAGACCGAACATCACTTCCTCCGAATCAGCTGCGTTACAAGATCTTCGAAAGAACAATAACATAATAATACTCAAAGCTGATAAAGGGAATGCGACTGTCATAATGGACATCACTGAGTATGAAAGTAAGATTCATAGTCTACTCACTGATTCCAACACGTATATTAAGGTGAATTACAATCCAACGGCGAGGACTGATCGAAGCACCCGCTCACTTATAAAAGAATGTGCCTACGCTCTAGACGACGATACCGTCAAATATTTGCTACGTCCTAGAAACGTCCAGCCTCCAAAACTATATGGACTGCCTAAGATACACAAGCTGAATGTGCCGCTACGTCCGATCGTGAGTCAGATAGACTCACCTACGTATGAACTGGCCAAGCACGTAGCAAAAATATTGCAGCCAATAGTGGGACGAACATCGTCGTTTGTAAAAGATTCCCGCCACTTCGTAGAAATCTTACACCAAAACAAGGTGGAAGACAATCACTTGATGGTTAGTTTCGACGTGGAATCACTTTTCACAAATGTACCTGTGGTGGACTGTTTGGAAGTAGTAAAGGTGAAATTGCAAGACAATAACATCCCGACGGAATATGCCAAGTTTTTGCATCATTGTTTGACGACGAACTTCTTTATATATCAGGGTCAGTACTACCTCCAAATAGATGGGGTCGCAATGGGCAGTCCGGTAGCTCCAGTCGTTGCCAATATATGGATGGAGTATTTTGAGGAAAAAGCTTTCGCCACCGCCCCCACAGAAATTGCACTATGGAAGAGGTATGTTGATGACGTATTTTGTATATTGAGAGGAAACAAAGAAGATGTCGAGGCTCATTTGGCAAATTTAAATGGAGTCCATACCAAAATGCATTTCACATATGAGATGGAAGAAGACCGAAGTCTGGCATTTCTTGACGTAAAGATTCGGGTGCGGAATGATGGTTCGCTGAGTCATTCCATTCACCGCAAACTCACACACACAGACCGTTATCTCAACGCCTCTTCGCATCACCACCCCAGACATCTAAATTCTGTAGTGACTTCACTGACAAACCGTGCATATGACTTGTGTGACAAGGAACACCTGCACGAAGAGTTGGAGTATGTACGGCGGGTCCTACAGAATAATGGATACAAGGGACAGTTTCCACCCAAACACAAATTAAGGCACCAGACACACATAGTAAGCAGGCAACCAGTATTTTTGCCATATGTGGATTACCTATAATGCGAAGAGATAGCGCTGCCTCGCTGCTTAAGAATGGCTAGAGGAATTTCGACGCGGTCCGTGAGGGCCGCGGTAGCATAATTGGTCAGTGCATTCGCCCGGATTGCGAAGGGTGCGGGTTCGAGTCCCGTCTGCTGCCTGGTCCGCGTGGATTTTTTCTATGTATTGGTTTTATTAAAAATCTACAAAACATTCCGTCAAAAGTGATTTTATTTGATTGACAGTTTGATGACTAATCGCGCACAAGCGGCGGTCAACAGGCGCGGCGCTGGACGCCACCCTTCGGCAGTATTTTCAGTCTAGCTCCTAATCCACTTTCACGCCCATTATAAAAGTTGGCACCAATGTTCTATACAATATTAGCAATTTATATAAAAAAAAATAAAAAAAAACTAAATGGTCTAACTTGGTGAAAATCAAGGAAAAAAACTTAAATTGGTTTTTTTTTTACGAAAAAAAAATTTTTTTTTCTTTTCCAAAAACACAGTTAAAAAGCCCAGTAAATAAAGTTGGAAATCCAGTGGTTTAGTTATTTTAATATATAATTTTATGAGTCCATAATCGGCTTTGAAGTATTGCATGCCAACCGGTTGTCGAAAACTTCAAAGTCCCATTACTCTTTAACTAGTCATTATATCACAAAAATATTTAGTATGCGTATCAATAATAAGTATAAGTAGAACATACTCAAATATTACTGAAATCGGAAACATCGAGTTTTTTTACCTGTCCGCTTCACGTGGAATGCCCCATATATCAAAGGAGTGACAGACAAGATCTCGAACATACTTAATAAGTACTCACTGAATACTGTCTTCACTCCTTTACAAAAAGTGTCACAGTTTCTACGATCTCCCAAAGACAACTTCCCTTTGGAGAAACCTGGTGTATATAAGATCGACTGCAGCTGTGGTAGTTCATATATTGGCCAAACGAAGCGGACAATAGCGTGCCGAATGAAAGAACACATAAAAGCAGTCAGAAACAATGATACGCAGAAATCGGCTATCGCGGAACATTTAATCGATTCGGGTCCGAATCACTGGATTGAGCTCCATAATCCATAAATCATCTCGACAGAACGCCACTACATACCAAGATTGGTCAGGGAAGCGATTGAAATAACCAAACACAAAAATTTCAATCGTGAGGATGGGTTTAAATTGTCAAGTGTCTGGAATCCAGTGGTTCATATGTGCAAAAACCGTAAAAATCAAAAAAGTGTCGTTCCGCGATCGGATACTGTGAGTATTGTGTGTCGGGAACAGGTGCGAGTGAATAGTGAGAACGTGACCAATGGTAGGGGTATCGAGCGCAGTAAAAGACGACGTCAGAGGGTAGACCGATATGTCTGCCAATAACATCTACCCGCAATTACTTCAGTTACTCCGTGATCATGGCGCTTGCAACAGTGCCGAAATATCGGAGACTCATAAAAAACAAGGTACATGGTAACAATCCCGTTAATAGCTATAATATTTTTAATGGATCCATTGCACTCGACGACACGAACACCCCATACTAACGCTCAATAGTAACTGAATTAATTACGTTCGTATGGCAGCTCAACAGAAATTCAGTTGAACGTAAAATAAGTGACCGAAAATAAGCGACTCACAACTCACAAAATTACGCTCGTTTGGCTTCACCCTAAAGAAGAAACTTTAAATCACTAAAAACACAAGACAAAAATGTATTGAACTGCACTTTCTGCCATGATGCGACGCTATTGCAGAAACTCTTCTGATTGGTTGAAATTAAAATATGGCCGGTTATGATTGCGAGATGAGAAAGATTGCCTTTGAAACCAAATTGTGTTTTCAATCTAGTTTTTAAGGGTATTATGGTCATCTGTAATCCTGAATGAGAGATTTTTAAGATTTGTTTTTAAATTTCCTGTGTTACCATACTCGTATCTCATTTTTGAAAATCTACCTACTTTGCCGCCTTTGATACTATACGACTCAATTGAGAGTTACATTTGCTATCAGATGGTTTAAAACCGACTGTATAAAAAAGTACATTTGCCTGAAATCTTACATATAGAAAGATATTTCACAAAGCAATTCTAGAACCTTATCGAGTTGTAATAACGTTATAATAAGAATATTTTCATTTACAGTGTCAATGAAGTAGAACTTACCAGACAGCACCAATTTTCGTCAGTGTCCGGTATTTTGAAGGCCGTCAAATTTTTGATGGATCCACATGCCAATATCTCCACGTCTGCTCTCATTTCTTCTATGTATTCTAAAACAACAATTATCAATGTCACGTCAAATACTTAGAAAATGTGTATTTTTTTAACAAATGGTTACTTTTTCTGTGGTATTTTAACTATAGTCACATTTAACTATGTGACAAATATACATAATATACAAAATGATATGTACCAAACAACGGGGCCCTAATGTCAACAACAATTGTCCGGGATAATCAAGTCTCATGCACCAGTAAAGTATACGAAAATTACACTCCTTTTTCACATCCTGACAGAAATAATATCCGAGAGGGCAAAATATCTTAGGTGTTCATTTTAGATTCGTTTATTTATTGGCATGATGTTGTATAATTTATTAAAAATCATTAAGGTACTTATTAACTCATAGTGTTAGTAACACACCACTTGGTTATTCGTTACTGCTATTTGTAAACTTGACAATCAGTCTCTCCTTTTCATTCTCAATAGTGTGATAAGCAGAACCTACTGTCAAATTGAAAAATAGGAAACACGAACAGCCAAGTAAAGTGCCGGCATTAAAAACTTATTAACATACAAAAATAACGTTTTCAACACATTCGTTCAAAAAATGCATTTACGGTGGTTACATTACGGTGGGTATACATTCTTAGAGAGTTCAAAATTACGGGCGTATGGCCCGTAAAACATTTTACCGCACTCTCCCATTCATGGCGCCGCCCGTGCGTATCCTTTACGGTTTTCTTTTATTTCGGTCTAACCTCCTTGTAAGTACATTTAATATATACCTTTGTCTCACTGTAATACTAAAAATAAAAAGAAAAGAAAAATATAGTTCTAATTTTCACCACCCGCACGTGGCGCCATTTGGAAATATTTCTTATTACAAAAAAATTACTTCATTACTTAAATTAGGTATAGGTACTGTTTTCTCAAAAATTAGTTGAAAAACCTTGTATGACATTAGTGCGGAATTGGTATTTACAGACTCTTGATTATGGTAAACCCTCGACTTCGTCTCGGGATTACATTTGCCTACTCCTTTGTAATAACCAACTTACCGCACTAATATCATAAATAACTATTATTATGTGAAGTATGACCTTGTTTTGGTTGCTATGTTATCACACAAATTAACTTTTCATAATGCAAAGTTACTGAACTAAAAAATGAGATAAAGTGTTTTGTTATTCAAGTACATAATAAAAAAAACTTTTACTGACAAACATAGCACATCTGACCCATTACTGAACTCTTATGAACTTTATAAAGACATACTTAAGATTAAATGTTATGTAAGTAAACTAAAGGTTAAGTATGTGAGGTTATCCGTGGATGTTAGTCATCTGTTAACTACTATTATTTTATTATCAGCAAAGTCTAGTTTGATTGTGAAATAAGGATCCACTCCACTGCTGATTCAAGTGCGAGAAAGCATTATTTTGGTATCGAAACTGAATATTACGCCTACAAAGTATTAGAAAACTTTAAAAAAGATGGATGAATGGTAGTCGTTCTCAAGTTGTGGCTTTATCACCATGATCAGTCTATTAATGTCCCCAGTGCGGTGCCGGTGACGAAGCTAAGGTCAAGCGAGTCACTCACGCTTATCACTTCAGTAAGGATCATTAGTGTGTCAGACTGTAATGAAACAATCGCAGCTGATAGTATCCAATGTACGGTACCTTTCAGCAACGCCTCGGAGCCCCTGTCCCTAAGATAAGCGGCGGCGCCAGTGACGAAGCTGAGGTCGAGTGAGTCCCTAACGCTTATTACTTCAGTAGGGGTCACTAGTGTGTCAGACTATAATGAAACAATCGCAGCTGATAGTATCTAATGTACAGCACCTTTCAGCAACGCCTCGGAGCCCCTGTCCTTGAGGTAAGCAGCGGCGCCGGTGACGAAGCTGAGGTCGAGTGAGTCCCTCACGCTTATTACTTCAGTAGGGGTCACTACTACTGTACAAGCTGGCGGCGGTCCCGGTCGAGTGTCCGATTTCTTTACGCCATCTTTCTCTTCTAATGCCTGGGAACAAGAAAAAGACATTCAAGATCTCTCTTATAGTATAACTATCGGCCCTCGCGATTTCCTTCGCATTAACTTTAGTTTTTTGAGAATCCCATTTTACCGGGATAAAAACTATCCTATGACTCAATCCAGTTCATTAAATATATGCGTACAAAATTTAAGACTTCGTCTGCATGGTTTGGTTTCCCATATATACTTCACAGTCCTTTATACCGTCTTAAAGAACGATTTTTGAAACAAAAGCTATTCTGTCTTTTCCCGGAACTCAGATACCAATTTTCATTTTAATCTGTTCAACGGTTTAAGAGTGAAGAGGTAACACACAGACAGACACATTTTCGCATTATAATATTGATATGGAAGTATAGATATAGCAATTAATTAGCGGGATTGCTGCCATGTTTTTGGCCGTGCGGAAGAACTGGAGCTAATTGCTATAATGAAATAAAACCAGGAAAGTTTAAAACAGTACAATCTTTTTCAATATCTACTTAATTTCATCCTTACCGCTGGGGATTAGAAAATAATTAATGAATCATTTATTATTGTAGTCACTTCATAAAGGTAATTGTTTATTTGAAAATAAAAGGAAAATACGTCATAAAAGTTGTGGCAGTTCCATAATTTATTACAAGTAGGAAATTTCCTGTAACTTTTTCCTTTACATTCCAAATGGACTGTAAAAAATTACATAATCGTCATGATCGTCAGGCTCATGTCATCTATGGCCGAAGAGAAAGACAATGGACAATGAACCCGTATATGAAGACATAGAACTACAAAACATACCCAAGAAAAGACCAACTCGTGAAGACGGAAACAAGTTGAAACCATCGGTCTCTACGGTGCCCCGCGGAGTATCTAGCCGTGGACACGCTGGGACAAGCAACGTAGCTTTCAATTTCGAAAATTAATTGATTGCTTTGTAAAGGTTTCCCCTTTTCTTGACAGTTTCTTTTCTTTCTGGTTGCCAACATGTACAGGGTCAACACCGCATATACTGAGCTAACATAGCGACCTACTTTGGGTCGCGCGTCATAATAGTTAATTTTATTGATATAATATATTAATAACACGAGTACGTTAAGAGCGCGCAGCCAAGCAAAGAATCACCTACTAACTATTTTGTCTGTATTTACGTTCGGCTGCAATAAATATATACATATCTAACTTTAAAAAAAAAGATGTTAAGAGCGCGCATTCGAAACAGTCAAAGAATCACCTACTAACATTTTTTTATCTGTATTTACGTTCGGCTACAATAAATATACATTAGATGTGTGATATGTGTATACTTTGGTGACTTCTTTACCTACGTACTACAAACAACTATCATCTATCAATATCTAAAAGGTGTACGTGGTCACACTGGCTCGTACATTTTAATGGTCATATCATGAGTAGCAGAGACAGCAGCCACGAGGACGCTTTGTAGCCTGATACCGTCTGTTGAAGCGATCTCTAACAGTGTGGCATCCACGTGGCTACATTGTATACCTGTGCGGCGTGCAGTAGCAGAGACTGCAGCCACGAGGACGCGGTGTAGCCGGATGCCGTTTGTTGAAGCGATCTCTAGCAGTGTGGCATCCACGTGGCATACTTGTGCGGCGTGCAGTAGCAGAGACTGCAGCCACGAGGACGCGGTGTAGCCGGATGCCGTCTGTTGAAGCGATCTCTAACAGTGTGGCATCCACCTGGCTACATTGTATACCTGTGCGGCGTGCAGTAGCAGATACTGCAGCCACGAGGACGCGGTGTAGCCGGATGCCGTCTGTTGAAGCGATCTCTAACAGTGTGGCATCCACGTGGCTACATTGTATACCTGTGCGACGTGCAGTAGCAGAGACTGCAGCCACGAGGACGCGGTGTAGCCGGATGCCGTCTGTTGAAGCGATCTCTAGCAGTGTGGCATCCACGTGGCTACATTGTATACCTGTGCGGCGTGCAGTAGCAGAAACTGCAGCCACGAGGACGCAGTGTAGCCGGATGCCGTCTGTTGAAGCGATCTCTAGCAGTGTGGCATCCACGTGGCTACATTGTATACCTGTGCGGCGTGCAGTAGCAGGGACTGCAGCCACGAGGACGCGGTGTAGCCAGATGCCGTCTGTTGAAGCGATCTCTAACAGTGTGGCATCCACGTAGCTACATTGTATACCTGTGCGGCGTGCAGTAGCAGAGACTGCAGCCACGAGGACGCTTTGTAGCCTGATACCGTCTGTTGAAGCGATCTCTAACAGTGTGGCATCCACGTGGCTACATTGTATACCTGTGCGGCGTGCAGTAGCAGAGACTGCAGCCACGAGGACGCGGTGTAGCCGGCTGCCGTCTGTTGAAGCGATCTCCAGCAGTGTGGTATCCACGTGGCCACATTGTATACCTGTGCGGCGTGCAGTAGCAGAGACTGCCGCCACGAGGACGCGGTGTAGCCGGCTGCCGTCTGTTGAAGCGATCTCTAGCAGTGTGACATCCACGTGGCTATATTGTATACCTGTGCGGCGCGAGGACGCTTTCTAGCCTGATGCCGTCTGTTGAAGCGATCTCTAGCAGTGTGGCATCCACGTGGCTACATTATATACGAGGACGCGGTGTAGCCAGCTGCAGTCTGTTGAAGCAATCTGTAGCAATGTGGCAACCACGTGGCTACATTGTATAGCTGTGCGGGGTGCAGTAGCAGAGATTGCAGCCACGAGGACGCGGTATCTAGCAGTGTGGCATCCACGTGGGCACATTGTATACCTGTGCGGCGTGCAGTAGGAGAGACTGCAGCCATGAGGACGCGGTGGAGTCGTCTGGCGCGGCCAGGTGTAGCCTGCTGCCATCCGCTAAGGCGATCTCGAAGCAATGCGGCCGCCGTGTGGCGTCGATGTGTCGCCGCACGCCGACCACAGAGCGGAGAGCAATATTGTGCGGAAGTGGCGTCGTTCCGTCGGGGGAATGCGCACCCCAGTGTAACACGCCCGCTCTGTTGACAAACGTAGACTCTTAAAATGATTTTTTTATGTTTTCATGCGCTGCAATCATTAAAAAAACCGGTCAAGTGCGAACTGGACTCGCCCACCAAGGGATCACAAATTTGGTTTAAGCGTTTTCCAATCCCGAAAGTTTTATGTCAAAAATGCACGTCGCTCCTGGATAAAATGTATGACATTTTTAAAAAAAGTGGAGCACGATCCGCATATCAGTAGTTCCGACGTAGCTGAAGAACTGGAAATTAACCAGTACCCTTAGTACAAGTTTGAGGTCACGAAAACTATCATAGTTTTTTAAGACACGAAAACTATCATAGTTTTCGTAATTGTAAATTATGTTTCTATGTCCATTTTGGTGAAAAGTAACCAAATATACTTAGAATTTAAGAAGACGCAAATGATTTAATGATAGAATTTAAACACTGTTTATTTGTATTGAAACGAAAACAATAAAATCAGTACCCTAAATTCGAGTGCGAGCTCACGAAAACTATCATAGTTTTCGTAATTGTAAAACTCGTACTAAGGGTACATAAAACAGTTTTGGCGCATTTGAAACAAGCTGGGTAAGAAAAAAAGCTCTGTATTTGTGCCCTTTATTGGTGCCTCACGAGCTCACTGAAAGAAATCTAATGAACTGTGTACTCATTTATGATTCTTTATTTCGACGTAATGAAACCAAACCATTTTTTAAGACACTGATAACTGGTGATTAATAGTGGATCACGCATGACAAGAACGTGCGAAAAAGGTCGTGGTCAAAGGCCAGTCAGGCTTCACAGACTCTGGCGAATCCCGGGTTAACTCGCAACAAGTGATGCTGTGTGTATGTATGGTGGGATTGAAAGGGTATATTCATTAGAAGCTGTTACCGCCAGGCAGGACCATCGATTATGAACTCTACTGATAAGATTAAAACAAGAGTAAAGCAAGAGCAAGGTTCTTCATCATTATAACGCTAGACCTCACACATCTTTAGCCAGTCAGTAAAAATTAAGAGTTTGACTGGGAGGTGTTACTGTATCCGCTGTATAGCCCTGACCTTCTGGTACTTCAGATTTCCACCTTTTTCCGTCTCTTCAGAATTCTTTAGGCAGTGCCAGTGCCAGTATCACGAGAGGACTGCCAAAATCACTAGTCGCAGTTTTTTGATCAGAAGACCCAAAAATATATATCAAAGTGACTTTAAACTGTGTTTTTTTGTGATAAAAGGATGTTTTCAAATTTTGTGTACCCATCTTTTAGAAGCTTCGTTTGTTTTTTTGTTTCATCCTTTCTAACCTCATAACAAGAACTACAGCTTAGGAAGAGATTTAATTCAACTCATTTAGTTATCTTATTTTTACATATAGACCAAAGAAGAGACAACATAATTTACCAAAACACCGCGGATCGCGATAAAGGTCGAATGGTGCGGCGTGCATTCTAATATGAGCCTTATGAGCGTAAGGGAGAAAGGGCAACGAAATCTGCATTTGTTTACAACTTATGCGCGTTACCTACGTAGGTAGTATAAGTAGGTACTACGCACTCGCGGGTGCTAGTTAACTCTCAATTTAACGGGACTTTTCTAGAATGCGTCGATTGGCGTATATAAGCACGATCGGCGTCGCGTAGAGACAGTTTAGTTTCAGCAGCGATTACGGAACGACTACAAAAGCAATCAAATCGCCAGTAAAGTGTTCAAGTGCGATTATTTAAAGACTTGTAAAGTGAAATACAGTGTTTAGTGAGTGTACTGTGATTAACATTGTGTGTTAACTGAGTAAACGGTGTGGTGAATAAAGTGCTGTCAAGCGTGATCTGGCATATAATTACGAACCCTATCCCGACACGTAACAATATGTTGCTATGAATAGGCGTGTACCAGTATACTAACGTGAAATAGGATATCTTGTACACCTTGTGAATTACCTTTACGATACCGAATCAAAAAGCGACCTAATGTCAAATACAACCTGGCAACATGCCACTTTTTGGTTGGGAAATGCTTTTTTTGGAAATAATATCGTTCATTTATTCTCTATGGGAATGTACGCTCAAAAGTCATATCATTACTTCTATGCTTCAGTTCTTATTCCGAATTCTAAAATTTACCTACCTCAATAAAAAGTAGCAAGGCTCGAAACGTTTGCCCTTGTCAGTTCTGCACATGAGGTAGCCCTCGAGGGGCGGGGCGAAGGCGCCGGGCGCTTCAATCAACCTGTCTCCCGCATCTCCGGAGCAAGCACGCCCGTAGTAAAGCACTTCGGGTACCTGTTCATGCATAAAACAAGACATCTTCATTTTATTACGATTTCATAGTCATTGAATGAATTGGAAATGTAAGAAAAACGTAACGTAAGTTTTCAGCAGTCAATTTCAGGTACCTGTTACCCAAAGGATGACAATTAGGAACATACTAACATTAACTAAAGAAGCAATATGAACATCGAGCACTAGGCCAGAATGATCGACTAAAGTGAACCTGATTGTTGAGGCCACTGGTCGTGGTCGTGGCCCTCTAGTGCACGAGGTGCCTACGACTTTAATCCTAATAATATTATAAATGTCAAAACTTGTATGTCTGAATGTTTGCTACTCAATCACACAAAAACTTTTGAAAGGACCTGGATGAAATTTGGAACGCTTAGTTTAGTTTATGATGTGGTTTGAGACAGAGATAGTACTTTTTATTCAGGAAAAATATAAGCTTCCTGTGCTGTGGGATGCTCATAAAACTAAATGTAACGCGGACGATGTCGTGGGAGGCCACTAGTATTAAACATATAGCAAAAAAGGGCGCAAAACCTGCCAGCCTACCATATGAAGTCATGATCATAAACCAGTAGACCCATTAATTTTCAAAACGACTAGTCGGTATATAGGGCTACATAAACAATCTATCTGCGACATAAATATATTATAAACATAATAGTAATATGACGTCACGGCACCATTTACGTCTCTCATTGAGATTGCATGAATAACATTATAAATGAGTTGAATGTTACTCATTATATCATGCGACGAGTACTAGAATAAGTAATTTATGCAATAACTTTATTGCGCTTTACACTATCACGACATAGTTATTTAACGAAGTCTTTGCCGCGTGTGTTTGTCAGTGTCAGTTTATACCCAATAATCTTTAAGTCTTTAACCGCACATTTAGCTATTAGTCGTAGCCACTAAACGCGACCACAAGCTGAGGACGAGTTTTTAAACATTTTATGCCACAAGCTGCGTGAGTCGCTCGAGCTGGCTACTTGTAGTCGCGTTTTATCGCTACCGTCGGTGGCGTTTTTATGTTAAAAGGGTGGCAAATAAGCTTATGGCCCGCCTGATGGTAAGCGGCCACCATGGCCTATAGATGCTTGCGATACAAAAAATATCAGTCTCATCGTTGCCTACCCTGACTACCCTACCCTGTGGAGCCCTGGAACCTTACTCATCGACAGAAACACAACACCACCAAAAGGTAGTGGTATTCTACTGTGGTCTTCTGTAAGGTGGAGGTTACTTCCCTGGACGGACGCTCCAATTCGAGCGGAAAGGAACTACCTCTCTTTAAAAATCTACGCTGCGTCTAGTAGCTTGACTGAGCCACTAGTGGTAACATTAAGCAGCCTCGACTATTATAGTAGCTCTATGTGCGGGCGCTCTTAATCATTAGTTAGAAAATTTTTCATTGAGGATTTATATGCCCAAGAACAAAAACTATAGTCTTTACACAAACGAGACATGGGGGATCACTAGTTATGAATACAATATGATTGAGTTACAATTAAAATAAAACTTTTGCAGACCAATTTAGCTAGATCTGTTTTATCAACATTCAGTTGAGTCGACATATCGAATAATGTACTTCTAAATTTACAATCCAGCTCCCATCCTACTAATATAAATGTGAAAGTTTTTGTATGTTTGTTATTCAATCACGCAAAAAACTACTCAATGGATTAAGATGAAATTTGGTACGCATACAGCTGACTGAGTATGACCTGAATTAAGAGATAGTACACTTTTATCCCGAAATTTGTTAGGTACCTCAGAGAGTTTCAAAAAACTTAAGTGAACGCGGGAGTAGTCACGGGCGGCCGCTAGTGATTATGTATTTCTAAAAATACTTAATACTACTACAAAATACTTACATAAATAAAAAATGGGTAATTACATACTAAGATTTAACATTTAAGTTGTACACGCTTTCTGACCAATTTGAATTCATATTAAATAGATTGCGTTATAAAATAGATGTGAAAATGAACATACATGCCGTTCCATCCTCTGCCTGGTCACCACTGCAGCCAGTTGGTAGCAGTCTAAGGGCAACATCGCTGGTGGCCGCGATATCCGCAGTGGGGAGTTGCGAGCACTCCACTCCAACGAGGACGCGAGTCTTGCCCCAAGTGAAGACTCCCCCGTCACCACGGAACAAGCAATGTTTCCAAACACGTCTATCACTTGAATGTACTGGTTATCAGGGCCCACCTGTTAAAACAAATTATTTATTTATACTTTATTGCCAAAAACAGCAAATGGCGGTCTTCCTCAGCCAGCCAACCAGTAATTGTGATAAAAGGAAACCTTACTGCAGAGCAATAAAGACACATGTAACAAACCTGGGTAAATTATTATAATGGTTTTTATAGGTACCCAGGAAACAATTAAAATAAGGTCAATTATATCATGCTGCATTTCTTAGTTGCAAGTTATTTCAGTAAACATTAAAAAAAAGCATTGATTTTCAAAAATTGCCAATAATTAATCATCTAACTCACTGCAATCGCGTCAAGTTCATTGTGGGGCAAGCGGCATAATATTTCATATTCAGTTCCCCCTTGAGTTAAATTTGCTACATATAAAGCATAATCTGTGATGAAAACTAGTAGAGGTGACCATGATCCATCTTCCATATCATAAGGTGATTGAACTTTCATCATCTGCAAAAACAATATAAGAAGACTCAATATACAATTATTGTTAACTAAACAAACATTAACCATATTGAAATAAATGATATGGTAACAGTAAATTCCTTAAAGTAAATTAATGACAATTAATAAATGATTAAGTTTGTTAACATTATATCTACAGAAACAGGACACTTTTTATCAATTAATGAAAAGCAAAATTAAATAGTATTTCATGTTTACCCTGTTCAAAGTTTCATTGGGATAGGAAAATATCTGTAATCTTAGTTTCTCGTTGCATTCAATAGCAACATTATCTTCAAAGCTGTCAAAGTATGAAGGCTCTTCAGCCGTCAGTAGCCTTACTGAAAGCCTTTTGTTTTCTATCACCTCTTTGTCTATCAAACGTGACATTCTCTCTGCAGAAATGTGAAATGTATCGGACACATCTTTGAATGGAAATATGATACTTGGGAAATGCTTTTCTAGCCTCAGCTTCAATCGGTAAAATTTATTATTTCTTATTTTCATTTCTAAGTCTTTCTTTTGGCATACATTTTTCAAGTACCTATTTAGTAAAGCAGATTTATTTGATTGCAGCTTTTGATTTGCTGGGCTATCTAAGTATTCGTCATTGAAATCATCAGCACCTTTTAGAGTGGAGTTATCTGTATTTGAGCAGTTGTCACTGTTTGCTAAAGTTGGTTCAATGGCAACTTTTTGCACAGTTGAAGCAGATTTTCTACTGTACCTGTTGACATTTTGTTTCTTGGGGGATGATAAATGTTTGGGAATACCATTCTTTTGTTCAGTCTCTTCTTGGATATTTTTGTTAAACTGTCTTTTTGGAGTGGATGTTCTACTTGATGTGTCTATGTCTGATAATTTTGAACTCAGGTCAGTTTTGCTAGCACTCATCACTAGTTCATTGACTGGTGTCGATTCAGGTATAGGTACAAAAGTCTCTTTAGGGGCATCAAAAGCAGTCTGGAATGTATCATGCACATAGCTATAAGAAACTCCTTTGTGTTCATATACTGTACTTTCACAATTCACAACATATTTATTCACAGCTGGGAATGCATCAGCTTTATTCAGAGACTTTTTGTCTTGTTGTGTCTTCATGTTTAAAGTCAATTTATGTCGAGGTGATCCCTCATTTGGAGTCCGTTCCCCAGCAACATTAGTTTTAGATACAGAAATATCTTTAGGTTTTTCTTGTAATTGATTATTTAGATTTATTTCAACAAAATCATCATCATCCTCAGCTTGAATGCCAGAATCTAGACTTTTAGACAGATTTTTATTCTGGTTTATATCACAGGGTAAAGCTTCTACTACATTGTTCAGTTCTAAGCTATTCTCAGGTAAACCTTTTTCAGGAGTAAAATTGAAATTAAAATTCTTATAAAAGTTTTTCAAAGAATCAATAATATTATTTGCATCCAATAAATGTAAGCCTTTTCTGTTCTGTTTTCGTTCTTCAACAATATTAGTTGGAATATATCTTTTCTTTTTCAATACTGATTTCACATGATTGGGGCTTTCTGTGACTTCAAGAGGTTTTTTCATGCGATCATGAGTTTGATCTATGTCAGCCTCAGAGAAGTAGGTTTTCCTCATGAATGTCACATGTGTGTTATTTTCAAAGCCATCACAGGAGTATGATTTTTGGGTTTTATCACACTTCTTTGGTAAAAGTGTTGTCTCTGTTTTATTAGAATTTGTGTGAGATGATGATGAGTCACTAGATGAACTTTCTGAATCACAACTAAAGTTTGAATCTGAGCTATTTGAGTCACATCCATAGAGCTTACCAGTTGGCCTTGATTCATTATTATTTTCTTTATCTGTGTGGCCCTGGTTGCCCTGCTTAAAGTCATGGCAGTATTCAAATATGCCACTTCTATCACTTTTTGGGTCCCCATATGTCAAGATATCTGACATAGTTTGCTGAGCAACGTCAGCAGCATATTTTGGTGCCTGATCACCTGATGCACACCATGAAAACCTATCAGTCATAATATTATTCTTTTGTCTAAATCTATCACAGTATGAACTATCAGGTCCATATGATATGAATCCACGTTCAATGTGGATATTATCCGTTTTGGTATTATTAAGAATATCTTCATGAAAAGACACTCTTTTCTTCTGGGAACTCTGTCCACTCTGTGATTTCTTTCTGCATCTTCGTCTGTAAACAATATCTTCAGATAAAGATTTTTTAGGTTCACTAGTTCTTAGTGCAGGTTTTTTGACCTCTTCTGTGCAAACTTTCTCACTCTCTAAAGCTTTCAAAACTACATCTGGCAAATTTTCATATTGTTTTTTGTGTGTTTCGACTAAAAGTTCAGGAACCATCTCATCGGGAATTCCAATGTTTTGATTGTCAATATCACTTCGTGTCATAACACTACTGGTTGTACTTTTGATCATGTCCTGAGATCCTGAAGGAGGGGCATCATATTGACTATCACAAGTTAATTCTTCTGCTCCAATTAGACTATGGGACATAAGCGCTTGGCTTGTGGCTTCTGAAGCTTCACTGTCTAAACACAAAACACCAGAATCTCCAGGCGTATCAGCTAAACTACTGGTAGTACTCGATATCAAATGTGAAGTGCTTTGTAAACACAATTCTGTAGGCTTTCCTGTTATATCTTCGTTCTCCATCTTTGCATATTGCAATGTATCTTCACCACCACTTATTGCTGCTGTCGCAATAAGAGTGTCGTCAGTTTTATGACGACGTTTGCTTTTATCGATCTCATTGCCTTTTATTTCTGTAGCCTTGTTTAAGGCCATCTCGGATTTTCTCTAAATATGACAACTGGTAAACAATTATCTCTTAGAGAAAACAATAATTTTTTGATGTAACCGTTTCATATGGTGCATTCCTTGACTGATTTATTTACAAAATTCACAATAAATACGGCACAAAGATGACCACTAGCAGCCATTTTTATTTTAACATATTCTGACGTTTGATCAGGGCTGCCAGATGGGGTTTTATAACTTACGCCAGCTTGAGAATTTTTTTACGCCAAATAATTCCATTCCAGAAAAAAACGCCTAATAAAATAAAGATAATAAGATCTGGCATTCAAGCTGAGGATCATTTATGACTGATTCTTCTTGAAATAAAATACCCACAAACACCTAATAATATATTTTGTTTAAACTTTCATGGTCACTAACATCATAGCTATTAACGGGATTGTTACTGTTTTATTAGTCTCCGATATTTCGGCACTGTTGCAAGCGCCGTGATCACGGAGTAACTAAAGTAATTGCGGGTACATGTTACAGGGAGACATATCGATCTACCCTCTTACGTCGTCTTTTATAGCGTTCGATACCCCTACCACTGGTCACTTGTTCCTGACTGTACTGACTGTACTGCGATCTGATACTGTGAGTATTGTGTATACTCACAGATCGCGGAACGACACTTTTTTTATTTTTGCGGTTTTTACACATAACAGCTTATTATTACTTTTCAAGGCATTTATCATGGAGTATGCATCTGTAGTCTGGTCTCCTCAACACAAGGATATGATTGAGGCTGTTCAGAGGCGAATGCTTAGAATTCTATCAATGAGATCAGGTAAGAAACGAGAGTTAACAAGTGACGATTGTCGCATGTGATATTTTGAAATCAAGAGCCTTGAAGCTCGGCGTAAGATTCAAGACTTTATCTTTCCCCGCAAAATCTTAAAAGGTATTATTCATTCAACTCTCTTGTCTGAGATGAACTTTAAAATTCCACTCAGATCTTCAAAATATAGCCCCCCTCCTTTTCTGTAGCTCTTTGCAATAATAATAATGTCATCTCATAACCCCATCCTAAGAATGTGTGAAGAATATAATAAATAATAATAGAAAAACGATAATATGCCTGACATCCACAGTTCATCAGTAAGTGTACGGAAATCATGGCTTTCTAAGATAATGAAATGAATATCGATGTATTAATGATCATAAGCTATTTATCGTAATTTTCAATTTTTTTATTTTGTATCTAATGTTCAAAATTATTTTATGTTTTATTTATTATTTGTTTTTTAAACTGATTAATTATTTTATAAGTGTTGATTATTATTATTCAATGATTCATTGTTTGTGTCGATAGTTTAAGTTCATATTCATTTAATTTAATTATGTTGTACAATTGATTATGCATGTTGTCCACACATATGATTGGAATTACAGTCTATATCTGTCGCATGTATATTTGGTGATTAACTATGTAAATGCTGTAAACCTGTTTTGTGTGGCTAATAAATAAATAAATAAATTCTGGTATGATTGTCTAAATCTAAAATTCAATTTGACAACAGAGATACTGATCTTAAATTTAGTTTTAAGTTTAGAGAATCATGCTAGAATCGATACCACTATCTCCACAAGACTAAATTTTTCCTCCAAAATAACGTATTAATATAATACCCCAATCCGGCATCACTGCATTTTTTTTCTTTATTCCCATTTTTAAGAGAAGGCAAGGTAAACAAATCTCACAGAGTAATATTATTTTATTATTCTCTCAATTCGCGAAAGTAAAAAAAAATAACTCATGCAGCCAAAGAAAAATTTACTTGAAATAATTGAAGTAGACTAAGAAAGAAGAAAGGCTAGAGAAAATTCGACAGGGCCATTAGGGCCGCGGTAGCATAATGGTCAGTCCATTCGCCCGGGTAGCGAAGGTTGCAAGTTCGAGTCCCGTCTGATGCATGGTGGTGGATTTTTTTCTTGTAAAAATTTCTTGAGATTTAAACATCTAGCAGCTTAAATGCTTAGAAAATACAATCATACGGCCAAGTTTATATTCTTTATTATATTTTTCTATTTATATAAATATATATTTTTTCTAAAATAAAAATAAGTATAATATAATAAAAACTCGTTGGTATTATGGTAAGAGGTAAGATAAGATTGTAGAATGGCTCTTAAAATCTTAATTATCCGTACAAGTAGAGTTATTATTTCATCGAGTGCGGTTGGCGTCTTATTTTAATTATTCTTAAATTCGTTCATAGTGGATATTGTGAAATAAAATTGGTGTGGTTTTATGTAACAACCGTCTGCGTAACTGAAGAATTAGTGGAATCGTTAAAATATACGCTATTCCGGTCAAGTGGACGTGAGAATTTTATTGTAGTGTTGACTACCTCACAGAAGCTTATCGAAAAAGCCTACTCGATACATTTCGTGCCAAACACTCCAAGAAACATTAGAATGCGTCACACCGGCGCAAAAAACAAAAAGAAGATTAACTTAATTAAAGACTAGGCTGTATGGGCATTGTTCCCTTTGCCTTCACTAAAACGGGAGAACTTCAACAAAAAAAAATAGGCAAGTGTCAAAATTTGAAATTCGCGTTTTGTGTTTACAGGTTAAGTTTCACGAAAAGCGGAATAAATAATTCACTACATATGTTGCAATTATTGTGAAAATACAATGGATTTAATACCGACAAAGTTATTTTGTGTAGTATTATTAATTTTCTGTGTGCACATATGTGAAGGTGCGAAAATTAACACACCAAGAGTGCTTTTACCATGGTTCGAAAACTTGACTGTTAATTTTACCTTTGAAATCATCGAGGGAGGATGTTATACTTGGTATGTGTGTTTTACAATTGTATGCCATCGCATCGCCTTTATGTTTGCGTCTTATTCCTCAAAAAATGTATGACATTAACATTGAAATTTTAGGAGCTTGTCTCGCGATGACATCATAGATCTTGAACCATTGTACGAGGACACCTGGGGTCATTGCTCACAAGCTGCACGTGTGTCAGTATCCAAGACATGTGTTCCACCTGGCTCAGTTATCATCTTGGCTGAAGAAGTAAATTCAGGCGAGGTAATGTTGTATATTTCGAATTGGCGGGAATCTGTAGTCTATACTTTTTGAAAACAAACACTTGACGGATACAAAACTTTTTGAGTAATTGAACTTCAGATTGCTCCATAATAACAACATTGCTAACATATTCTCGAATGAACACTATCAATTTCAATAGATAATATGTACCTCTGAGCAGAGCAGAGCATATAAACGAGTAAAGCCACCAATAGGACATTATAATACATACAATGTCAACCCTGCATGGGTTTTTGGGGTATCCATAATATCAAAACCTAAAATATAGCCTGTTTCAAAATTTTTGTTACACTGATACTATTCTCACACTTGATAAATACATTTAATCACTTAAGTTGATCCCATTGTGTAAAACTTTTAAGAATATTTGTTTGTAATTGCTAATATTGTGCAAACTCCAAGTTGCAAATATTACAGCCATGTTTACCATTTAAAAGTTCTTAATAATAAAATCACATTCTTATTTATATCCATCATTTATTGTAGATGAATAAATATCAAAATGAAAATATAGTATATTACTTTGCTATAGTTAAAGGTTTACTTTAGTTTACTATGTATTTGATGTGACATTAACTATAGTCAAATTAACAAACTTATGCTGTTTTCAGATATTGCGTGGTGATGTAAGCATTGATGAGATAAGTTCCTTAAAAGTAACAAGTACAACATGGAAATTATACCTTGAAGAAGCACCTGAAGCTTTTGAAGTTGTTGCTTATGATGACAAGGGTGTGTTTAAAACCTTGTTTAATATATTATTTTATGCATTGAATTTAGGAAGTCCACTTTATTTTCACTATTTCTCCTCTTCTTTTCATGCTGTTAATGCATTTATATCATATATAAATAGTTTCAAAATTAGTTTAATGTTTCTTGTTTTTGCTCCTTAGGTAACAAGTTTTCAACTTTGGAAGGGGTAAGCTTTACATGGACTATAGAAAATCTTGGTAATAATGTTGATGAAGATAATATTGTTACGTAAGTATAACTAAACTAAACCAGTATACATGAAAATTTAAGCCATTTATAATTTTATGTTATTCCTGATTTCTAAATTTATCTTTGTTCTTTAGTCTTGTTCGCTGGCGAGATACTGACTATGAGGCACCACAAGGGGTATCAGAACTCGAATCTCAAGGACTCCGCTCACGCACAGTTCTATTGTATGGTCAGGCAATTGGAGAGTGCCGAGTAACTGTATGCCTAAATAACATCTGCACAGACTTCAGTCTTCATGTGGTAGCTAGTGTTGTGCTTACCCCAGCCACAGCTATGATTGCACCAGGCGATACTTTGAGATATAGGTGAGAAGCCTAATATTATTGTTATACAATTTACTCAGATTAATAATATATAACCACTATTAATGCAAAATAATGTTACTTCTTATTTTATATTCCCCATGTTTTAGATTACAATACATACACTCTTCATAATTAATACTTATTCTGATTTTGTTTTAAAACAGAAGGTATGATGTTTCTTTCCATTTGAAAGTTATCTCTTTTATTAAAGACTATTATCTTATCATATCTGGTTGTAAACAACAATAATAAAATAAAATGTGAAATTTCACTAATACCTTTATCATTGCGAATGGGTAAATAAATATGCAACAATCAACAAATAAATTATATCATCATTTGTAAATATAAGGTTATATTTTCTAATTATAGAGTAGTCAGAGCTCGCGCAGGCCGTCTCACCATTCAAGATGTCGCTGAGACTTTCTACAGTATGAAAGTGCCTCAAACAGGCGTCGCATTTCTGGAGGATACTATTAGTTTAGTTCGCGGCACTGAGGTGGGAACAACAGCTATAATGCTAATGTCTGGAATAACCGAAGTAGCTACTGCGACACTAACAGTGGCTGAACCACATGCAATTAGAGTTCACATTCGCCCATCAAACCTTGTGATCCAAGGAGAGAACTTCATTGTCCATGCAATAGTTTTAGATAGAAATGGACATGCTTTAACTGCTGGCAATGAGATTTTGATCAGGTTGACGGTTGAAGGAGAGGCTAATGTTGACTTGATACAGTCTACAGAGAATGGTACTCTGACTGATGCAGTAGCACAGAATGCAGGACCTTTTAAGATAACGGCACGGCTGCATTCTATTGCTGGGAAATTATTGCATAAGAAAGTAAGTATACTTTGAATGTTCATAAATAGATGAAGATTTAAATAGAGGTGATGACGGGGTATAGTACACGAAATTCTATTTAGTCTGTCAGTTAGATGATCAAAATAAATGGTCACGTATTTTTTCTTTGGGCAATCAACCAAAAAATGTCAAAGTTATAGCGCGTCATAGTTTGGGAGTAGGGGCTCGTGACGTCACTTTTAAGTGAAAATTGTACCCAAATGTGACGTCATGCGACTTTTCAAATCAATATATCTCTGCAATGTTTATATTATGTGAAAAAAGAAAAAATATGTGTCCAATACTTTTTGATAACCTACCTGATAAATGAAGAAAAAAAAATTGTCATCATCCCTATCATATATCTGGTAACCCAACTTTGTTTCTTTAAGGTTGAAGGTGAAGTATCAGCTGTGGCAGTGGAAACTTTGAAAGTACTGCCACCAGAATTATTTGTAGCATGGACTGACAATATACAGTAAGTGAAAACTTTTTGCACATTTTTATGGGAGAAATTTGAGTAGGACTATAAACATTTTTTGCCATTTTTCAGAGATATACCATTAAGATACAGTGGTGGTGGTGATGAACCAGTGGTTTGGTCAGTGGGGGAGATGTCTAGCCATGCTCTTTCAGTAACTCCAAGTGGTATTCTTACAGTCAAAGGCATTGGTGAAATCGATGTTCGCGTGCATTTGAAGAACTATCCCCATGTGCAAGCTTATGGAAAGTGAGTTGACCTATATATGAAAATTTTATTATAGTATCCAAATCATTTTAAGACAGGCACAGTATATCATATAGTTGGTCAGGCTAGTGTAATGTAGTCTAAAACTAGACTTTATGAATTAAACACAGACAAATTACTCTATCAAAATAAAATACCTAAGGCTGGTTAAAATTAACTGTTCTACAGATTTTCTAAAACTACCAAAACTCTTACTGGGTTAGCAAATAACCTTGGGGATTATTACATACACATATATGTATCAGTATATTATGTATTCTATTTGATACCCTAGTGACCCATGTCACTGTGTTAGAAATATTTATTTATTTGTTTAAAAAATCTAAATGGGTGCTGGGACACATAGTTGAAGTAATATTTCAACGGACAACCCCTCCCCTTGCCCTCTACGCTGCTGCCTCACATCGTGCTATATATCGTTTTCCCCCTCCACGTGGCCTATCGCTTTTTCGTGACATCATAATCCTAATCTGTACATATAATATGTAAATGGTAGGAAAGTCAAAACAGTACATTGAATATTTTTTTAAAAGAATACTTGGGGTGTGATCTACAATCGATACCAAAGCCAAAAGTATAGTTATAGATTTTTTGTCTGTTTGTCTGTATGTATGTCCGTGAAACATATAGGCTACATATTATCACGCTATCACTTACGGGAAACCTTTATTTCTAACTAACTCCACGCGTACGAAGTCGCAGGCGGCCGCTAATACAACTTACAGAAGGTTTCACTTCAAGAACGACATAATTCCGTTAACCGTTTCCGCCTCAGGGTTTACTCCGCGACGCCGGAGTTGGTCCAGGTGTCGAGCTCTGGTCAAGCTCGCGTTGGTCGTCCGCATCTATTGCACGTAGCACTAACTGCCACGCGAGAAAATAATCCGGGGGAGCTTTACAACTTCCATGTGTAAGTGTATTTATATTAAAACTAGGACTTAAGAAACACATTATATTATGATATAATCACATTTAAAAATGAAATTGGTATTGAAAACCAATGAAATCAATGGTGTTTTTATCACTTAATCATACTTTTATTCTTATTGCCTGTCTTCTGCCTTTTAGAATTTATTTTTATATCTAATTTTTGGCCAATAAAGACAATGGGATTGTCATCATCAACATCTCAGTTAGAAACTGTATTTATGTTTTAATGTTAATGCTTGGTTCTGTTTGTGTGATATTTCTATCATAGTTACACGTAATTATTAATGATAATTATCCAGTACAACTCTGGTCAAATTGCAATATTTTCATAGAATTCCATATTAACGTTATGAAGTATTTTTAAAGAAAATGTTGTGTTATAAAGTATGTATAGAAACAATTTGAAAAACAGTTCATGCAAATTTTAATTAGATGTTTTGTAGGGAATTAGGCTTTGTCTTATGGTCAGACTCTTATTTTTTATTTCGCTTTGTTCGTTGGTTGTCAGCTCTTCAACGTCTCTCACATGTAAATACGTTTAAAAAAATTAAGACTAAAACTCTTGTAAATCACTGGGGAACCTTGAATATACATTATGTTTTCAGCTGTAATTGTGCGTCGTTCGCCGTATCTCTGTTGGAAGGCCCAGAACCTCAAAACGTCACTGCTGCTACGTGGGTTGAGCCTATCGGTAAATATACTTTTATTTTTTAAGTAGTTGAGGTACTCTGTGGTGGGTAGGCCTGTGGTCCAACCAATGCCAGATTTCAGGCAAGGTAGGCGAGGCTGTGGCCCAGGAGACCCACAAGAGGGAGAGAAAAAAAATGGGTCGTTAACTGTACTGCCTTTTTTCAAATAACATTTTTCGTATTTTTACCATTATGCCGGCACTTTACATGGCTATTCGTATTTGCTATTTGTCAACTTGACAACCAACCGTCTGTCCTTATCATGCTTTATAAGGCAAGAAAAGGACAGACTGATGTGTCATTTCCAAATAGCAAACACGAATAGCGATGTTAATCGCAGGGCCTCCACTCCGTCGTTGTCCCAGAACTTCACTCCTCTAAATCCGGCTTTGGGTCCATCAGTAAGGACATGGACGTCATGGATAGGTTGAAAATTTTGATAAATATGTGGTTTCATATGACAATGCGTTTGTACAGAGGGCGCGTGCTGCGTACTACAGTGCGCGTGGCAGTCGCGCGGCATCTCCACGTTGCGAGTGTCTCGCGGTCGCGCGGGCGATACTACGCGAGTGGCGGTGCGAGCCGCGCCCGCGCTACTGTGGCCGAGTAACGCCGCCGCCACAGTACATGCCTCTATACCGGTGAGTGTGGCACTGGGCGCGTGTGTGAGTGTGTGTGTAGGTATATATAGGGCGCGTGCTGCTTACTGCAGTGTCTCCACGGTGCGAGTGTCTCGCGGCCGCGCGGGCGATACTACGCGAGTGGCGGAGTTTTATCTCATTGTCCCGTTGAAGGCAATGGTGAGAGCAGAGTTTGTGTGCTGCCTCCTAATGTAACCTATGGACTTGACCTCAGGACTGGTCAAGGCCTTAGCTTACATAGTAACCTGCTTAAAGTATAATTGGGGGGTGGCAGGCTGCAAAGGGCGGCACGCCTCTGCTTATGCCCTATCTGTATTACCGCTGCCCTATCTTAAATACAACTCTGGCTACGGCCGTACCTGAGGTTTAGGTCAATATTTAGCTAATGAGCTAATTTATAGAATTACATTTCATAGCTCAGCATCGTCTTTACTTTTTTTTTCGTTGTTGTACATAATAATGCGCCCGTAACATATTCTAATGTGTCTTAAGTATTTGTTACAATATGTAGTATTACACAGTCCGTACCTGTGAAAGAAACACGTATTGTATGAACACCGTGGCTGATGTTTGCTTCGTCTTCACCTCAGCAAGTCTGAAGAATAATGGCATAGATTAGTGTTTGTGACCACATTTATTGGTCCTTCGAGCCGGATTTTCGCTGCATAGAACTTGAACGAATTAGAAATGCCATGGAAGCATTACCCTCGCAATTGACCCCTTGATCGCAGTTTGCGTGGAACTACTTTTTAATGTAGATCGTATTCGAATTTATTTCTCATTCGTTGAATTCAACTAAATGAGAATAGAGACAAATTTTGTATAACATAAGTGTACCTATAGTCCATTCACTTTGGCGTGAGACAAAATGTAAACAAACCATAAAATGGATACTTTTTAAGGTCACGTTTGACAAAAGCAAAGATTAAATACTATTTACATAGGAAATGCAGCGAAAATTTAAGTTAATTATTTTAAAACCTGTTACATACATATGAATAATAAAATAAAATATTTTACATTATATTCAACGTACATTCACATCATAAATTCGTATATTTTTAATTTGCTGGTAAAAGTATTTTAACAACTTAAGTTGACATGGAAAAAGACCTAAAAACACAATCATTCCCAAACCTAAGACGTATTATAATACGATAAAATTTAAGAGTAGACATGATACAAGTATTTTACGTTGCAGTGTTGTATTTTGTAATCGGTTGGTTTATGTCAGCCATCTTTACTCTCCCGATCAACTTGTTGACGCGAGCGTGCTTATTCAATCTTATTTGTTAAATTCTTGTTATTTCCTTATTTTATTTGTTGAGCTTGTTGTTATTTTATTTATAGTTAAGTTTAAAGTTGTTTGTGATTGTTTTCTTGTTAAATTGACGTTTTCGTAGCTATAGTTATGAGTGGTGAACCGGGACCAAGCAGCTCTTGTACATTTTCTTCGCTGAAGAAAAAGCGTACAAAGAGTGGACCATTGCGCTCCAACGAAAAGGAGCTCGTGATAAATGTTTTTAAACATGTTGAAGAAACCTGACCAAAAGATTCCTATCCATATAAAAGTGATATAATCAATAAATCCGCCGAAATACTGGGCATATCACGAGCTATTGTTTACCGGTTGGTGAAGGAAAAGAAAAGTACTGGCCGTATCTCATCACCTCCGCCTCCGCCATTTAAAGTATCTTTGTTGGATACATTGGACGATATGGATAAGGCTGCGATACGCCGCAAAGTCCACACATTTTTTTTGCCTACCGTTGCTAGATGCCCACCGTTGACAAAGTATTGCATGCTGCGAATACAGATGAAACTTCGCCCAACTGTAAGAGGACCTCTTTTTTCAAGTTGATGAAATCTTTACAATTTAAATATCCGAAAGAATGGGCTTATTGAAAGAGATGACATTGTTTTATGGCGCATCAAATATTTAAATAATATTCTAAAGCTCAGGAGCGAAGGTAGAACTATTTATTACACTGAAGAAACTTGGATAAATGAAGGTTAGTAAAATACAATATTAAACTACTTTATCCTGTAGGAAATTTACTTCTGAATGAAATTATATTTCCTTTTGTATTCATAAACTGATAAACTAAATTCATATTTTTTTATTGTTTATCGTCACAGTACTAAAATATATTAATTTCTATGCACATAATTTCATTATAATCTTTTTATAAATATTGAATGGTACTTATTATTTTCATACCATGTCTTTATCCTGTGAAAATGTTACTCAAATATGTTGTGTCATGTTACCAATTGTATTAAATTATTATTGTTTTTATTTTTCATAAGTTGTTAATGAACTTATATTTGTTACAGGACACACTGAACAAAATTTGGCAAGATCATACAATTAAAACTGTGAAAGAAGTTCATCGAGAGGGATTGTCAATAGGATTGAAAAACCCAAGTGGAAAAGGGAAGCATCTGATTGTATTGTACATATGGGCACAAGACAAGGGATATGTTGGTAAAAATAATAAAACATTTAAGATGACTAAAATTAAAAATTAGCCGATGCCTTACAATCAATCACAGCTGAATTGTGGAAACGGTGCATTGACCATGTCATTAAAGAAGAGCAGAAAATGCTGAAATTGAATGGTATTGTTGATGATGTTGTGGATAAATTTATTATTAAAGTTGGTGGCAGTGCATACAGTGAGTTGTCAGACAGTGAATAAATATTATTTGCAAAGTATTATGCTGGTTTCATTTGAAATACACATTCTTTTATTATATTTATCATCAAGACAGAATTCATTATAATTTTAATATAGGTTACATAAATTATACCTAATCATTGACTAGTAGGTACTTTCTGACATTATAAAAGTTTTAGAACCTCAGATTCTTTGTTTACATTTTGTCTCAAGCCAAAGTGAATAGACTATAGTGTTTAAATTTATTCTAATTTGCTATCAACAATCAACAGGTGTTGGCAGATGGCGAAGCCCTAATACCGCATTCAAGCGAGCCTCGAATTGCAGAGCTCTCGTATAGAGATGGCCCTCGTCCACACCAGTATCCTGATATACAGCTGTTTACAATGAAATGCCGTAGGGTGAGTTTTTAACAGCTTTGCTCTCGTTTTCATCTGAAACTTGTGTAAGATTTTTTTTGAGAAACTTTTTATATTATTTGAATTTTTTAACGTTATAAATAAATTTCTAGTATTAATATTGAATTATGACCTGAAATAATGGTTACAAATAGTAATAGTATTTCAATAATTTCGAGCATATTTATTTCTTATGTTCTCCCGTACACCGCTAATTAAATAAATAATTTTTTCAACGGGTTTCAAATGGGATTTTAATACTTTTATACACTGCTCTATGTTCCGGATACTTTACAGGATCCCGAAACCAGATCAAAAAGTGTTTTACTAGTATATTTTGTTAATACTATCAACATGCAAATAAATCATTATTATTTTTTAATTATATAATTGTATGTTTTAACTTCTTGTTGCCAAATTAATTTGAGATATCCAGTTAGTGAGATACACAGTAAAATAACACTACCTACTGGTGCTGTTGTGTTTCTGTTAGTGAGTAAGGTTCCAGGGCTCTACGGGGTAGGAGAATGGGTAAGGGTAGGCAACGGCTCGAGTGATATTTTTTGTATCGCAAGAGTCTATAAGCTATGGTGGCCACTTACCATCAGGCTGGCCATATGCTTGTTTGCCACTCTTTTAACATAAAAAAGATTCCTAAATAATCAAAAAACCGTTAACAGAAAGGCGACTCCCGTTTGGAATTGGTCTCGCAAATGGACGACGAACGCGAGTCAGTCGAGTTTGAGGCCGCCTGCGCGCCGCACGTGTCTCGCATACGTCTCGAGCCGTCAGAAACGCCGGGAAATTGCAGCGGTGGACCTAAGTATGTTGAAACGTATATTATTTCTGTTTTTACGCAAACTTTTTAAAAGTGTATAAAGCGCTATTTGATTCAGATTATTAATTTCTTCATTTTTCTGATATTTCGGATCCTTGAGACAGATCCTTGGTCGCAAGACAGGTTTTTTATTAATTTTGAACCAACTACCTACATTCCTAAATATTTAAGTATAGAGCTGGTTCAAGAATTTATTAGAAAACATTTTTGGTTATCTATGAATGACAATTTCAAGATTTTTAAATCGCATAAATATGAAGAGAATAGAATTATAATCATGGACTGTTAAAACCGAAAAAAGTCAACATTCATTTGTAAAGCAAAAAATCAACTGAGCAAAACGGCAAACATAGTAGAACTTGGCCGTTCTCTGCTTTTTAAATCACCAATTGATGTACTTTAAATTGAACAAAATAGCTTTTTATTTTTGAAATCTAGCTTAATCATTTGTCCACAAATATTTTAAAACTAAATCTTTTTGATCCTAAGTCATGTTTAATCATATTTTTTAATAACTCCAATAGAGTATGGCTTCGACCGGGACACGAGGTGTCAGTCAAAGTTACCCTTCTAGACGCGATCGGTAGGGAGCTACTGGACGAACGTGGCCCCAAAACCTCATGGGAAATTGAACCGCATAACCGGGCGATAGAGTTCAAAGCGACAGATCGACTGTTCATTGAAACGCACCCGGACTACGCACCTGTACCTGTACCTTATAAATATTATCAGGTCAGTTCTTGTTATAAGTTTTAGCTTTATTGTGTTCAAGATTGCTTTGCAAAGAATTCTTTTTACTGGGGGTTTTAGGATTCTGAATATTTTATCCACGCGGTTTTAGAATAGCATTCCTTAATGTGACTGTATTTTAAGTATTAACTTAAATGAAAGTTCCTGTTTCATATTTTGCCAGTACTCATACCGCCTTATTACAAAACGTAGACTTAAGTTAAACCGTTAGTTAGTTGGACTAAATGTGATGCTGTCACTTTTGTTTTCTATAAAGAAGACAGTGTCATTAGGTTTAAACCAAGATTTACTATAAGGCGGATTATGTTCATGGTAGTCGCAGCAAACTTTATGATTTGATCTTTACGCCAGAAACACTTATTCAGACAAATTGTCAATTTCGCTGTTTTGGATTATTATATGTTAATTGATATACAACAGTACGTCAAGCCTTTATAAACAGAAATAGTATATTTTTATATTAATTTTAAGCATGTTTAAATGTAAAGAAAAATTGACTAGAAAATGGGCAGTGCAGTAGTACATCCGCTGTACCGCGTGTAATTTTTCATAGTGAAATTTTCTTTAGAAATCATCTGTTTTTAGTTGGTGACTGTGGATGAAAAAGCAATCGGTTGGAATGGTGCCTTAAAAATGAGCATTCCCGAAGCTACGGCGAGTATACAGGCACGAGTCGTGGGACCATTGATATGTGACCCTATAAAGGTACCCTTTGTTATTAATTACTTACAAGTTGATTACAAGATGACGCAGGTGGTTAGCGCATTCTACTTGCGATTATGAAAGTTAAGCAACTTTCGCGATGGTCGGTCATTGGATGGGTGACCAAAAACTTATCATGTCAATCTCCTCCGTGCCTCGGAAGGCACGGTAAGCCATTGGTCCAGGCTGCATCTGCAGTACTTAGCACCCTCCTAATCCGCACTGGGCCCGCGTGGTGGATCATGGCCCAATCTCCCTATTCCATCCATAGAGAAGGCCTCTGCCCTTGCGGTGGGGACATTAAGAGGCTGGTAATTATGAACTTACAAGTTAAGGTGTAAATCAAATGGAGGACAGTTTGGTCTGCAGCCCGTCTGCAAGCAGATTGCGCATTAGGTAGGTTGTCAATTAAAGTTTTCGATGTAGCTATATATATTATATTAACTATACAATTGCAATAGCCATGCATCAGAGGTGTAGAACGATTCTGGAAAACGTAAAATTTTCAATGAACTCTTGTGGTGAGTTTTATTTTTTTCGGGGACGCCTATGTACTGTGGTCCCTCGTCTACGCAGGCTTTTACTGTAGCTTCATAATTTCTGTAATGCATACCTCTGGGTCTCAAAGTTATTTTTCACTTGCAACTAGCATGGTTGGAGAAAAATTATATAAAAAAGGATTTTTGTAAGTAACTGTAAATATGAACCTTACACAATTGGTTTAAAGGTTACTTTAACTTGGGAGGGCGAGTCAGTGACCGACATAGTATCAGTCACAGGCGGCAGCGGCCGATATTCCGTAGAAACGCCTAAAGACGTATCGGCGACTGTGACCGAAGGGAGTCTCGGCATAATACATACAAGTGCAGTAGCGTAACTCAGCCGTTTTGTTGAAATAGATACATACGACTGAGCGGAGCGCTAGGGTTTTTTATTGTATGTGTATAGTTACTATTGCCACGTTACGGAATCGAAACGGACGCGGACGGCGCGGCGCAGCTAACTTAACTCGGCCAACGATCAGTCTCGGCGGCACGCGACGTAGCACTGCGTAGATTTGTCTTGGCAAGATTGGTTAGCGGCCATTTAAATGAAGTTTTCTGTGTGCGTGCGTCGATTCGGGCGCTAGTATGAAGTCGGAGTACTGCTCTTGTATGTATTGTGGTCTCGGTGTCCATGTCCATCTTACGATTTTCTATAATTCATAGCTTCTGATCTTCCTATCGAGTCTTAAAGTTGTTTTTTACCTGCATGGTTGGAGTAAATATTATGTATTTATAAAAAATGATTTTTTTAGTAACTGTTAATATGAACCTTACGCATTGGGTTTATAGGTGAATTTAGCTTGGGAGGGCGAGTCAGTGACCGACATAGTGTCAGTAACAGGCGGCAGCGGTCGCTATTCCGTAGAGACGCCTAAAGGCGTATCGGCGACTGTGATCGAAGGAAGTCTCAGTGTCCATGTCCCAGGGCCGGGATCTTACGATTTGGTCGTCACTGACCTCTGTGTTTATGGGGAGAAGCAGATTGTTGAGGTAACATGATTTAGTTTTTTTTATATTTTAGATGTATAGTTTTTTTTTCTACGAGACGGTAATAACAAGCATACGGTCCACCTGGTGTTAAGTGGATACTTCTTTTCAAGTATTAAGGAGAAACCTCCCAGACGACCCTACATATATATGGGTTTGCCACAGAGTTATTGATATTAGCTGCTGCTAATTATTTAAGATTGAAAACTTACCAAAATTTTTCTTTAATTAAATTTTGCTCACCTGCTTTCAAAATGAGAGATAATGATGAAGTGGTGATATCACCTTAATCAAATTAAAAGGTTTGTTGCGTGTGGTAAATTGAATGAGAACGGCATTCAACAACGAAAATATATGCCTTGCCAGTGTGTGCCCAAGTGCTCACATGCTAGAGGATGACTTTCATATCTGCTAAATGACAACGACGATGCCAATTAAAAATAATATGGAATACAAACTGCACTAAAAAGTGGTTTCACGCAAACCGTGATTAAGTGGGCGGGGCGAAGAAACTGCGATTAACACGCCGATAGTAGGATTAGTTAGGGATCTCATTTGACATTATCTTACCCAATGAATGGATAGCCGAATCCATTTGCAGATATTTGATTTGTCAAAGCATTTTCTTTTTTCTGTTAGGTCGGGTTAGTATTGAAGTTTAGTTGTATGAGTTTGGAACTCTTTTTTTATAGCGGCCTTTGTTAGAGAGTAAAGCTTTCACATCATTTCTAATTCATTCTGTCAATAATCTTGGAAAATATCACAGTCTACCTGAATCTACTAAACACTTTTATTTAAACAGGTCCATATTGAAGAAATCCTCAGCGTGGAAGTGTCAACAGCTCGCGCGATATGCGTCGGCGGTTGCGTTCCAGTGGCGGCTCTAGTTAAAGGCGTATCCCATCGATACTTGTCTGCCAGCCACTCGCCTGAGTGGAGAGTGAACGGGGATGTGTTAGTGAAGGATGGCACTATATGCGGCCTGCGAGAGGGAACGGGACGGGTGCGGGCCTCGTTGGGCGGCGTGTGGAGTCCTGAGGTTGAGGTGAGTCGATGTAAAGATTAATGTTCTAGTTATAGGCGTTTTATACAGATAGTTGTGTCTGCTAGTTACTAGCGTGAATGGAGAGTGAAAGGGGATGTGTTAGTGAAGGACGGCACTATATGCGGCCTGCGGGAGGGAACGGGACGGGTGCGGGCCTCGTTGGGCGGCGTGTGGAGTCCTGAGGTTGAGGTGAGGCGATGTAAAGATTAATGTTCTAGATATAGGCGTATTATACAGACAGTTATGTCTGCCAGACACTCACCCGAGTGGAGAGTGAACGGGGATGTGTTAGTGAAGGACGGCACTATATGCGGCCTGCGGGAGGGAACGGGACGGGTGCGGGCCTCGTTGGGCGGCGTGTGGAGTCCTGAGGTTGAGGTGAGGCGATGTAAAGATTAATGTCCTAGTAACAGGCGTATTATACAGATTGTACATTGTACACATACATATTTCCATATAAATATACTTATATATGAGGAACTGGCGAACAAAACTGTATAATTACGTATCTGGTCAAACTACTTTTTTTTTTACAGTCTGGAGGTATCACGCCTGTTGAATTTGAATCTCAAATAATTTTTAATCAAAACCACCTAAAACAGTGTTAAAATTATAAATTAAAAACCATGCCAAAAGCTCACTGGAGGTATGTCATTCAGTTTTATACAGCTCCTGTAACATTTAATTTTATGTAATAATAGCGTTTTGTTCGCCAGCTCCTCATATGTATCAGTGTATAGATTGTATCCGTTTCCGTAGTATCCGATAACACAACCCTTACAATGCTTACTTTGGGGTTGGCTGATTGGTCTCACACCAATACAAATATTTATTGTTTATTTTCTCAGGTGCTGGTGTTCCCCCCACTCGCCATAGTTCCGGGGAAGGCCCGCTTGCCCCCCGGCGCCAGGCTGCAGCTGCGTCACCGCGGCGGTCCGCCCCCTCACCTCGCTTCGTTGCAGTACAGAGCTACCACTAGGCAGGATCACGTCGAGGTCAGTTCATAGATGTAGGATGTAAATACAGGGTTAATTTTAAAACATCAACAACCTTTTAGGGGGTGATTCTACCCATCAACAGGAACAACTTTTATTATGGGACCAACTCTGAAATCGCGAAAAGAAAATCAGCTGTTTCATACAAAACTGCATCAGCTAATCGACCGAAATGTATGAAACAGCAGATTATTTCAGGTGATGTATTTTTTTGCAACTTTGTGACTCTCCCATTTCCTTATGCCACGCTCAAATTGTCAGATTATTGAAAATAATACCTTATTTTAATCTGACGCGCTCGAGTTTCTCCAACAATCGATTTTTTTTCCTTATCTGATCGGCTGCTCTGGACTTCCGACACTATATAAAGGGCTAAGGTATCGTGGGAGTATTTCACAAGATGCAAGGTTCCCCTTATGTTAAAATGCCGCGGTCGAATAAATCCCAAAATCCCCGCTTAAACTCCTCTACTATATACCGTAATTGATCAACTTAAAGTAATGTTACCAATGTTCTTCGATAACAACAAAATTTTAAAATTATCAGGTGTCACCTTCTGGTTTCGTGCATGGCTTGTCTATGGGCTCGGCTCGAGTCAAACTTGTCGCGACAGACATAGCCAATGTAGAAATGGCCAGCGCCGAAGCAGAAGTGGAGGTAAGTGAAACATCTTCAAAACCGAACAACTGTATTTTTGTTTATTTTAAAAGGGGGGCAAACCATTTTGGAATGAGCATGCAATGTAAAATTTAACTTGAAAAAAAAAAACTTTATTTTTGACATTCAGAGAGATTTAGAGATAAAACAATCATGCTTGCATTCGGCCCATTACCTAGTATCATTACTTTTCGTTTAGTATCACACATTAAACCCCTTTATTGACCTGTGCTATACTGAAAAGTAGCTCTAGATTGTGTCACTTATTATATGAGGAGCTGGCGAACAAAACGGTATAATTACGCATCTGGTCAAATAAAATTATTTTTACAGTTTCCGGCCCCTTGAAATTGGATCTCAAATAATTTTAAATCAAAATCGTATAAAACAGTGTTAACCTACTAAATTTATAAATTAAAAAACATGCCAAATGCTCACTGTAGGTATGTCATTCAGTTTTACACAGCTACTGTAAAATTTTATTTAATGTCATTATACCGTTTTGTTCGCCCTCGCTCCTCATATATTATTTGTCTACATTATTAAATTGTGTGTACTACCAGGTGATAGCAATATCCGGATTACGAGTACGCGCGGCTACACAGACGCTGTTGGTCGGCTCGCCCGGCCCCGTGTGGGTGGAAGCCGGATCACTGCCCCCTTCAGCCCTCGCTTCACTTCACCCCTCACCTCGCCTCACGTGGTCCCTGCGCGACCCCACCACTGCGAGGATATACACCACCCACGCTGACGGTACTGTGCCCTCTGATAGTAGATGCGATGCGAATCACACTAACATTATAAAGGCGAAAGTTTATGAGTGTGTATGTTTGTTACTTCTTCACATCTAAATGGCTGGAGCGATTTTAATCAAATTTGGTATGGAGTTAGCCGACATCCTGGATTATCACATAGGCTACGTTTTACTGTGGGAAAATATTTAAAAAATATAAAACGAATACGTAAATATTTCATTGGATTGCTAAGTTGGTCATAATCTAACATCACATTTTTGGCGTGCTCATATTTTGGAGCAAACTAAACCTGAACATAAATCGTCCAAAAGTAAACCTTTTTTCTTCTTTCAATGTGGGTTTTAATACACTTTTTATCAAGGAAATTACAAAAATAACTAAAGAAGGGGATACTGTCTCTTTAATGAAAAAGTTGCTAAAATCCTGGACGTGCCCTAAACTTGTCGATGAAATTCAGTACGATTGGCATGACATATTGCGATGTATTGATGCCCCTGAACTGTCCGCTTGGGGGGTTACTATTTAATTATAATTTTAAAGTTTTAATTTTTGAGAAGTTTACCTTGATAGTTTATTTTCGACTGATTTTTGTTCAGCATTTGTAACCAAAGTTACTAGTTAAGATAGCAGTGCCTATTATAATTTAAGAATATTAAAAATAAACAATGAAACAAAGTGATTTTGTAACTATATTTAGGAATATAACATTATTTCTTTCAAAAACACAATGAAACGTGCGACGCTTGTTTGAAGTATTTTTGTCTAATGGTTTTTTAAGTTCAAAAGTCAAAATATATTTATTCAAATTGGATGCAAAATACAACTCTTTTGAATCGTCCATATTTTTTCCCCTACATAAACAGTGCAGTTAAGTTCAGTTGATAAATTGCAAACGATAACAAACCTTAAAGTATGCTTTCGGATGTCACAATGAGTAATTTTCTTCCAGACTTCTTAGAGAGGTCGGTAGCTGAGGGTCTGTCAGTGAGAGTGGTGCCTCTGAAGCCGGGAGTCATCACTATTGACGTCCGAGTCAGGAACATGGGACAGGTGTGTACAAACAGCCAATTTGATTCCTGGCCCTATATGATTATTTTGTTACAACCATTTCAAAACAATAAGGTAGATTTTTGCTTAAGTGTATGTATCCCTGGAAATTAAATTGTTATTTTTGTAGATTTTATAGGTCAGAGAATAAAATACGGAATCACAGTGACGAATGATACTTATATTCTGTGAAATATAATTTTACTAGGAAGCTGATACGACTGACTCCTAGCACAGCAGAATACAAAGTGAAGCAAGTTTATAAGTGAACTGAATGCGTAAATGATCGAATGAGTGGGGGTTGAACGAACGAATGAAGTATTTGAGTTAAGACGAATGAACAAGTATACTTTGGCATTACCTAGTCATGTTACTTTCTTTTTATTACAAAAGGAATACAGATTATAATATATATAGATTAATTTTTGCCAATTTAAATTTTATATTTGTCGTGACAGATTCTGCCGCCTTCCTATCTCATAATTAAAACATTATATTATTTGGAGTTTTGCTCATGGACAAAGGATTTCCCACTTTTTTTAATTGTCAAAAAATTTAAAGAGTTTGAGTTACATTTAAGATTTTAAAAGTGATTTAGAAATTCAAACTACTTCCGTATTTCTGTTGTCGCTATAACACCAAGTACTAAAAATAGAACAAAATAAATATTTAAGGGTGGCTCATTCATCAAACGTGCTTTTTTGCTGTTTTAATATCGGCAACAGCTGCTTTAAATACAATCACAGCATATTTAGTTGTATAATCACTTATAAAAAAATAAATTCATATAAAATAAATAGTTGAGAGGAGCTATACAAAAGACGTGTTTTTTTACCTTTTTTGCTCGATATTAAAATGTAGTGTCTAATGTTGTATAGGATAGTAGTACAGAACCCTTTTTGCGCCAGTCCTACTCGCACTTGGTAGATTTTCTTTATATTTTCTCCTTGTACTATATTAGGAAGTTTTGTATTTTTTTATATTCTTATTTATTTAAGCGAATTTAACATAACATTTTAAGTATTGTTACATTCTTATAATAGTTAAACAATTATAAATTATAGTGTTATACCTTATTAGTGTTAATACTAAAAAAATAAATAAAAATATTTCTTGTAGGTGGCTGAAACACGTTCCTGGGACAGCACCATAGAGATCCTAGGCATATCAGATATAAGAGTAGCGGTTGAAGGCCTGTCCAAAGACTTTAAAGCCGGTGACCGTTTAGCCCTCGCCGTTGGTTCTACAATTAGGCTCAAATCATTGCCTAAGTGTTATTGGAAGTCGTACTCGGATGGCGCTTTTGATATCACTTCAAATGGGGAATTGAATGCGCTTACGCCGGGTCATGGGGTCGTAATCGCTCAACATAAGGACGAGAGAAACAACATTTATAGAGAAACGGTAAGATTATTTATCAGATATTTTTTTATTTATTTATTGTTAATCAGCAACACTAACATTGCGTTTATCATACATGGATATACATTTTTTATATTGGTTGTTTACTTATAAACATAACAATTGTATGTGTTGACATTAGTCACAATAATTCAATTTCATACAAAATTCTCCAAAACAAGTTTAGAAACCGTGTCTAACTTTTTTAACACTTACGCTTCTTTACTCCGTACTTTTCTTACCCTCTTCTCCTCATTACATAAAAGAACGCTTCTTGTTTCTCCCTTCTACTTCACAGCGCACTTTGCGATCTTCTTCTAACCTATCTCTTGAAATTCCAAGTCATTCTACTGATTTATTTTCCTATTCATTCTCTGTGCCTTCTGTACGTCTATATAACTCATTGCCAGAAACTATTCGAAAAGCTCGCACTCCGAACCCGTTTAGGAATCAAGTTCGGAGTTATTTCCTATCCCAACAGTGGTGTTAAATTTTTCCTTCATCCTCTCTCTTTCCTTCATTAGATATATCTGTTTTCCTGCCATTGATATTGTTATTATTTTCTATAACACCCCTCCTTTTCCCCTTCATAATTATTTATCTTTTATATTATGGGTTGCCTGAAAGAGATTGCTGCCTAGCAATAAGGCCGCCTATATTGTGTTCGTTCTATCTATCATGTTTTTAATTTACTTGTGTGTGTATAACAATAAAGAATATTATTATTATTATTTGTGGTAAGACCGTTAGGCTTTATCACTAGCCTGTAGAAGATCCGAAAAAGATTTTTATAAAACTATTAATGTGCGTGAAAGTATAAGAAATAAATACATGCTAAATATATTTTGTTATTTTTTAGGTTGTACACGTAGAAGTGGCAGTGCCTCATTATTGCACAGCGGAGCCATCTGGCGACGCGGACGAAAACGCTTTAAGATTAGTGTCTCGAGATTCTATAGGACGGGAACTGATCGCCGCAGCTAATAATATTACTGCATTCGCGCCTGGATCGCTTGTTAGCCACGTCAGAAGATCTGTGGATAGGTGGGTAGTTATAATTAACCGACTTCAAAAAAGGAGGAGGTTCTGTGTTCGACTGTGTATATATATATATATATATATATATATGTATGTTCACCGATTTCTCCGTCAATGGTGAACCGATTTCCAAAATTCTTTTTTTATTCGATAGAGTGCACTTCTGAGGTGGTTCCATTGGAACCAAGACAGGATCTGTTGGTGTAATCCGGAGAAATCGAGGAAAACCTTCAAATTTCAAGGACAGAATAGCATAGAAAAAAAAAATTCAGTACTGACGACTATAGATACATGTCAATACCAACGAGTTAAGATGCGTTACGAAGCACGAATGAGCTTGAGATAATGAAATTTTAGTTTCCCGTCCTGTTTATCAGCTACTACAAAAAAAGTTGCTTAATATAAGAATAACAATCTATTGGGAAAATTTGACAGTGTGGAAATAACTTGATGTTTGACGTTTTGTACGAATTATACGTAATATAATATATAAAATTCTCGTGTCACGGTGTGCGTAATTGAGCTACTCCAAAACGGCTCGACCGATTTTCATGAAAATTAATATGCATATTTAGTAGATCTGAGAACCGGACATTTATTTTTCATCCCCCTAAATGTTAAGGGTGGCCAACCCTTAAAAATATAATTTTTTGGACCATATTTTTTTGTTTTTATATTTTATATTTTTTATTATATTTTTATGATACATCATACAAAAATACATACAACCCTAAATTTTACCCTTCTACCACCAACCCTAATTTTTTTATGGCGGTACGAAGTTCGCTGGGACAGCTAGTATCATATATTTCAATTATATTTTCTTATTACAGTGCTCTTGGAAGCGAACTATTGATTCCCAATCTGGACTCGACTGGTGCGTTCGTGAGTTTCCAAAGCACCTTGGGTGGGGTCACTGTGAGGGACGAGGTTTGGGTCACAGGCAGCGACACTAGGACAGATCGAGTTATTGGTAGGTATTATTACTATACATGTAAATGTTTAGAGGTTTATTTTCGTTTATTGGTAACTTTCAAAATGCTTAAACTTAAAAATCTAATACAAAAACAAAAATAAAAAATCGACTTGTGACAGACTAGCGGCCGTTCGCGACTTCGTCTGCGTAAACTTTAGTTTTTTGAAAATGCCTCGATAATCTAGCATTTTTTCGGGAAAAAAAGTATCCTGTGTCTCATCCAGTTCAAAAACTATTTGGGTACCAAACAGAAATAATAAAAATAAAAAATAAATAATTCCAACACTCACACCAATTAGCCTAGCCCCAAAGTAAGCACTGTAAGACTAGTGTTATGGTATACTAGGGTAACGTATAGAATACTTTACATATATAAGCATATTTATATAGAAATACATATTAAACATCCATGACTGGAGTACAAATGCTCGTATTAAAACATCCAAATCTTTTCAGTGTTTTAGGCGTGAAAGCGTAACAAACAAACAAACTCACTTTGAAATTTATAATATTACTTAGGATAGTTAGGATTAGACTCGCATGTGCATCTTTCGCACACTTGCATATTTGTTTATTCTACATCCACGGAAGTGATATGTATGTCCGCCGGTTTTCAAGGTGTCGCCTATTCAGTGGTGTCTTGTTCCAATCCCAGAGGAGTAATTGTTTGTATGGTGAATATGAGTATATGTATATATATAATAATAATATTTTTTATTGTATAACACCATAAAGGACAGAAAAGTAAAATTACACTGACAGAGAGACATTACACAATGAGCGGCCTTATTGCTTAATATCAATCGCTTCCAGGTAACCCATGATGAAAAATGAAATAAGTATATAAGAACAAAAAAGGGGGGGGGGGGGGGGAAGATTGTAAAAGCGATATTATAAAATAAAAAAGATAATTATAATAAGATGCATATTTATATTTAAAAGAAACAAATAAATAAAGAATGAAAAGAGGTCTGTTCAAAGTATATATTCCTATAAAATATACTCGTATATATATTATTATAAGTATTTTTATCCGTTACCCTAGTATCTCATACCAGAAGCCTTACAGTACTCACTTTGGGGCTAGTAGGATAATTGTTGTGAGAGTAAGAAATATTTATTTATTATTATAGCAACCAGTGGATGGCATTTCCCTAAAAGCCGTTGGCTGGCGAGCTCCTCCCTCCATTTCCTTATATGCGGGTAGCGGGGTTTCTCTCGCCTTATTAGCGAAACACATTACCAAATGCATGGGAATTTAAACAGTGTTTCTTAACAAAGCATCTATGAAATGAAACAGGGAGAAAAAAATCAGCCCGCAGGCCTTACTGAGTTTCTTGCTAGTCTCCCCAGCAAAAGGTCTCCCGCCGTAGATTAGTTAACCGATGGGTTTGAATTTTCACATGTGCTTGTAAAAGCCTAAACTGAATGAATGAATTTGAATTAAAATTGTTATCATTTGTGGGTTACCTACAATGCGAAAGGATGGCGCTGCCTTGGGTGCGGCTTAAGAAAGGCAAGAAAGAAATCGACACGGCCGTCAGGGCCGCGGTAGCATAATTGGTCAGTGCATTAGCCCGGATAGCGAAGGGTGCGGGTTCGAGTCCCGTCTGCTGCCTGGACCGCGTGAATTCTTTTTCTAGTAATATTTTCTTTAGATTTAAACATCGAGCTGTTACATGCTTAAAAAATAAAAATTATAACTTTAATTGTTTTTATTTATTATTTTCGTTGAACAGCGACCAGTGGATGGGGGATTTGCCTAGAAGGCGTTGGCTGGAGAGCTCCTCCCTCCATATCCGTATACGCGGGTAGTGGGGTATCACTCGCCATACTTACTCAAGACATTACAGCTAAGCACCAACTCAAGTTAGACAGACCACCGTTAGCGCAAACAGTGCAGCAGATACCCTTCGATAAGGTAACTACTTTTACATCATGAAAATCATTCAGTCTGACTCGAGAGGTCCCGGGTTCGAATCCCGGGGGGCAGATATTTGTGTGGTGAATACGAGCATTTGTAGTCCAGTCATGGATGTTTAGTATTTCTATATAAATATACTTATATTATATGTACAGTATATGTATTCTATCCTTTACCCTAGTATTCCATAACACAAGCCTTATAGTGCTTACTTTGGGGCTAGGCTAATTGGTGTGAGTGTTCGAAATTATTTATTACTATTATATCACCTATTAGCTTGCTATTATTGTAACTTATAATTTGTCTAACAGATGTCGTTCGCTGCGGGCGAATGGCCTGCCTCTATGGTCCCGTTGTCTATAGAAGCGGGTGGATTGACAGACGGGCCGTTGCTGTGCTCTGAAGACCAAAAGTACGCATTGGAAGGCTTAGAAGTAGAACTGCCTTACGCTTGTAGAACTAAAGCGCCGCATACTGCTGCCCCCGTATTGGATATAGCCAACGGTAAGTACTTGAAGGATTCTGATTGTTATTACTAACGGTATAAAAGACAATTTCAAAGATAATAAAGCGTGTAAAAAGATTTAACGCTTTAATTGTGATATTACGTATCCAGAATGGGGATGATGACGGAGTACAGTAAACGTAATTGTATTAAATGCGTCAGTTAGATTATCAAAATTTATTAACAGATTTATTTTGTTCTACCAAAAAATTACAAAGATGAAGCGCGTCGAAGTTTGAGAGTGCGCTCGTGACGTTACTTCTAAGTAAAAATTGTACTGAGATGTGACGTCATGCGAAATTTCAAATCAATTTATATCTGCTATATTTGTTTATGTGAAAAAAGAAAAAATATGTCTCCAATACTTTTTGATTGTCTACCTGATAGACGAAGAAAAAAAAGTTAGTCATCAAGTCTATTGTGGTACATGTAAGAATTTTGCACTGGAAATATCGACCTCTTTTTGGGTACTGAATCAAACCTTCGAGTATTAACAGGAAAATAGCGTAATTGATTAATCCTTCGTTTAAACATAGCTCTAATACAATAGGCTATTTAAAATGATAAATAAACTACCAATTGTTGGTATCTGTATTTCATATGAATACTAGCATGATTTTACTATTCTGTGAGAACAAAATATTAATTACTTTTCTAAAAAATCGTTAAATAAAAACGATAATAATTTTTATTTTTTTAAAGCATGTAACTGCTTGATGTTTAAATCTAAAGAAAATATAACTAGAAAAAAATCCACGCGGACCAGGCAGCAGACGGGACTCGAACCCGCACAGCATTTTTTTCTATATTTAAACATCAAGCAGTTACATGCTTTAAAAAAAAATATAACTATAATTTTATTGCTATTTCTTCTTTCAAATGTTTTATACTTGTAAAAGTATTCATTTGACATTGTGGGTTACCTATAATGCGAAGAGATGGCGCTGCCTTGCAGCTTAAGAATGGCTAGAAGAATTTCGATGCCGTCCGTGAGGGCCGTGGTAGCATCAGGTCAGTGCATTCGCCCGGATTGCGAAGGGTGCGGGTTCGAGTCCCGTCTGCTTCCTGATCCGCATGGAATTTTTTCTAGCTATATTTTCTTTAGATAAAAACGATTTTTTTGTTTTATGATCACGTGGCGAAAAACGCCTCGGATTGGCGAAGATTAAAATGACGTCACACGCTAGTAAACTTCTGGTCAAAGTAATATTACATTGTATCGTTTGACGTTTTAATGACAGTCGTGTGACGTCACACGCGGTATCTTAAATTATTTTTTTCTGAAATACACAACAATATGGTGAATATCCATGGATAATATCCATATCCTTTTTATGGACGCACATTTGTAAATAAAGTGAGATTGTATTCTAAAACTTGTTAATATCCCTATTCCAGCTACTTTAGTTTAAAATAAGTCGAAGAAATTTCATATCATGAATGCGTTTTATCTCAAAAGCAGTATTTCTCCTTCTATTTCAAATAAACGATTATCGCTCAAACTCGCAAACTTCGACCCCCTTTTCTTTTCATAAAACTTTATAAATCAATCTCCAGGTCAGCTGGGTTGCACCATAGTACCTTCAGCTCCGATCACCGATCCCGCTGAAGTGGAACTATGCGCCGAATGGGGAGTCTCTCGTACTTGCACCCGCGTTTTATTATTACCACAGATACACGTCTCACACAACAAAGTCTCACTTCTACACCCACCTACCACTTTCTCCATCACCGGCCATCCTAGAGCTTTGAAACTGGTCAAGATTACCTCCTCGCCGGGTCTGAAACTCGATTTGGTGTATAAAGATAGTGAGATAACAGTGGTGGTGAAGAATGAAGCTAGCACTTGTGGTTTGGGGTGGGTTAATGTGAGATCCAAGCTTTCCGGGCAGGAAGTGAGAGTGGAGGTGGAGAGGGAGTGCGATGTGGGCTGCGGAACTTTACTTGGCGCGATCTTCTCTATACTGAAGCCGTATCTGCCCACCTTGTTCACTGTGGCCGCAGTCGCGGCTACGTATCTTTACAGTGAGTAGTTTTAATAGTTTTTATCTACACACATGTCGAAATATTCTAATAACGTAATTAAAGATTGTTTTAAAAAGACGTAGGTACATTGTAAACGCACATACATAAAATGAAAAAAAAACTGCATTACAGTACTACTAGCTGTATCGTAAAATGCTCATTACACAGAACACTTCTTTTTAATAAAATATTAGGCTGAATGTAAAAAAGAGGCGCGCGCAATCGAAATTTGAAATTGAATTTCTCCCGCTTCCCATACAATTTTCTGTCGATCGTGTTTTGTTTTTGGGATTTCAGAAAAGTTACGCAATAAACTCCTTTGTTACTTTGTTCAATTTCTATTGTCTCTATGAGTGAAGATAAAGTAGTACATGCAACTGCATATAATTTAGGTGTTTATACACTCGAGTCAACCTATTTACGCATTCTGTTCCGATTCAATAAACAGACTCTTGTTGTATTAGCTTTGTAATGAGACAGCGTATTATGAGAACGTATGTTGATCGGTGACACTTGTAATGACAAACACTAAAAGCACTCCCTATTCCATCCATAGGGAAGGCCTGTACCCCAGCAATGGGGACATTATTAGGCTGATGATGATGAATAATAAAACCCTTGTTTTTGCAGTTCAATCGAGGCTTCAGCAGAAAGCTCCGATCCGTATGCCTACGGAACCGATACAGACTGTTCTACCGGCGTCTGTGGAAACCACCCCTCCCTTCAGAAGGGGTAGAACGTTCTCCAGGAGCCCGTACGCTTCGAACGGTCCCTCGTCACCGGTATACGGGGACGCGAGTACGTTACCCGATACTAGTTTCTCACCAAACACTACCAGAATGCATTCGAGATTCCTATAACATCTATAAAATCCGATAGTTAGTGAACTATTTTTTGTACGATGAATAAAAAAGTGAGATTTGACTGAATAAGTGTGATTTTGATTCACAATATTAACCACGTTTATTTTTACAAGTGGTGAAGTGTGTTTTTGACATTAGCTATTTTCTATTAAAACGTTCCCTAGAAGCTTCTTTGCTTCCAACGGACATTCGTCACCATTGAATAGGGACGCAAGTGCATTATCAGGTACTATTATATCACCAAACACTACCCGTCTTATTTCAAAACGTGGACTAAATTTAGTCTTGGTTCAAACCTAATGTTGTCTCTGTCTTCTATTTAGCATACAAAGGTTTTAGTCCTGGTTTAACTTTAGTCAACGTTTTGTATGGCGGCACGAGAACAAATTCGAGGTCACTATAACATCTACTTAATCCAATGGATAGTGAAGCGTCTTTTGTACAAAGAATATAAAAGTGACATTTTGACGGTTTATCTATCTATAAATATAATAAAATAGTAGGAAAGTCAAAACCGTAAATTTAATATTTTTTAAAAAAATACTTGGGGTGTGATCTACAATCGACACCGAAGCCAAAAATATAGTCTTTAGAATTTTTGTCTGTTTGTCTGTATGGTTGTCCGGGAAGTACTGCATGGATTTACTTCAAAATATGGCATGAATATTATAAAGAAGTCGGGTCAACATATAGGCTACATATTATCACGCTATCACCTACGGGGAAACAGCAGTGAACCTTTATTTCTAACTAACTCCACGCGTACGAATTCGCGGGCGGCCGCTAGTTAAGAATATTCGAACCACGTTTTCAGTGTTCATCTGCGTTAAAGATTAATGTTGCAAATCGTTCAAATCGATTTTATGATATTGGTTGCTTTCAATCAAAAGCAACCGGTTGTTAAAATTTCGTGTTTAATTAATATTAATGTTTTGTTTATTGAATGAAAGTGACATAAAAGGAATTTGTGACATCGGATTGTTGATTAAGAATATTTGTTTATGGATTTTGTGTTGGATGTTTGTTAAATGATAAGTTTCTGTCATTATTTGCTTTTAATTTAAAGCAATGGATTGTTAAAACTAAGATAAGGATATTAGGCCAGGGTCGATAGATTTTGAGAAAATTTTCCATAGTAATGTATATTTTTTGTATACCATCAGAAAGAAGAGGTCCCAACTAACCACAATCGCAACAACTTTTTTTAAATAGCAACTTTTTGATGCGAGATTTAAAATAAGGTTACTTTTTCGATATAATATGAAAATTAGCAGTAAAAATAAATATTTTCAAAAATTAGAACGTGTTTGAAATTTAAAAAAGGTAAGTTTTCACCAAACTTCGTGAAAAAAGAGTTTTTTTTTGTGGGAGTTATATAGATATATTATCTCCCACATAAAAAAGTTGTAGATCTTGTAATTACCTACAATTTTGCCTTTGAAATTTGTATATACCATTTCCGACCTCAAACCGTCTGTAAATTATTTTTCCTCTTTCTTTAATCTGTTCACTTCTGCTTTTGAAATGGGTTTCAGTCTGTTCTGATTTTTTTCCACTTTTTAGCTTAGTCAAAGGCATTCGCCCTGGCCTATATATGCTTTATACAAGTACGTGATGATTTTGTGGTAAATATAAGGTGATTACTTTATTGTGTCTGTGTGATATAGTCAAATTAACATAATGATGATTTTGAATGAAACCTCAGAAACTGCCATGTTTTCGCATGGTGAATAAAGATGACTACTAATTTACTTAATTTTATAGTAATACAAGTATTAAATTCGGTTCAAACATATTAGTGGAAATAGTATACAAAATTGTTAATCAGTGTGGTAGATTCTCCTGAGTTTGAATTTAGATTTATTTTTTACTAGTTAAAAAGAACTTTCTGTAAAAATAGATTTATAATCTGTCTCAACGCAGTTGACAGTATTTTAAATACTAGTACGACATGAAATGGGTACTTTTCTACCTCGCTCACACTTGTGGCACATAAGCCGTTGACATCTCATCACAAGGTACTGTAGTCATAGAGGAGTGGGGAAGGCGGCTCTAAAAGTGTCCGTCTAATAGAAAGAGAAAGAAGATTAGAGGCCGCTAGCTATCTCTTCCCTTGTGACGCATGCGCAGTCGTGTGATTTCTTTTCATAGAGGTATAAGGTATAAGATGCTTACGGTTGCCAATGCGCATGCGCGATTAGAGAGAGGAAGCTAGCGGTCTCATCTTTTTTCTCTCTTTATTAGAGGGACACTTCCACTTGTAGTAGAGTCTATATCTCCCCTACTCTATTCTTATACCTCTATGACTGTAGTGCCGTACCTGTTGTGATTTTTCCTTCCGGACAGTTCAGTAACCTCTCATTCTCATTACTCACTCGTATAATACTTTAAAAATTTCAAAATATCATATAATTAGTATTAAGCAACACAGTTTCTAATAATAGTAATTTATATTACTACTACGGCTCTGTTGCTCTGTCAGATAAAAATATAAAAAAAATTATAGAACCCGACTGCGCCGCCACCTACCTGGTCCATTTATGGATTTAAAGTATTTAAACCATCCTAGGACAGAAGAAAATTATATAAAATATAGATTGTTTACTAAGAGAGCAAAGAACTGTTTTAGAGGGGAGAGCGTGTTTTGAATCCAGAGCTGAGCGACATTCTACAATATCCACATTCCTAATTGAAATCAGTTTTAGTCCCTAAGGATTAAAACGCTGTTTTGGTCCCTGTAAACAGAACAAACTAGCTAATATGGTGAATAGATGTGGTGAAATTATTATCATTAGAATCTTAGTTGCTTTATGAGTATTTAATATTAACACTATTTGTTTCGTTCGTTATGAATATATTACTCATATTTTTAAATATTATCATACTAGTCACCGCACACCAAAAAAATTAATGCATTCACACTTAGTCAATAACTACTAATTTATGTTGAAACTCTCATTGAAATAAAAAGACTAGCTAAATCAAAGAATATGTTTGAATCTGAATTAGACATTCAACAATAGGTTTATAATCAAGTTCTATTAAAATCTATTTATATTTTTCTATTCAATTCAAAAAATGATTGACAAATATCAAAGAGTAAAACAGGTAAATGATTGGATACATTCAATCGTAATCATAATAATAAAGGAACGAAGCATTTATTTATAAGTAGTGGTTGGTTGGTTGTTTGGCTGTGGATTTTGTATTAAATAAAATGAATAGGAGGATGTGCTTTTGGTGCGAAATATTTCGCAATTGATTATTATCTTCCAAAGCTTTATTTGGTGGACTTGAATAATGTCTTGAATATTGTAAGTTTATATTACGCTATAAGTTTACATTTGGATACAAATACGCTCAGATAATGCAACAAGCGTGTTTTTCATTTGTTTTGTAATTCGAGCAAGTTCGTTATTAATGTTATATACCTATAATTATTATATTTGATCGTAACCTCGGGTCTATCTGTTACGTATTAACTCCTTGATTGCTGAAACAATTTTTGTGAATTTTGGTACTCTCTTCTGTGTTGCTATATGCTAACGTCAGAGTTTTCTCCGAAAAAGGAAAGAACAGGGCCGGATTTATAGGTGCGCTGCGCAGGCCCCTGGGCCAACGAAAAGCAGGGCCCCTGATGTTAGACCATTATGTGGCCCTTATGATTTGCACCCCCCCCCTCCTCGCATTTTTTATTTCTGTTGCGCTTCTGAGTAGGAAAATAGTATTTCAAAGGGTTAAAAATAACTGACTACATTATTAAATTAATTATAACGGTGTTGAAACTTTGTATTAACTTGTGTAAAACAAATCACGAATTCATATAGGTAATGAAACGTTATTTACGTTTTAAGCTCATGAGTTGTAAATAGTATTGCTAGTTGTAAAGTTCAAATGTGATTTTTCCTATAGAACGTTGTACCTATTTCAGTTCGTGATTGAAATAATAATAACTCAAGAAATAAAGTATTTTTTTAATGCATATAAGCTTTTTATTTAATAACTTCAAAATAAATATTCTAATTATATGAACTCGTATACTTTGTTGACAGCCTAAAGTCAAAAAACAATCAACAAAGTATACAAACTATTCTATGAATTCCTGTCAAACGGCGCATTCAGATTACAACGGAAGTCCAATCCTCTATTGGTAGGTATATAAAATTCTCGTGTTAGTGTTTGTAACAAAACTCCTCCGAAACGGTTTGACCGATTCTTATGAAATCTGTGTATATTCATTCGGTCTGATAAGGACGTAAATTATTTCATACCGCATTAATAAGGGTTTTTTACGATTCGGCATTAAATAATACATAAAACCAATGTTTTATATAAGTATTATACGTCACTGCATGCAACGCAAAATTTTCTCCCTTCTACTACCAACTCCTACCCTATTTTATTGGCGGTGCAAAGTTCGCTTGGTTAGCTTCCTAGTTATTATCTAAATATACCGCGACTGAAGGTTGTACTGTACAATGGTGATATGATGGTGCAATGCGAGTGCGACCAATAGAAGGGCCGTTTGTGGTTAGCCCGCTTTATAAGAACATGCAGGTAACATTATCTACTTCGTAATCGTAACTAGAAAGATTCTCAGTAATGAATCTAGTCTTGAGCATAGATAGAAAGGGATGTCGCTATATATAGCACATAGCGACATACCTTTCTAACTGTACTCAAATAAAGATCAACACTTAGTTGTCATTCTGTAATACGGGCCTTAGCATTTCAATATGAAGAATTAGGTGGCAATAGTAGGTAACGTTTTATTAACTGGTGGTGTGTCAAGTAGGACATGAGTAAAGCCTAAAGCACTATCTAATAACAGTAGGCGCATAGGGCCCTACTTACTCATTTGAGATAAACCCATAGGGCACTAAATATCCTTTACAGATGGTGCCGTGACCAGGATAGTCATGTAGTATTTTCGACGACCTCCTTGGCCGAGTGGTGCGTACGCCGGGTTTCATGGTGTCGCCGAATCGAGAGGTTCCGGGTTCGAATCCCGGTGGGGACAGTTCGAATCCCGTTGTACTCCAGTCATGGATGTTCAATATGTATTTCTATATAAATAAACTTATATATGTACAGTATATGTATTCTATCCGTTACCCTAGTATCCCATAACACAAGCCTTAGAGTGCTTAGCTTGGGGCTAGCTAGGCTAATTGGTATGAGTGTTGGAAATATTTATTTATAGTACCAGGATATACTCATTTTAGATTAGGCCTCAGCTTTAAATATCTATCTTATTTCATCCAGTAATCAGTTATTTCTCGGAACGCATGACGCAATACAGAACAGTCTTAGGTACATTGAATTCTTAATTTAATTTTAGGCAACTTTGTTGCATATTGAATGTTTATATATTAATACAAATGTTTAGGCACGTTTAGGCATGCCTACCGGATAAACCAAATACAACTAGATAATATTAGCGTGACTATACCCACTGAGCAAGTAAGTACCTAATCTACTATTGCAGTACCTACACAATAAGTACACGACATGGCAACTAGTGCTGCTGCTCGATAGTTAGTCCCCTGTGGATACCTATCGATTATCGATATATGGAAAATAGCCTAACGATTGATTTCCTTAGCAATATCTGATCAGAAATAGTTTTGATTGAAGTCAATACTATTATCGATCCCTGAAAACCAAGAAACTATTGCATTACCTATCTGAAAGCTCTTCAATTTTGCTTAGTTACAGACTTCAATAAAAACCCTTCTAAAAAAAAGTAATGCACGACGGCATGCGGCAGTTAGGTGCCTATATTATTTTTAACCGACTTCAAAAAGGAAGAGGTTTTCAATTCGTCATTATATTATTTTATTGTTGTTAGCACATATCGCCAGTTAGTGGATCGATTTCAATTTGATACCTATTTTTTATTTGAAAGAGTTTTTAGCGAGATGGTCTCATATTAATTTGGTGAAGATCTGAAGTGTACTTTAGGAAAATCATCAGATCGATAGCTACCTACCTAAGACATAAGTGTACATAAAACTTAGATAATAGAAAGAAAGGAAAAATATAACAATGATTTATTAACGTTTTGTAGACTGTTACACTTTCACTAAAGTTAGGTCCATACATGGATAGGATAAATATACTATGCAATAAAGCATACATGTAAATAAACAACAACTGGATAGTATTCTAACATTATCGTTTATCGATACCAAGTCCAAAACTAGCGATTGTATCGTTATACTATCCATAGTTTGGCAACACTAATATTTTCGGTTATTTCCCTATCGTTTGTTGATAGCTTGCCATATTAATGTATGCTAAATGATCTTGGTTATAGGGTAAAAGTAACAACATAGAGTATAGAGAATACACACATCAAAATGTCTATATGGATCAAGTCCGCATTCCACATTTTAATGCATGGACGCATTGCACTGTAAACTTGAGTTAATTTCCCATAATTTACAAAAACAGCATTTTTATTTATTTTTAGAACTTAACTTAATTTTAACTTAGCTTTATTTATTATATTTAAAGGTCGAAGTGAAAAATCAATCTGATATAGTTTATTGCAAAAATATATATTACTAGACATTTTCACTGTGTATTTCAAACACAAAGCGGTAAAAGCTGAAGAAATCGTGTATTGACATAAGTGTAATGTGTGTAATCACTATTGTAGCAAGAAAAGGCGAAGTGCCTCTATCTTTTTTCTTACGGCGCTCACTTGAACTTAGTACCTTACACTGACACTTATCACTGTTAGTGTTGCTGGTGGAGGTGGCGGGCGCCTGGGGCGGAATCCCCGGCGCTGCAGCCACCTCGCTGGTTCGCCTGGTTACCTCGCCACTAGAAGGGCGAGATACTGTGTACCTTCGCCACTGCCATACGAACAGGCAGGCCAGTATGATAACAATGCCAACCACTACGTAAATTGCTGTGTAGTGATGCACATCATGATATGATATTTTATCAAATTGTTCCTGATTGTCTTGCAAAACACGTATTCTCTCATGTATTTCCTTCATTTTCTCTCGCGTTTCTAGTGTTGCTGACTGATCTGCGCTTTCTATTCGTTGAGGCAGCGAAAAGTTTGGGACACAATTTTCAAATCACTACTCATTTGTCTATGTGCATATATGGTAAAATTTCTTGTTTTTAGCATACAGCCTTGACCGAGATTGATAATGCCAGCGCGAGACAGCTGTTGAGCGGTAACTTGATCTTCGCATAGTATCCGCACTTGACACCCGTCGCAGCAAAAGTAAACAAACGTATTTAAATTGTTCATTCTTATCCATTCATTACTGCAGGGCTTTATTTTAAATTCGCATTGATGAGTTTCGTAATTCAATTCACAAAGGTCATTATCATTTGTGAGGTGATTGATAGAGTTTTGTAATCGACACAAAGAGATTTCTGAGATATGTAAACATTCTTTTAACTC